TGAGTTGGGCTGCCAGTCCCACGCATGAGGGGTGTAGGGCCCAGGCGCTCCGCCCCTGCTGATGTCTTCGGATGTCCATAGGCCCGGAGACGCCTGCCTGCAGCACTTAACAAGAATGGCTACATGCGAGGGACTCTACAGGGTTTAGAGTTTAGGTTTAGGGTTTAGGGTTTAGGGTTTAGGGTTTAGGGTTTAGGGTTTAGGGTTTAGGGTTTAGGGTTTAGGGTTTAGGGTTTAGGGTTTAGGGTTTAGGGTTTAGGGTTCAGGGTTTAGGGTTTAGGGGGGGACACACTCACTCCCCCCGTGGGCACCAGAAAGGCTTGGGCTCAAATAGTCGCAGGCCTTCCAAACTGCAACTGATTGCTGCATCAAGGGCTGGGACGACAGAAGATGAAATAGAAAATGATGGCGCTGGATCCCACACTGCTACAGTTCAACACAAGCCAGCTGCACGTCATGGCCATCTGTGATGGCAGCTGCCGTCGAAGCGAGCTTTCGCTGCGCAAGCTACTTCTTGCTGCATGTGAAAGCTCTTCCAGTTCTTACATATGTGAATGCGTTTCTAGTTCTTACAATCTGTTGACACGAATGCACTGAGGCCTGGCCTAAACCGTTTGGGTTTTGACGCGGTCTGCCTCCTGCTGTCTGGCTTCATGATGCCATCTCGCAGTCTGACACGTCTTGGACAGCATCGGACAAAGAGACGAAGGTCATGTAAGGACTCCTCGCAAAAAACCCAGGGAGATGCCTCAGACTCCTACAAGCACAATGCTTGAGACGGTCACTCTGACGAAGTGCTGATGCTTGCGAACCACCTACACCGTGCCCCTGATCCAGGACTCCTGAAGTACACCCTAAACCCTAAACCCTAAGCCCTTAACCCTAAACCCTAAACCCGAAACCCTAAACCCTCAAACCAAAAGCTCGCGCCATGTTTTACCCTCCGCTTGGCATCGCCGCGGCGGACAATCCCGGCGGGGCGGATGTCCTCACAGGCCCTGCGCCTCCGCCGCTGGGGGTTTAGGGTTTAGGGTTTAGGGTTTAGGGTTTAGGGTTTAGGGTTAAGGGTTAAGGGTTAAGGGTTTAGGGTTTAGGGTTTAGGGTTTAGGGTTCAGGGTTTAGGGTTTAGGGTTTAGGGTTTAGGGCTCCCCTTTTTTGGGAGCTTGTAGTTGGAGGACTTGCTCTCGAAGCAGTCGGGCTCTGCCTCAAGCCACAACATGGTGCCTGGTTGGGATGTTCCCCTTATACTAGCAGTCCTTAAGAGGGATTACAATCTATTGATTGCTTAAGAACCCCAAAAAAAAATACTCTTCTTTGTTAAGGGTAATATAGGGATGATTTTGTTTTTGTTTTTTCGGGGGTTCTTAAGCAAATAGTAGTAATTGGGGTACTAGAATCCCTATTAAGGACTGCTAGTATAAGAGGGAACATCCCAAGTGCCTGGTGTTGTCTGCTGTTGTCAAGGTCACGGCTTGGGATACTTCATCGGCACCTCATGCGGGTTCGGGTTCAGGGTTGGGGCTGCTTCGCGATCGAAGGTTTGCCTCAAGACCCTAAACCCTAAACCCTAAACCCCTGTGTCCTCGAAGCATGCTTTGGCCCAGCCTCTCCGAACAAGAAACGGCCAGAACCACGCAATCCCAAAGCAGAACACAACAACAGGAGCCAAACACGACAAGCTCGACCCATCTCTTGCCGAGCCCAAAACGTCGATCAGGGAAGAGCAGGAGAGAGCAAAAGTGAACGGCGACCAATGCTGCGCCCGAGCCATCAGCTATGAACCCAAAACCCTAAACCCTAAACTCTAAACCCTGAACCCTGAACCCTGAACCCTAAACCCTAAACCCTAAACCAAAGGGGGAAAATCAAAAACAAAATCCCAAAGGCCGACCCAGCTTCAGCTCAACGGGTGGAAGTGGGTTCTGGGTTCCTCCATGCCGCCACAACCCAAAAGTCAGCTTGTCAGCTGCATGTTTCAGGGTTTAGGGTTAGGGTTCAGGGTGTAGGGTTTTTGGTTTGGGGTTTAAATACCCTCAACCCTAGACCCGAAACCCTTGACCAGAAACGTCTTCCATAAATCTTTCCTGGACGGGTCGTGGACCCTTCAGTATCCCTAAACCCTAAACCCTAAACCCTAAACCCGAAACCCTAAACCCTAAACCCTAAACCCCCAAAGCCTCCAAATCATCGCGGGATCCCGGCATCGCGACCAGATCTGGAGCCCCCAAGCATCTCCCGGGCCTGTCAACGCACTTATGTTGGGATGAGGATTCAGGGTTCAGGGTTCAGGGTTTAGGGTTTAGGGTTTAGGGTCAAGGGTTTAGGGTTTAGGGTTTAGGGTTCAGGGTTTAGGGTTTAGGGTTTAGGGTTCAGGGTTCAGGGTTTAGGGTTTAGGGTTTAGGGTTTAGGGTTTAGGGTTTAGGGTTTAGGGCTTAGGGTCAAGGGTTTAGGGTTTAGGGTCTAGGGTCAAGGGTTTAGGGTTTAGGGTTTAGGGTTTAGGGTCAAGGGTTTAGGGTTTAGGGTTTAGGGTTTAGGGTTTAGGGTTTAGGGTTTAGGGTTTAGGGTTCAGGGTTCAGGGTTCAGGGTTCAGGGTTCAGGGTTCAGGGTTTAGGGTCAAGGGTTTAGGGTTTAGGGTTTAGGGTTCAGGGTTTAGGGTTCAGGGTTCAGGGTTTAGGGTTTAGGGTTTAGGGTGTAGGGTTTAGGGTTTAGGGTTTGGGTTTAGGGTTTAGGGTTTAGGTTCCCCTTGTACCCGTCCGGAATGGGGAGCATCAATAGGGGTACTATGATCCCTATTAAGGACTGTTCCTTAGTTGTCCACTAGCCTGGGGGAATTCAAGGTTAACCTTTGGAATTAGAATGGGATTATATTACCCCACAAAGGTTAAAGGTTACCAATTTTCCTACTAGGGAGCATCATAGGGGGGGTACTATAAAAATCCCTGTTAAGGACTGCTAGCCCTAAACCCTAAACCCTAAACCCCATTAAGGACTGTTAGTATAAGGGGGACATCCCAACTGTTGTTGTCAAAAGCCCTGCCCTGGGCATCGCATAGGGCTTGTAATCAATAAATGCAATTAGGTTTAGGGTTTAGGGTTTAGGGTTTAGGGTTTAGGGTTTAATCAATAACGGCGCTCGAAATCTGATATTGATTATTTTATGTTGCCCTTGTTGATTATTCTTTGAAGGTCAAACCCTAAACTTGGGACGTTCCCCCTTGTACTCACAGTCCTCAACAGCGACTAGAATTGCGGGCTACTAGAATCCCTATTAGGGACGGCTAGTAGAAGGGGGAACATCCCAACCCTAAAGACCCCAAACCCTAAACCCTAAACCCGAAACCCGAAACCCTAAATAAACCCTGAAGACCAGCAAGGCCTCCACCTCGCCACCCTACCCAAAACCCTGAGCGCTCCCTCAAAAACAGCACACGCCCCTTTCCTCCTAAGTACTTAGGTTTTTTTGGGGTTTAGGGTTTAGGGTTTACATTTGGGTCAAAGAAGCAAACGCTCTTTTCCTCCACTCCAGAGTGGCATGCGGCACACGCTCCATCACCACTATTTGCTGAAGAATCCCCAAAAGTAAAAGAGCATAATGATCTCAAAAAATTGCCCTTATGAGGAAGAATGATTTTGCTTCTTGTTGTTGTTTTTGTTTTTTTTTTTTTGGGGGGGGGGGGTTCTTAAGCAAATAAATAGTAGATCACAGGCCCATTGCGCCTGCCCAAGCTGCGAGGGGCAGGGCCTGTCTCTTGCTGTCATCTGCTGTCCCTTAGACGAAATTCCGGAGCAGGTGAAAAGGAGATCGGCTGCAAATCGGCGGATCCCGCAATCTCTTATCGCGCGAGGGTTGATTCGAACCGAGGGGGCCTCTTGCTTTTTTTGGTAGTTTACAAAGAAGTCGGAATCTGCATGTGGACTTAACCTGTCGGGGGGGGGGTGGGGGGAGACGGCCATCATGTGGAACAACCGCCCCCCCGGTAGACGGTGTGACTTTACAAATATACGGCAGCCGGCCTCGGTTCCACTGCGGGGGTTTATGGTTTTGGGTTTAGGGTTTAGGGTGTAGGGTTTAGGGTTTAGGGTTTAGGGTTTAGGGTTTAGGGTTTAGGGTTTAGGGTTGTTTAGGGTTTAGGGTTAGGGTTTAGGGTTTAGGGCTTAGGGACCCTAATTTTCATCCCACCCACCCCCTCACCCCGCACACCAGGGTTTAGAGTTCAAGGCACAGTGGTGGAGGAGTTCAACATGATGGCCAGAGGAATAAAACCCGTGTCTACAAAAGGAGTAAAAACTGCATTTATTGGCTAGGTAAGGTTCCCTACAACCCTGAACACTCAAGCTAAACACTCGAACCCTAAAAAGTTTAAACCATGAACCCTAAACCCTAAAAACCAGAAAACCCTGAACCCCCCCTCCCCCCCCCCAAAAAAAAAAAGAAACCCTAAACCCTGGAGCCCCGAACCCTAAACCCTGAAACCCTGAACCCTGAACACTAACACCAAAAACCCTGAACCCCAAACAGCCTCATGACCAATATAGGGGCCTTAATAATTAGAGGGTTTGGGGGGGTTATTAGAGTATAAACATATATAAACATATATAAACATATATAAACATATATAAACATATATAAGCATATATAAGCATATATAAACATATATAAGCATATATAAACATATATAAACATATATAAACATATATAAACATATAGGGACCACAAGATATTATTAGAAATTATTCCGACCCCCCATATTAATGTTCTTGGCCTGCCGTGCGCCCCCCCGCCAGGCCCCTCACGGACCCGGCAAAAGGAACGGGAAAGCATGATGGACATGAACGCCGAGGGTTTAGGGTTTAGGGTTTAGGGTTTAGGGTTTAGGGTTTAGGGTTTAGGGTTTAGGGTTTAGGGTTTGGGGTTTGGGGTTTGGGGTTTAGGGTTTAGGGTTTAGGGTTTAGGGTTTAGAGGGCTTCGACAGCCCGTGCAAGAATACTCACTCCGGGAATCAAACAAAGAGCTTCTCTGCGGAAGTCTCTGCGAGCATCTGGCGGATCAGATCCAGTGTGGACCTGCAGTTTGGGGGGTGGTTTAGGGTTTAGAGTTTAGGGTTTAGGGTTTAGGGTTTAGGGTTTAGGGTTTACATCCCCTTTATGTGAGGCAGGGTCTTTGGTGCAAGCATCCCCTAAAAGAAGTCCAAACATAGACCCTCATCAAACCTTACAAGGAACCCCACTGTGATAATATGAAGACTTTCCTGCCGAGCCTTGGGAACGGCCGGATTAACGATGGGAACGGCCGGATAAAAGGGACTACAAATTCTAAACCTGAACCCTAAACCCCAAACCCTAACCCCAAACCCTAAACCCTAAACCCCCAGCACGAAGTGTCGGGCTCGCGCCTCTGAGTAAACCAGGAAGCATACTGGCTGGCGGCACTCATCTCAAATCGGTTGGTCCTCGGCTTGTGGGTTTCGGCCCAAGCAGCCCAATGTCTTCAGCTAAAGCCAAAACCCTCACACCCTAAACCCCAAACCCTAAACCCTAAACCCTAAACCCTGAACCCTGAACCCTATAGCCCTAAACCCTAAACCCTTTGAAATAGCACAAAGCCCCACCCCCCCCCCCCCCCCTTCCAAAAAAAAAACAGGTGCGGGCGTGCGGCATGTCCGCAGCGAACTCGGTTGGGAACCAACCAGAGAGCATCTCGGCTGTTTTCGAGGGCCTTGGATCTCCCTTGAACCCTAAACCCAGGGTTTGGGGTTTGGGGTCGTTTAGGGTTCAGGGTTTAGGGTTTAGGGTTTAGGGTTCAGGGTTTAGGGTTTAGGGTTTAGGGTTAGGGTTTAGGGTTTAGGGTTTAGGGTTTAGGGTTTAGGGTTTAGGGTCTAGGGTCTAGGGTCTAGGGTTTAGGGTTTAGGGTTTAGGGTTTAGGGTTTAGGGTTTAGGGTTTAGGGTTTAGGGTTTCGGGTCTAACAGGCTTGAGGGTGTGCGTTTGATGTTTAGGCTTTGCCCCAAACTGTACGAACCCTCACGAGAATGCTGCTTGGGCTTATAAGAGAACAGGAGCGGGGAAAAGGGTAACGCGAAAACCCAGTACTCGTTTAATAACCAGGGAAGAAAAGTTTAAACTTTGTTAAACCCCAAACCCTTAACCCCAAACCCTGAACCCCAAACCCTAAACCCCAAACCCTACACGCCAAACCTAAATACCCTAAACCCTAAACCCCAAACCCTGAACCCCAAACCCTAAACCCTAAACCCTGAACCCTAAACCCTAAACCCTAACCTGTGTTTGGCCAAGCAAGGCCAGGAAGCAGACTGGAGCGGAAGGTCTTCGAAGGGAAAACCACATTCCACCTCAGAGATCAGCGACTGCAACGTGGTGTAGTGGGGTTTAGGGTTTAGGGTTTAGGGTTTAGGGTTTAGGGTTTAGGGTTTAGGGTTTAGGGTTTAGGGTTTAGGGTTTAGGGTTTAGGGTTTAGGCTTTGGGGTTTAGGGTTTAGGGTTTAGGGTTTAGGGTTTAGGGTTTAGGGTTTAGGGTTTAGGGTTTCAGCTCTCAAAATGGTCCCTTTTTGGGGTACCCGAAATATTATTGGCCGGCTTAAAAATAGTAGCCTCAAGAGGGAACCCGAATTTGGAGGAGTGACCATTTAAGCCTATCTCTCCTGTGGCTGTTAAAGAAACCTCAGAGCCCCGCCTGTTGCTGAGTTAGGGCCTAAGCCCTCAAACCCTAAACCCTAAATCCTAAATCCTAACCCTAAACCCGAAATCCTGTCTCTGGGGGTAGGTTAGGATCACATGCAAAGTTTGGTGGCTCAGAAGGGAATTTCCCACTGACATAGGCTTTAGGTTTAGGCTTGCAGGGTTCAGGGCTCAGGGTTCTTGGGGTTCTTGAGGTTCTTGGGTTTTGGGGCTTTGGTTTAGGGCTCGAGGTTTTTGCGTTCAGGGTTTGGACTTGAACTTGCGTCTTCCACTTGGACCGTATGGAAAGTTCTCTCTGCTGCGGTCCCTCTATGGTCATCACAAACACAGCGGCCTGTAACAGGGACCAAACGAACCGAGCAATCAAAAGGGTCGAGGGCCTGGGGTTTAGGGTTCCGCGTCAGGGTCTACAACTATACTCCCCTTAAAACCTTAGTGCCAATATGTGCAATATTGCCTTGTGGTTTTTATCAACAAAGCACAAATTTAAGCTTACTAACAAAACATCAATTAAACCCTAAGGGGCTATCGCTCTAACGGTGGGGTCCTGGCAGACCAAGGCACACAATGTCCACCTGCCAGCCCCCCTGGATCCCAAGAACCTCGTTGTCCACGACGCTGTAGCCTGGGGGCAACAGGACTCGCCCATGTACCCGCAAGCCCGAAACCCTGAACACCTACAGCCTGAACCCCCCCCCCCAAAAAAAAAATGTGGTAACAGCACGAATTTAGAAAAGAAACATAAGCCCTAAGCCCTCAACCCTAAACAGCCCGAAGCCCGAAACCCCCGAAACCAGCTCACTCCCTGAGTTTAGGGTTTAGGGTTTAGGGTTTAGGTTTTAGGTTTTAGGGTTTAGGGTTTAGGGTTTAGGGTTGAGACCCTGAGCCGCTTTGTGGGTGCTTCTGAGAGCTAAGGGCTTCGGCTTTAGGGCTTAGAGATCCACTCTTCGAAGCCCGAAACTTCGGAAAGACTCCCACGCCCCCTAACCCACCCTCCTTAAGGGTTTAGGGTTCTGGATTGTTTAGGGTCTGTAGGCTATAGGGCTTAGGGCTTAGGGTTTAGGGTTTAGGGTTTAGGGTTTAGAGAACAACACAAAAATTAGAACTTAACCCTAACCACCCCACCACCCCCCCCCCCATCTTACCCCCAGCCCCATAACACAAGACCCTATAGCTTGGGATGTTCCCCCTTATACCAACAGTCCTTAATGGGGATTATACTAGGGGGTACGATAATCCCTGTTAAGGCATGTTCGTATGAGGGGGAACATAACCTATAGTCCTACCACCTCAACCTGCCCTTCGACCCCTTCACCTCTCTGAAGCCCTGGAGCCCAGGCCCAAAAGCCCAAAAGCCCTGAAGAACCCTACAGCCCTAAGCCCTAAGCCCAAAACACCCAAAGCCCTCCACCCCAACAGCCCCGAAGCCCTAAGAGCCTTTTTGAGCCCTAGAAAACCCTCAACAGCCCTCAAAAGCCCTAAACCCTAAACCCTAAACCCTAAACCCTAAACCCTAAACCCTAAACCCTAAACCCTAAACCCTAAACCCTAAACCCTAAACCCTAAACCCTAAACCCTAAACCCTAAACCCTAAACCCTAACCCAAAAGCCCTCTCGAAAGCTCTAAACCCTAAACCCTAAACCCAAAGGCCCTCAAAAGGCCCTGACAAGGCCCTCAACAGCCAAGACGCGCCCCTTGAACACCGCGGTCTCATTGGCTCGCCAGGCCTGGAGGGCGGGGGGCTTACGTAGGGTTTAGGGTTTCGGGTTTAGGGTTTAGGGTTTAGGGTTTCGGGTTCAGGGTTTCGGGTTTAGGGTTTCGGGTTTAGGGCTTGGAGGGCATTTTTTGGGTGGTTGAGGGCCTGGGGCTCAGGACTTTAGGAGGGTTTGCGGGATTCACGCGGCTCAGGGGGTTCGACGGGCTTTTGGTGGAGCTTCTGGATCTTTAGGAGAGCTTTTGGGGCTTCGGAAATCTGGTTCGGGGCTTGTAGGCTGCTGAAACCTTAACAAGTGGGTTTAGGGTTTAGGGTTTAGGGAATCGGGTTTAGGGTTTAGGGTTTAGGGTTTAGGGTTTCGGGTTTAGGGTTTAGGGTTTAGGGTTTAGGGTTTAGGTCAAGTGTTTAAAGTTTGTCCTTGGGAGTGGTGTGGGTTCAGACATTGGTGCTTCTGGGGACATGCGGGCCAACACACTCAACGCTAAAGCCCTAAATCCTGAACGAAACCAGATCCCCTAAACTCCTAAAGCCCCCTACACCCCAAACCCTAAACCCTAAAACCCTAAACCCTAAACCCTAAACCCTAAGCCCTAAACCCCAAACCCTAAACACTAAACCCTAAACCCTAAACCCTAAACCCACCCTAAACCCTGAACCCCAAAACCTAAAACCGCTTTGATGACAGCGATTGGGCTCAGGCTCGGGAATCCCGTAAGCCCACAGCCGCCGCTTACAAACTCTACCAGCCCGGCAAATCCTGTAAATCCTTAAACCCTATAACCGAGACCCAACGTAGCAAAGGAGGAAAACCCTTTGTGGGTTTAAATGGGCTTCTCAGGGAACCTAAACCCCAAAAAGGGAATAAGGGCCTACTCTGGGTCCTCGTAACGCATACACGTATGCATACCAAAAACACATGACCTACAAACATCTATGCCATACACCATAAAGACCGCAAACACCACAAACCCGGCAAAAGCCCCCATCAACCCTCTAAACCCTGCAAGCCCTACAAGTACCCATAACAACCCAAACAGCCCCATAAACCCTAAACCCTAAACCCTAAACCCTAAACCCTAAACTAGGCTTTAGAGTAGGACTTGGGGGGGGGGGGGGGGGGGGTTCAGTTCCGGGGATGCCCTGCTGGCGCTGCCTCTGTAACCTGCGACCAGAAGTCGGGGAACCTCGTGGTTGTCAGGATTCCCTAAACCCTAAACCCTAAACCCTAAACCCTAAACCCTAAACCCTAAACCCTAAACCCTAAACCCTAAACCCTAAACCATATATATATATATCTATTTTTCTTTATATGTACATATTTAGTTAGAAGCATTTCCACACTCTGTTGTGATGTTATTTATGCCAAATCAGGAAACCCAAAAAGTTTAATTAAAGTTCTTCATCTGTTTGGCGAAAAAAGACAGCATCTGGGTTGGAAAACCGGCCGTTAAGGTGCAGAGGATAAGGTTGCGTGGAGTGATGGGATTCGTACTCACTTTTCAGCTCCTTCACTCCCACACAGCTTCGCAGCTACGTCCGCTTCGTGTTTTTGTCTTACTATTCTTCTTATTATTCTTCTACTACTTCTACTTTTTCTTCCTATTACTATTCTTGTTATTCCTTCTTCCCCTTCTTCTCATTCCTTCTCCTTCTCCTTCTCATTATTATTTTCTTCTTCTTCTATTCTTATTATTCCTTCTTCCCCTTCTTCTCATTCCTTCTCCTTCTTCTTCTTCTTCTTCTTCCTTCTTCTTCTTCTTCCTCTTCCGCTCCTCCTCGGAGGGCTGAGGAATCGGACCCCGAGCCCCTTCCGTCGACGCAGGGGTTTCTTGTCCGGCTCCCTCCCTCTCTGTCTCTCCCCCTAAGCCCTAACCGGAAACGTTACACCCCAAGCCCGAAACCCTAAACCTATAGGCCTCTGAACCTTGAGCCCTGCGAGCCCGGAACCCAAACCTCAAGAGCCCTGTCAGGGCCCCTGACTCGGATGGCTCGAAGACCGTCAAGGTGCCAGCCTTCCAAAAGAAGTTTTCCCAAAAGTGGGGGAAGACCCCAAAAACCCAAAACTCAAAACCCAAAACCCTAAACCCTAAACCCGATGGGCTTCGGGCTTTCGGGGCCCAGGGGGGGTGCCCCACGCGGGTTTGGGGGGGAAGTTTTCCGCATAAGAACGGGTGGGGGAGGGCATCTGCTGGGCTCCTCAGGATCCCTCTGTAGGGTTTAGGGTTTAGGGTTTAGGGTTGAGGGTTGAGGGTTGAGGGTTGAGGGTTGAGGGTTGAGGGTTGAGGGTTGAGGGTTGAGGGTTGAGGGTTGAGGGTTGAGGGTTGAGGGTTGAAGGCTTTAGGGTTTAGGGTAACCCCTAAGCAACTTAACCTGATTCTTCAATACAGACCTACAGTACTCCAGATCAGTGTCCCTCCGACGAAGCCTGAGGGTTCTGCCTCCCCCCAAACCCCAAACCCCAAACCCCAAACACCAAACCCCAAACCCCAAACCCCAAACCCCAAACCCGACACCCCAAACCCCAAACCCCAAACCCCAAACCGCAAACCCCAAACCCCAAACCCTAACCCCTAAACCCTACACTCGGGGTTGAGGGAATTTTCAGATCGCCTTCATCTTTGGGTTCGACGCGCCCGGCGGATTCGGAGGGTTGAGGCAGCCAGGCTGACCCCAGGCCGCCAGCAGGTACCTCGGCAAAGTAGTGGGGTTTAGGGTTTATAGGGTTTTAGGGTTTATAGGGTTTTGGGTTTAGGGTTTATAGGGTTTAGATGGTTTATAGGGTTTATAGGGTATATAGGGTTTATAGGGTTTATAGGGTTTAGAAGGTTTATAGGGTTTATAGGGTTTATAGGGTTTAGGGTTTAGGGCTGCCCCCCACCAACGCTCCAACATATTTCCCTCTACTCTGCTGTGCACGAAACAATCCTAAGAATACTTCGCATGACGGAAGTTGGGTATATGGGCATTTCCAAATTTAGGGGGTACCCCAAACCTGCCAGCTAAAACGAGATGCCCCTGGTTATAGCACCCCCCCCGCCCCCCCCCCCCCCCCCCCCCCCCCACCCCCCTCCCCCACAACCCCCCCCCCCCCCCCCCCCCCCCAACCCCCCCCCCCCCAACCCCCCCCCCCCCCCAACCCCCCCCCCCACCAAAGAAGGGACCCCCCAAACTGTGCAGAACCCTAAATTCGGACGCACGCCCCACCCCCCAATATTCTTATGGTTCTTTGGACCAGCAAGACGCGTCGACGCACTGCAAGCATTACAGGGGCTTAGGGTTTAGGATGTGCTTTAGGGTTTAGGGTTTAGGGTTTAGGGTTTAGGGTTTAGGGTTTAGGGTTTAGGGTTTAGGGTTTGGGGTTTAGGGTTTAGGGTTTGGGGTTTAGGGTTTAGGGTTTAGGGTTTAGGGTTAGGGTTTAGGGTTTAGGGTTTAGGGCTTAGGGTTCACGATGTGCGTTTCTTCAATCACACAAACCTGATCCAGGATGCGTCATCTCACACAGGTCGTTGTGGATGGCACCGCTGGTGAAGATGGCGATCTTCCTTGGGATGCTGTCAACGACACTTGGGGTTTAGGGTTTAGGGTTTAGGGTTTAGGGTTTTGGGATTTGGGTTTTGGGTATTGGGTATTGGGTTTAGGGTTTAGGGTTTAGGGCAACAAATCTGGGAGCAAGAGTGGCTTTCGTGGGTCTTCTTCGGGGGGGGAAGGGGGTCTTCGGACGTGGGAAGCCCTTGGAAAAAACCCTCAAACCCAAAACCCTTTCCACCGAGGCTTGCGGACAGCCTTTGAGGGCAACCTCAAAAGGGCGGAGGAACTCCAAAAAAAAAGCTACTTGGAGGTTCATGAACAGCTAATAAGCAAGGATATGTAAGTATGGTAACTGTACATAGAACCCCACTTCGGGCACGTTTAAGTACCCATGAACCTCCAAGTAGTGAAGGGGATGTTTCGCGGCCAGGCCCTGGCTATCAGTTTGGCTTCCGTGTTACATTGCCTTCGTCCTGGCAGCCCAGGAAGCAGGGCACCCTTTATGCGGCGTTGCCCACCCCAAACCCCAAACCCTAAACCCTAAACCCCAAACCCTAAACCCCAAACCCCAAACCCCAAACCCTAAACCCTAAACCCCAAACCCTAAACCCCAAACCCCAAACCCGACAAACGAACCCAAATGGCCCCCCAGGCCTTTGTCAGCCCAGCGTCTCGATGCGCCTTCTCAACAGCGGGATGTGGCCGATGTCCTCAGCTCGACTCTAAACACAAATCCAAACCTTGGGATGCTGCCCCTTAATGCTATCAGTCCTTAATAGGGATTACATTAGGGTTTAGGGTTTAGGGTTTAGGGTGTAGGGTGTAGTTATCAAAAGATTATAGTACCCCTTATCATAATCCCGATTAAGGAGCTGTTCGCTCTAGGGGCGGGGGGAGGGGTGGTGTCCTGAATGAGGGTCCCTTTACCCAGGGTTGTTCTGATTTGGGGGATGAGGGAATTCGGCACCTTATATCCCCCTATATTACCCTTTAAGGGGCTTTTATGGGGTGCCTAATTCCCTCATTCCCTACGCACAGCCCCGAAGTTCATGAGGGTCACCTTTTTACGCACCTTGTATCCAAGGATCCCTCAGCGGAAGATCCTCAAAGCTTGACTCACTCAGAACAACCCCCACATCCTAGAATTCATCGCCTGAATCTTACACACCCTGAACCCAAAACCTTTAGTTGGACAAACGAACCACCCCAAAATTTAGACGCTTACCTGCAAAAGGGAACCCTCCCCCTCCCCACCCCCGACTCCCCCCCCAAAAAAAAAGCAATAATAAAGCCGCTAGCTTTTCAGCAGCCGTACCGTAAACCCGAATTTCTTCATGTGAGGGCGCCAAAAAAGAGACCGCTAAGCCTCAAACCCCAGAGCCTGATAAATCAAAACAAATGGACCCCCAGAAAGGGACCCCAAGACAGAGCAACTAAACCATCTTTTGGGGTTTAGGGTTTAGGGTTTAGGGCTTAGGGTTTAGGGTTTAGGGTTTAGGGTTTAGGGTTTAGGGTTTAGGGTTTAGGGTTTAGGGTTTAGGGTTTAGGGTTTAGGGTTTAGGGTTTAGGGTTTAGGGTTTAGGGTTTAGGGTTTAGGGTTTAGGGTTTAGGGTTTAGGTTTTTTAGGGTTTAGGGTTTAGGGTTTAGGGTTTAGGGTTTAGGGTTTAGGGTTTAGGGTTTAGGGTTTAGGGTTTAGGGTTTAGGGTTTAGGGTTTAGCCTCCCATGTCTTCAATCCACGGTTCGTCGTAGACCCCAGCATCCCCGACAGCCTCCTCGTGCGTCCTTGCATTCTCGAGGTTCCAGAAGGCTTAGGGATAAGGGTCAAGGGGCTTAGGGCGTACCGTTTCAAAAACACCCCGCGGTCCGGCCTGGTCATGGGAGGCAGGTTTTTTGGGGGTTTGTAGGGAGGAGGGGGGGGGGGTAGGTAGCCTGCGACCCCGCAAAAAAGGCTGAAGATAACATGTTCATCCCCGCCAAGGCTCTGGGGCCTTCAAAGGCTTGTAGGCTACGGGGGTTTACCATCCAGGCGAGAGGTATGAGGTTCACCGTGATTAGGAGGAGGGTTTCAGGTTCAGGGTCAAACAGAACCCGAAACACAAAATAAGCCAAAGAAAGAAAGGACCCCAATTAGAAGAAAAAACCAACCAAAACCCTAACCCTCTCAAACTCAAGTACACAAAACAACCAAAAAAATGGGCCAACCCCCTAAACCCTAAACCCTAAACCCTAAACCCTAAACCCTAAACCCTAAACCCTAAACCCTATTCCCTATAAACCCTAAACCCTGAACCCTAAACCCTAAACCCTAAGCCTTGAACCGGCCGAGGGTCAGAGGCACGCCCTGCGAGTCCAGCGCCTTCGGCTTCAAGTTGCTTCGGGATTTTCGGGTTTTGGTGTGCAGGATCAGGGTTTGAGGCTTCAGGTTTACGGTTAAACCCTACACCCTAAGGGTTAAGGGAAGGTTGAGGGTTGAGGGTTGAGGGTTGAGGGTTGAGGGTTGAGGGTTGAGGGTTGAGGGTTGAGGGTTGAGGGTTGAGGGTTGAGGGTTGAGGGTTGCGGGTTGAGGGTTGAGGGTTGAGGGTTGAGGGTTGAGGGTTGAGGGTTGAGGGTTGAGGGTTGAGGGTTGAGGGTTGAGGGTTGAGGGTTGAGGGCTGAGGGCTTGAGGGTTGAGGCTTGAGGGCTTGAGGGCTTGAGGGCTTGAGGGCTTGAGGGCTTGAGGTTCAGGGCTTAGGGTTGCGGTTCTCATGTCCAAGCATTAACTACGCAGGCCAGCAAGTGCGCTTGTGTGGCGGAAAAATGCCCGCCCAGGCCAACAACAACAACAACAAAATCAACATGAATCTATTCATATGTAGCGGAGGAGGAGGAGGAGCTCCAAACCCCAAACCCCAAATCTCAATCCCTGGACCTTGGGATGTTTCCCTGAAACTAACAGTCCTCAATAGGGACTAGAGTACTCCCTACTATCATCCCTGCAAAGGACTGTTCGTATCAGGGGGCAACATCCCAACCTACACCCCCCCAATTCAAGTGCAGGGCTTTTTGGGTATCCACCCTAAACCCTAAACCCTAAACCCTGAACCCTAAACCCTAAACCCTAAACCCTAAACCCTAAACCCTAAACCCTAAACCCTACACCGCCAGGGCGCCAGGGGAGACCAGAGGCTGGCGTGGGGGAGCAGCTTCTCGCCCTCCGCGATCAGGCACTTCGGGATCCTCCAGAGTTTAGGGTTTAGGGTTTAGGGTTTAGGGTTTAGGGTTTAGGGTTTAGGGTTTAGGGTTTAGGGTTTAGGGGTTAGGGTTTAGGGTTTAGGGTTTAGGGTTTAGGGTTTTTTTTCGGGTTCAGGGTTTAGAGTTGACTTTGAGGAAGAAGTGCCGAAGGTGTAGGGTTCAGGGTTCAGGGCTCACGGTTTAGGGCTCAGGGAGTACCAAAGGTAGGCTTAGGATTCAAGACCTATGTTTAGGGGCTAGGGTTGAGGGGGGTCTAGGGTTCAGGCCCTCTAAGCCCCACACATTCAACACCCTCTTGAGGACTTGATAGGCAGACTTCTGAGATGTTCGGTGGTGTTCTCTGCCATTTCCTTAAGAAGCCGCCAAAAAATATTGAACAAATCTTCCTTATGAGGGCAATGTAGGGATTAGAATCTTCTATTTTGAGGGGGGTTCTTCAGCAAATACCAGTTCTGGGTGTTGGGATCGAGAAATGAGTCCCTAAACTTCCCTCGGGCCTCCTAGAAACTCACTTGTCGGGAAACCCTTAGCATACCCTTCCGAGGCGGGGGGGGGGGCTCTTAGGGAAAGCGCGCAGCCCTAAAGTAGAAGGGACGCTGGGAGATGCTGAGGGGATGCTGGGAGGGGTTCAGGGTTTAGGGTTTAGGGTGGTTCCCTAAACCCTAAACCCTAAACCCTAAACCCTAAACCCTAAACCCTAAGGAGGGGTTAGGGTCTTGTAGGTTTGGAGGGCTTCTGGGGCTTCTGGGGGTTTATGTGCTTTGCAGGGCTTGTAGGGTTTGTCGGTTTTGGAGATGTTGAGGGCTTAGGGGAAGCTCGGGGCTGCAAGGCATCCTGAGAGACTCAATGGTTTAGGGTTTAGGGTTTAGGGTTTAGGGTTTAGGGTTTAGGGTTTAGGGTTTAGGGTTAGGGGTTAGGGGTTTAGGGTTTAGGGTTTAGGGGTTTAGGGTTTAGGGTTTAGGGTTTAGGGTTTAGGGTTTAGGGTTTAGGGTTTAGGGTTTAGGGTTTAGGGTTTAGGGTTTAGGGTTTAGGGTTTAGGGTTTAGGGTTTAGGGTTTAGGGTTTCGGGTTTAGGGATGAACCCAGGATGGCCACAAAAAACCCTCTGAAAAACATTCCGACACTCCTTTTTCTGAATCCTCTTGAACCCAAGAAGGGAAATTTTGCCAAATGTTGCGAGGGCCTACCGAGTAACCTACGAACCCTAAGCCCTAAACCCTAAACCCTAAACCCTAAACCCTAAACCCTAAACCCCTTGGGGTCCGAGGGGCTTGTCGGCCCAGGTGCGGATCTGAAAGTCCGCGATGTACGACGTCGCGGTGCCGGCCCAGGTGGCCAGGTCCCCGACGTTGAGGAGGCTGCGGGACACCTCCATCCTTCGTTTTGAAGGCGATGAGGGAACCCGAAACCCTAAATCCAAAGCCCTAAACCCCAAACCCTAAACTACCCCAAACCCTAAACCCTAAACCCTGAACCCTAAACCCCAAACCCTAAACCCCAAAAACCCCAAAACCCCAAACCCCAAACCCTAAACCCCAAAACCCGAAACCCTAAACCCTATTACGGATACCGCCCCCCCCCCCCCCCCCCAGCCTAAACCCTAAACCCTAAACCCCAAACCCCAAAACCTAAACCCCAAAACCCAAAACCCTAAACCCTATTACGGATACCGCCCCCCCCCCCCCCCCCCCAGCCCTAAACCCTAAACCCTAAACCCTAAACCCCAAACCCTAAACCCCAAACCCTAAACCCCAAACCCCGAAACCCTAAACCCTACTGGGGATGCCCCCCCAGCAGCTAGAGGCTAAACCCGATTTGCGTGGCCTGCGAGGCAAGACCTAGAGTCGAGGGTCTTCATGCCTGGGTTAAGAGACTTCAGGGTTTTAGGGTTTTAGGGTTTGGGGTTTAGGGTTAAGGGTTAAGGGTTAAGGGTTAAGGGTTAAGGGTTTAGGGTTTAGGGTTTAGGGTTTAGGGTTTAGGGTTTAGGGTTTAGGGTTTAGGGTTTAGGGTTTAGGGTTTCGGGCCAAGCCGCCGCAACTCGTCCCCATTGCTGAAGTTCGTCCACGGGCTTCGGGGCTGAGAGCTCCAGGCAAAAGGCTCGACGAGCACGTCACCGACGCCTCGGTTTAGGGTTTAGGGTTTAGGGTTTAGGGTTTAGGGGGTTTAGGGTTTAGGGTTTAGGGTTTAGGGTTTAGGGTTTAGGGTTTAGGGTTTAGGGTTTAGGGTTTAGGGTTTAGGGTTTAGGGTTTAGGGTTTAGGGTTTAGGGTTTAGGGTTTAGGGTTTAGGGTTTAGGGGGAGGCCTGTCTTTCGGTGTCTCAGGGTCTTTGGGGGTTTCAGGGTTAGGAGGGTTTTGGGTTTTAGGTTTTAGGGATTGAGGGTTTGAGGGTTTGAGCCTTAGGTTTTTAGGATTTGAGGGTTCTAAGCTCAAGGGGTTGTGAGCCTCGGTGGACATCCGTTGCATTGTAGCCCGGAAAGGTCCCTGTGTACAACGGCGTCTGCTCCAAGGGAAAGAACACCAAGGGGTCCGTCTGGTTCAAACCGGTGTAGGGAGCGATGATGGCAGATTGTGACAGCAAGAAAGGGAACTTCCTGGACACATCCTTGGCCGTGTAGATGGTCTTCCCCTTTCCTGAGTTGCCCAGAAACCTGTATGTAAGAAGGGTGCCCCATGCTCTCTAACGGGGCTGATACGGGATCCTGACAGTGGGGGGGGGTATGAAAATAGGGACCCCTAATCTACACCACCCCGAATAGTAGGATTCCCTTATATGAAGGACCCCAATAAGGTACCCCTATTCTCTTAAACCCTAAACCCTACACCCCAAACCCCAAACCCCAAACCCCAAACCCTAAACCCCAAACCCCAAACCCTAAACCCTAAACCCTTCAAAAGGGAAAGAAAGGGCCGACCTCACAGGCCTCCGAGCTTCCGAACTTCACCTTCATGCGGTCCAGCTGTGACTCGTGGCAGTGGGTGGAGCTCCGTCCCGCAAGCTCAAAAGGATGAAGGAAGGCGTAGGCGGCCAACCTTGGGGGTAGGTTCCGGGGGTTTAGGGTTTAGGGTTTAGGGTTTTGGGGTTTAGGGTTTAGGGTTTAGGGTTTAGAGAGTTTTTGGCTTTTTTCAGGATTATACAGGGGACTCAGGGTCATCAAGAAATCAAAGTTATGTTCAAACTGACCCCTGGCAACGTGGAGTAGAGGCCATGGAGGGAGCCTGGCTGGAAGCGCTCCACAATGCAGGCGCACCAGCCTTCGTCCGCAGGACAGCCCAAGAGGCCCTCCCAGATGCCGCTGGCCTCGCTCTCCTCCTCGCTTTCCCGTTCATGCCCGCGAAGCCGCCGTGCTTCTTCCGGGCCCTTGTGGCCCTTGGGGTACTTTCGGAAGTGCGCCAGGCGGCGAAGGCCCGTCCCAGCCTTGTCAACGAGCGCCTCCGGCGTCATGTTCTGGAGCGGCAGCGTCTGGCCCAGGTAGTCCTCCACGGAGTCAAGGGATTGGTAGTAGAGAGGGAGCCCGAGCCAGACTGAGCCTGAGGTCACCTTGGCAGCCCAGGAACCATCTTATAATGAGGGCACCCTTTTTGGGGCTATAAGGGAACCCATAACCAAAAAAAGGGTAAAGAGTACCCTAAACCCTAAACCCTAAACCCTGGGCGACCAAGTCACGCTCAGGTACCTGGCCTTGTCCAGCAGCCCCGCGTCCCGCAGCGTGCGGATCACACCGTGGCCCAGCGCCAGGCCTCGCATGCCGCCGCCCGCCAGGGCGATGCCAAAGCTGGGCTTGCTCTTCAGATCTGCTCGGGCCTTTCAGGGTTTAGGGTTTAGGGTTGAGGGTTGAGGGTTGAGGGTGGAAGGTTGAGGGTTGAAGGTTGAGGGTTGAGGGTTGAGGGTTTTGGGTTTTGGGTTTAGGGGCCTCAGACAGCTCTGGCAGCTGGAAATCCGGTCGCGATGGCTGCCACACACGGGCGGTCAGCTCCTCCGAACCGGCGTAGCACACGCCGACCACCAGGAGCTGGCATAACCGGCGGAGCCCGAGGGGCATGGCAGCGGACGGCATTGTGCCCCCTCTGCGTGTTGCGAGGCTGCGTTGTGTGGGGATTCTTATTCCGGAGGGACTTTTTGCGCATACCTGTCGTCTGGCATCGCTAACTCCTCGCGATCTTAGCTTCTTGAGGAAAGTCATCGGTCGAGAATCCTGCTCGAGCCCAAGAGGCTGTTGCAGCAAAAGGAGGCAAACTCACCCTCTCTTTAGAGCAGTAGCTGTGGCAAGTGGCAGGCAGACTACGGGCCCTAACCCTAAACCCAAAACCCTAAGTTACTAAATCCCTATAAACCCTATATCCCGAAATCTTCGGAACTCCATGCAAAAAATAAGAGTCTCACAGGCTCAGCCGTCGGGACTCCCGAAGAGCTACTTTATAACGGAACCCAGAACCAAAAATAAGGGCAAACGGTACCACTGGGCTACCAAGCCTAAATCCTCAACAGCCCCCAACATGAGGGACACAACGCCTTCAGACTTGTTCAAAGAAGGAAGGGCAAAAGTGCTCGCGGGCCGCCTTCTTGGACTCCCGCCTGCAGACGCCTGCGAAGGGATTTTGTTGAGGGGACGGGGGGCCGGGAGGTTTCGGGGTTTGGGGCTTTGGGTTCAGGGCTTCTCTAGGTGAAGGTTTTGGGTCGTGGGGTTCGATTTTCGGCCCTCTAAACCCTAAAACCCTAAACCCCAAAACCTGAACCCTAAAACCCGAACCCTGAACCCTGAACCCTGAACCCTGAACCCGGCCCCAGACCCGAAGCTTCCGAAACCCGATGTCCCACAGCGTCCACTGAGAGGCAAAGCAACAGCCTTAGGGTCTTGGGCTTTTTGGGTTTAGAGTGTAATTTAGGGTTTAGGGTTTAGGGCTTGGGGTTTGGGGTTTAGGGTGCGCGGTTTAATTAGGGTTTTGGGTTTGGGGTTTTGGGTTTAGGGGCATGGATGGTAAACACTGCTGGGTTTCAACGAAGGGCCGGGTACGTGATTCTGCTGAAGAGGTGCATCATATATTCCTGGGACAGTGGTGGCTGCCATGACAAGGCAACGGTGTCACGCTCAGCAAGGGCAACACCCGCTTTGAGGAGCTCTCCGAAACCCCTGCAAGACACAAGGGTGGACCTCCATTACAATTGGCCAAAAAAACATTACTTGAGACGAAAGAGGACCGCTACCACATCCTGGACGATCAGTCTGAGGCGCGACTGCTGAGTCCGAGAAACAGTCCAAGCAAATTGCGGTGTCAGAGTCAGAAGACACAAGCATGTTCCACAGGGACGGGGTGCAACAGTGGGAACTTGACAAATGGATGAAGGGAGTGCACAAAGAACCGATGAAAAGCAAGGGTGTCTTGGAGCAAGTGGACCGCGGCGAATATGCTGGTCACAAGCCAGTGCCAAGCAAACTCGCGCTCAGAGTTTAGGGTTTAGGGTTTAGGGTTTAGGGTTTAGGGTTTAGGGTTTAGGGTTTAGGGTTTAGGGTTTAGGGTGGTTCCCTAATACTCCCCACTACTTCCTAAGGCCCCCCAAGCTTCCGTGAAGTTTCCTAAGCACCTACCCCGCGTGAGCCCCCCTCCCTAAGGACCCTCTGAGACAAGGAACAGATGTAAAGGACTGCTCACATAGGGTTAGGGTTTGGAGGGTGTGGCTAAGCCTTAAGCCCTGAAGCTACATCCCCCCAAACCCTGAACCCCAAACTCTAAACCCTAAAACCCTCAACCCTAAACTCCACGCCTCCCCCCCCCCCCCCCCCCCCCAAAAAAAAAAAAAAAACGAAAAATAAGATACAAAAACAAAAACAAAAAACTACAACAAGCAAAAAAACTGGGGGCCGTCAGCCCCGCAGGGTTTAGGGGCAACCCTCCCTCCCGTCGTGCCTCGAACATGTATGGAGCCCTCGGCGGAGGTGTGGGGGGTGTAGGATGCCGGAGTTTGTGTTGCCCTTGATTTGGTCCCTTGCTGCAAAACCGTCTGTATACACTATACATCATAAGGGCACATACTTCGGACCCCTATAAACCAGGGTAAGAGGCCAGACGAAGGACCCCACGGTTTTAACCTTAGAGTTTGCGGGTGCAGGTTTGTTGGCTTTAGGGGTCAGGTTTGTGTTCTCCTTGGGAGGGCCCTTGTGGGGTTACGTTTGAGAAGGGACCCCTCAAATAGACCCCCCGATAGTAGGATCACCTCATAATAATAAGGACCCCAATAAGGTAGCCCTTAATCTCGTGAACCCCATGTGGTCCCTTGTACCATCTCTAAAGGGTTCTGAAGTATGGGCCCTTGGGTTGTTTCGAGTATAAAAGGGGTTCTGGCCTAGACCACTGACTTAAAGCCTCAAGCCTCAACCAAAGAGCGCTATACCCCAAAAGCCCAAACCCTAAACCATAAAACCTAAACCCTAAACACTAAACCCCAAACCGCCCCAAAACCCTAAACCCTAAACCCTAAACCCAAAACCCTAAACCCTAAACCCTAAACTCAACAACCAGGCACTCTAAGCCCTGGGAGTGGTTGCTGTCGAGGGGCACCTGGGGCGGGGCTGGGCTGCGGACATCGGCCGGCAGCTCGCGCGGGCGTGGTGGAGGAGGGGGGGTTGGAACGGTTAGGGTTTAGGGTTTAGGGTTTAGGGTTTAGGGTTTAGGGTTTAGGGTTTAGGGTTTAGGGTTTAGGGTTTCGGGTTTCGGGTTTCGGGTTTCGGGTTTAGGGGTTTAGAGTTGAGGCTGCACGGGGTTGAGGAGGGGTTAGGGTTGAGGGTTGAAGGTGGTCTACGCTGTAATGTAATCCCCACGGCACAATTCAAAAACACAGACACACACACACACATGATATATGTATATACATGGTCAGCAGTCCCTTGAGCGTGATTTGAACAGTAGTTTGGGTGGTCTTTTCTCATGTCGTTGTACTGGGGATTGTGAGGGGGGGTTGGTCACGCTTCGGCTCCTGTAGGAAGGGTTGACAAGTTTAGGGTTTGGGATGTAGGGTTTCGGGCTTAGGTTTTAGGGCTTAGGGTTTAGGGCTTAGGGTTTAGGGTTTGGGGTTTAGGGTTTAGGGTTTAGGGTTTAGGGTTTAGGGTTTAGGGTTTAGGGTTTAGGGTCTAGAGGGTCACTGTTCTAGCATTCATAGTCATTAGGGGGTTCCTGGCTAAGGAACAAACCCACCCACCCAAAGAATCCCATAACATTAAGAAATATAAAGTTCACTCAGCAACGGTGCCGACGCACCAAAAACGGCTCAAGAACGGTGCCGACGCACCAAAAAGTGCTCAAGAACGGTGCCAGACTGACCAAAAAGTCACGAACAACGGGGTCAGATTGACCAAAAAGTCACCAACACTGGTCCAGATTGACCAAAAAAGTCACCAACACTGGCCCAGATTGACCAAAAGTCACGAACATTGGGGTCAGATTGACCGAAAAGTCACGACCAATGAGGGGCAACTGACCGAAAAGTCACCAACACGGGGGTCAAATTGACCAAAACGTCACGAACACTGGTCCACATTGACCAAAAAGTCACGAACAATGGGGTCAGATTGACCGAAAAGTCACGAACAATGGGGGGCAGATTGACCAAAAAGTCACGAACATTTAGATACATATATATATATATATATATGATAGAGAGGGTTTAGGGTTTTGGGTTTTGGGTTTTAGGGTTCAGGGCTTGTAGGCACTCAATTAGGGGCCTTGGGGGGCTTTCTGGCTTCCGGGTTGGGGCGTACTTGAAAGCCCGTCTTTCTGCCACGCTACGACACTGTACAGCCCAAGAAGCGAGAATGCGCCGAGACGGAGGGGTTCAAAACCTCCCACCGGCTCAACAAGTCGCGGACCTCAGCGTTTCACCGGGGTGCCGCAGGCTCATATGGGGTTGAGCTCGAATTCTGGACCCTTTTTTCGGTCTCCATGTATCTTCCTCACAGTTTAGAGTACCAAAAACAAGCCCAGAATGTGGCTCAATCCCCTACATAACCGCAAACGGTTGAGACTGTTCGTGTGGCTGGGCGAGTCTCAGACACACTTTGTGCTGCTTCGCGCAGCTTGAACTTCCGCAGTGGCAGAGGCAGCATAACATTGTACTGCTGACATCTGCAATGGAACGACGTCTCCGTCTCCCAGACGCTCTAGGCTCGAGACCCTCCCTCAAACCCTAAAGCCTGAAACGTACAGCCCGCTGCTCCGCAGGGCCTCCACGAACTTCCTCAAAACTGTCAACCCTAAACCCTAAACCCTGTGAGAGGCCGTCTCTTCGAGTCTGAGAGGCGGCAGTGACGCTTTGCTGCGTCGCGATGGTGCCAAAAATCATATTATTGGAGGCAGGGGCAGCTCCGAAGGTGGCGTTTAGGGTTTAGGGTTTAGGGTTTAGGGTTTGGGGTTTAGGGTTTAGGGTTTAGGGTTTAGGGTTTAGGGTTTAGGGTTTAAGATGAGAGCTAGAAGATGCCAGTTACAGCAAAGGGCCCGTAGCTGCGCAGAACCCACCTTCAGGAGCTGTCTTTCAATCGTCTTGAGGGCATGGTCACACCCAGCAGACCGCGCAGGTTTCGCACAGCTGCAGCACAGGCTAAGCTAGTTCATGGTTGGGATCGTATTTTACAAATGAAACTCCACTCCTTATTGTGCTTCAGTACCCTTAAACATATGACAATGACAAAGGATGAAGAAGCACCGACACGCATGAGAAAAGTATTGCAGTAGACTGGAGAGTGCGATGGGCTCGAGTAAACCTGATCATGATTTTAACACCCGGTTACGAGCATCAGCCTGAGGCAAAGGAGGTCGAGATTCCGAAAGGTCCAAGTGAGACGCATCAAGGCTTTCACATGATTCACAGGTGATCGCTTCACGCTTCCTTGGAAAAAAACTGGCTAATCTCGTTGCCCAACCGGCATTGAATCCCCCAAATCCCACGTCCCTTCCTTACAAGAGGTTCTTCTATACAACCCCTTAAGATTAAGAGGTCTTAGGCCACCTGCAAAACAAGGATTTTGGGTTCTTTGGGTCAGCCTCCCCCCGCCCCCCAACCCCCGCGCTCACCCCCCATAGCCCAGAGCCCAAGCATCCTCTTCGTCCAATAGCACCATCACCTTGGCTGCTCTCGGGATGCGACAGCGTCAGACTCACCCACCTATGTTCCATAGCTGCCCTGCACCTTGCCCTACCAGCTGCCACAGAAAGACCACAACATGGAACGATACCCCCCCCCCTACTCCACGACATTCGCGCCAGATTCGATGCGAAAAGGCTCCTGCCGCCACAGGCCTAAACCCGATTTGTCCCTGCCATATCCAACAAGACACAAACGCAAGCTGAGAGCTGTCCTTAAAACCCTATTGTAAGGAAAGAAGGGACACTAAACACTATCCCACAGCGCAACTCAACCCTGAAACCTCCAGCCCTAAACCCTAAACCCCTAACCTCAAAAAAACCCAACAGCCGAGTGGCCAGGGGCTGCTGCTCCAACTCCGTTGGCTGCACCGCCTCCGGCCGCCTCGCCATGTCAAGGGACCTCAGTGTTTGGGGTAGGGGGCGGGGGGGTCCTAGTGTCTCTCCAGAATCTAGGCTACATCCCTAGAACCCTGAACCCTAAACCCTGAATCCGAAACCCTAAACCCTAAACCCTAAACCCTAAACCCTATATAATAGCCCTAAACCCTAAACCCGGCGCCAGGCGACGGGCACCAGCTCCCGAGCCGCTCCGTGCTCCTGAGAGGCTTTCGACAGCTCGCATGCCCAAACACTCCCGACCCCCCCCCCCCTCCCCGCCCCCAAGAATAAAATTAAAAATGTCAACAACAATACAACATAAAACCCTTTCAACCCTAAAAGCCCTAAAACCCTACAAACCCTAAAACCCTAGAAGCCTCTAAAGCACCTAAAGCACCTAAAGCCCCTTTAAAAACCCTTCCACCCCGAAAAGAATCCTGCAGCCCATCAAACCCCCAGCTCAAAAACCCGAAACCCGAAACCCTAAACCTAAGCCCTAAGCCCTATACCCTAAACTATAAACTAAACCCTAAACCCGAAACCCTAAACCCGAAACCCTAAACCCTAAAGCCCGAAGCCCTAAACCCTAAGCCCTAATCCCTAAGCCCTAAGCCCTAAACCCTAAACCCTACACCCTAAACCCTAAACCCTAACCCTACTATAAACCCCAAACGTCGCCCGGGCTCCTGCCCGCAGCCGCAAGCTCCCGCTCGGCCGCCAGCAGCGGGCCGCTCAGGGCGTAGAGGCCCACCACGCGCATGCCTTAGGGCTGAGGGTTTAGGGTTTAGGGTTTAGGGGGGTTGAGTTCTGGAAGTTTGGGGCCTATCAAGCTTTATAGCTCCTAAGACCGACACCGTAAACCCCCAGAATGAACGCAGGGGTGCTCCTTCTTGTGCAGCAAAGGGAACAAGGGTGCTAGCACCAGGCAAACCCCTAAACCACGATTGTGCTTGCCTCAAGGCTAAACCCAAAACTCTAAACCCTGAACCAATCGACGGCTCTGGAGGTTTGCTTATCGGGCCCCTCCGGGTTTGGGTTTAGGGTTTAGGGTTTAGGGTTTAGGGTTTGGGGTTTGGGGTTTGGGGTTTGGGGTTTGGGGTTTGGGGTTTGGGGTTTGGGGTTTGGGGTTTGGTGTTTGGGGTTTGGGGTTTGGGTTTTGGGGTTTGGGGTTTGGGGTTTGGGGTTTGGGGTTTGGGGTTTGGGGTTTGGGGTTTGGGGTTTGGGGTTTGGGGTTTGGGGCTTAGGGCTTAGGGTTTAGGGTTTTGGGTTTAGGATTAGGGTTTAGGGTTTAGGGTTTAGGGTTTAGGGTTTAGGGTTTAGGGTTTAGGGTTTAGGGTTTAGGGTTTAGGGTTTAGGGTTTAGGGTTTAGGGTTTACAGAATAGGGTTTAGGGTTTAGGGTTTGGGGTTTAGGGATTTTAGAACTTAGCGCTTATCTCGGGTTGCTAACCAGAAAAACTTGTCCCCAAGATGCTTCCGCCCATGAAGAGCACCTGACCATCAGCCACCTCCGCCGGGTGCGGCTGGGATATCTTTTCTGCGGAGCTGCCTGTATACTGACTTGCTTTGTTCTACTGAATATACGATAACATGATGAAAACCAGGCTTCTCACGTCTACAGTACTAAGGAGCTATACCTTGTTTGGGGCGAAGCCCTCCACCCTAACCCCTGAATCAGCCCCAAAACCCAAAATCCCAAACCGCGAAGTGTAGATGAAGGGGATAGGGTTAAAACCCTAAACCCTACTCCCTTAACCCTAAACCCAAAACCCGAAGCCCTAAGCCCTAAACCCTCAGCCCGAAGCCCTCAACCCGAAGCCCTAAACCCTACACCCCAAGCCCCGAAACCCTAACCCCTGAACCCTAGCCTAAACCCTAAACCCTAAACCCTAATACCCTAAACCCTAATACCCTAAACCCTAAATCCCCCTAAAGCTCCTCTCTGCCCCTCCCGGCCTGCTTGGCGGAGAGGAGGCGGCGAACCTTGAAGATGAGACCTGGGCACGTGAGGGTTTAGGGTTTAGGGTTCAGGGCTTAGGGATTAGGGCTTGGGGTTTAGGGTTTAGGGTTTAGGGTTTAGGTTTTAGGGCTTTGGGTTAGGGTTTAGGGTTTAGGGTAAAGGGCGGGGTTTAGGGCTTAGGGTTTAGGGTTAAGGGTTTGGGATTTGGGGTTTAGGGTTGGGGTGTGGGGTTTCGGGTTTAGGGGTTAGGGATTGGGGTTTGGGGTTGAGGGTTTAGGGATTGGGGTTTGGGGTTTAGGGTTTAGGGATTCAGGTTTAGAGTGTAGGGTTTCCTGAAGCTTGGTGAATCCTGAAGTCGTGCTTGGCACACACAAACCCTCAACCCGAAACGCCCTAAAGCCACCACAGCAAGACCAGAAAGAACACCCTAAACCCTACACGCTACACGCTACACCCTACACCCTACACCCTACACCCTACACCCTACACCCTACACCCTAAACCCTAAACCCTAAACCCTAAACCCTAAACCCTAAACCCTAAACCCTAAACCCTAAACCCTAAACCCTAACCCTAAACCCTAAACCCTAAACCTTAACAGATGATGTCAAGGGGCCCAGGGAGGTCGTCTCAGCACCTAGCGCCAGGGCAGCCATGGCAGAGCCGAAGTCAAGGGTGCCCGCCTTTGAGAGCAGGGCTAAGTTCAGGATCTAGGGTCTGGGGTTTAGGGTTTAGGGTTACAGTTTAGGGTTTGGGGTTTGGGGTTTGGGGTTTGGGGTTTGGGGCTTGGGGTTTGGGGTTTGGGGTTTGGGGTTTTGCGTGGGGACTTAGGACTTTGTTGGCTTGTTAGGTGACTGGGCTTGGGGTTTACGACCACGCAGCATCATACATGGCAAAAGATACGGCTTCTGTATCATGAGCTCCTCAGCAACACACACCAGGTCCCAGTTGAGGGCTTGGGGGCAAGGGCTTGGGGTTTTGGGTCTAGAAGCTGGTGATTGCGTAACTTGTATGGGCTTATGGAAGCAAGCCGCCGTCGCCGCAGGCCACATGACCACGGATCCCAGGGAGAACTGCTTGAGCGATGGGGCCTGGGCCCCGCTCCTCATCACCGCCCGGTAGCACGGGCCGCGCGCGCTGGGCAGCGCGCTCAGCGCCGACTTCAGGACCGTCATGTAGAGCTGGCACTGCGCATGGACGTCCACGAAGGTGGTGACGGCGTGGAGCGCCATGAGGTGGATGGCCGACAGGCCGGATCTTCCTTCGCCTTGCGCAATCTCTCTCTGCACGAGGAAGCGGACGAGGGAGGCTTTTGCCGGGCCGAGCAAGTCCAACAACGCGGATGCGGCCACTTCCTCCTTGGCCGCCGCCTCCTCCTGCTCGGCGGAGATGGACGTCACGCGTGTGAGAGCTGGAGGTTGCAGTGGCACGGGCAGCAAGCCCCCTGTGGGCGGGGCATCCGCCGGCCTCACTTCGCTGATGCCGAAGAGCATCTTCTCTCGAAGATCTTGCAACCGGGAGAGGGGCGTGGCACTGGCTAAGAGCTGCACCGCCTGGGGCAGGAGGCTCCAATCGCTTGGGTCGAGTAGCCGCGCAGCCGCTGAAGGTGCACCAGCAGCCGTCTTGCTGTCTTGTGACTGGCGTCGGGACCGGCCCAAACGCCGAAGCCCTTCGAGGTCTGCATTGCTGAGGGTAACGCCTGCATCGAGCATGACCCTGGCCGCCTGCTGTGACCCCGACCACTGGGCCCACATCAATGCCGACGGTGTTGGGCCTGGCAGGGGGTCCTCGGAGATGTCGATCGCTGCCAACAGCTTGATGGCCTCGGCATCGTCCAGCAATGCTGCAAGGGCCGAGGGCCGCAGCACCCCCACCCCGGCGCAGATGGCTGACACCTTCGGGTCTGAGCCAACCTCGTCCAGCACCTGCTTGAAGGCCTCGTGGGCTGAAGTCGCCTTCGTGGACTCCTTGCCTTCGGGGCAGAGGCGCCGCAGCAAGGTCCAGCGGTGCGGCTCCAGGACCGCGCGCACCTGCTCCTGGGCCAGCTGCGTGCCGGCCGTGCGCGGGATGCCCGCGGGCTGGGGCCGCAGCCCGCGCTGGAGCAGCAGGTCGCAAGCCCGGTCCAAGCCGCCCAAAGCCGCCAGGTGCAGGACGTTGCTCCCCTCCTCAAGGCCCAGGGCCTCACAGGCGGCTTGGCCCAAAGGCGGCTCCTGGCCCCAGGTTTGTGCAAGCAGCAGCTTCGCGGCCTCATCGTGGTCGCGGGCCACCGCGACGGCCAAGGCGGAGAAGCCCTGAACGCGGGTCCTCGGAACACCACGCAACTGAAGCATCTGAAGCCCCCTGCCTCCCCTAGACAAAGCCTGCAGACTCTCAAGCCCAAAACCAAGAACCCTACTCGGAGGTTCATGGGTAGTTATAAGTGTGGTTATAAAGTGCCCTAAGTGGGGCTATATAAGTACAAGTTCCATACTTGTAACCCTACTTATCGCTACCCATGAACCTCCAAGTAAAGACCCTAAAACCCTAGTCCCTGAACCCTAATCCCTAAACCCTAATCCCTAAACCCTAAACCCTAAACCCTAAACCCTGAACCCAGGGTCCTGAGCTCGGCTTTCGTGTTGATCAACACGCGCAGGGCCCCCAGCTGCGAGGTCGCGGCGGCAAAGTGCACGGAGCCTTGGGGCCACTCAGGGTTTAGGGTTTAGGGTTTAGGGTTTAGGGTTTAGGGTTTAGGGTTTAGGGTTTAGAGTTTAGGGTTTAGGGTTTAGGGTTTAGGGTTTGGGGTTGCGGGGTTTAGGGTTTAGGGTTTAGGGTTTAGGGTTTAGGGAACTAGGGTTTTAGGGATTAGGGTTTAGGACCGAGGGCACACCGGAGACGTATACTCCCAACTACAGGCCAAAGACCCCTGAACCCTAAATAAACCCTAAACCCTAAACCCTAAACCCCAAAGCTTCTCAGAAAGGGCCCCCAAGCTGCGACCCGGCACGGCACCGATGCGCAGGAGCAGAGCCAGAGCCTCCCGAAGTTTAGGGTTTAGGGTTTAGGGTTTAGGGTTGAGGGTTGAGGGTTGAGGGTTGAGGGTTGAGGGTTGAGGGTTGAGGGCTTAGGGCTTAGGGGTTAGGGGTTAGGGGTTAAGGTTTAGGGTTTCGGGTCTAGGGTTTAGGGTTTAGGGTTCAGGGTTTAGGGTTCGAGTTTCGGGGGTTCAGGGGCTCAGCCGCTTGGGGGTTTAGGGTTTAGGGCTAGGGTGTAGGGTTGTGCAGGGTTACAGGGTTTAGGGTTGGGGTTTAGGGGTCTAGCCGTTTAGGGGATTCGGGGTTAAGGGTTTAGGGCTTGGCGTTGCGAGGGTTCGGGTTTCGGGGCTTCGCGCCTGGAGGGCGCCCGTGGAGGCTGCCACCTCCGTCGGGAGCACGCCGCTGCTGTCACGGTGCGGGTCTGCGCCGCAGGCGAGGCACATCTGCAGCACCTGGCCGAATGTTCAGGCAGTTGCTGATTAAAAAAAGGCACCGTTTCGTCATAAGTCAGCCCTAAACCTCAACCCTCAACTCTAAACCCTCAACCCTAAACCCGAAACCCAGCTGCTCAGGGTGCTCCGGATTGAGGGTCGGGTCCGGGGTTCCCATTCTTGCAGAGCTTGACTGGAACCACGAACCCCCGAGCCGCAAGCTCACAAAACGGTTTAGGGGTCAGGGTTTAGGGCTTAGGGTTAAGGGCTTAGGGTTTGGGGTTTGGGGTTTGGGGTTTAGGGTTTAGGGTTTAGGGTTTGGGGTTTGGGGTTTGGGTTTGGGGCTTGGGGTTTGGGGTTTGGGGTTTGGGGTTTGGGGTTTGGGGTTTGGCCAAAATCTAGTTATCTAGTTATAATGGACATAGAAAGACTAAATAGCGACCCAGTGAAATTAAGTAAGCACGCCCCTCGAATTCCACTCTCCCCTTGGAACATGGCGACATGGCGCACGCAACATGTTTGATCTTTTCTTGGGCTTGTCTAGGGGGACCGTTCAACCCGAAACCTTGAACCCTAAACCCGGACAACCCTAAACCCTAAACAGACTGTAGGAGCCCCAAACATGGCACAAAGCCTTAAACCTTTAACCCAGGAACCTGAAACCCACATAGCCATAGCTTCCATAATCTCCATCACCCCCCCCCCCCCCCCCCCCCCCCCCCCCCCCCCCAAACCGCAAGAACCCTAAACCCTAAACACCAAACCCTAAACCCTTAACCCTACCTCCAGGTCGTTGTTCGCTGCAGCCAGCCACAGCACTGAAGGCTGCTCCCGGCCGAGGGCGTTGAAGTCCAAGTCCAGGCCACGCACGAGAAGCTCTTGGATAACCTGCAGGGTTGAGGGTTGAGGGTTGAGGGTTGAGGGTTGAGGGTTGAGGGTTGAGGGTTGAGGCTTGAGGCTTGAGGCTTGAGGCTTGAGGCTTGAGGCTTGAGGGTAGCATGTTGATCAAAACCCTGAAACATAGACCCGAAACCTTATAACCTAAAGCCTAAACCCCAAACCCTAACCCTACACCCTAAACCCCAAACCCTAAACCCTAAACCCCTACACTGCTCTTCTCCTCTCTCCCCCAAAGACTTGTGCGCCTGTAGGCGCTTGGGGGCGCGGCTGTCAATGGCCTGCTTGATCTTGGACCAGCTGCGCTGCAGCCTCTTCGGCGACACCCTAAGCCCCAAAACCCTAAACCCCTAAACCCCTAAACCCCTAAACCCTTAAACCCTAAACCCCGAAACCCCGAAACCCCGAAACCCCTAAACCCCTAAACCCCTAAACCCCTAAACCCCTAAACCCCTAAACCCTAAACCTAAGCCCTACCGGAGAGGAGTTGGGTTAGGGTTTCGGGGTTTGGGGCTTAAGGTTTGGGGTATAGGGTTTAGGGTGTTTAGGGTGTTGTATTGTGGTTTTATGGGGTCTTGTGGGTTGGGGTTTGAGGGCTTGGGGGCTTTGGATTAGAGAGAGGCAGGTACTAAACCTTAAACCCTAAACCCCAAACCCTGAACCCTGAACCCTAAACCCTAAACCCTAAACCCTGAGGCAATTGTAGCTTCAGACCGCCGTTAAACTGCCGGGGACCAAACTTCTCAAAGTTGCCCGCGCCCCGACCCTGAAATTCCCAAACCCCTAACTCTTTCCCCCCATGCCTTAAATCCCAAACACATAAAACCCTACAAGCCCTTCAAACTCCCTAAACCCTAAACCCTAAAACCCTAGACCACCCTCTAAGCCCTACAAACCCAACAGATAAGAACTTCCAACACAAAAAGGGAAGGACTCGCAAATCCTGAGCCCTAAAACCTAAACCCTAAAGCCTTATCTCTAAACCCTAAACCCTCGACCCTCAACCCTAAACCCTAAACCCTCAACCCTCAACCCTAAACCCTCAACCCTAAACCCTAAACCCTACCGGCCAAGCCGCATTGGCAGTGCCATTGGCTCCGCCCGCGCTGCAGCCTTCTGCTGCTCCACCGCTGACCACTGTTCGGTCCACTTCCTTGTGGGGGACGGGGAGGGGGTAGGGGTTCAGGGTTTAGGGTTTAGGGTTTAGGGTTTAGGGTTTAGGGTTTAGGGTTTAGGGTTTAGGGTTTAGGGGTTCAGGGTTTAGGGCCCTTCAATCCTAAGAATCCTTGAAGCCCCCTAGAGCCCCAACAGCCCTCAACAGTAAACCCTTCAACCCTAACACCCCAAAAGCCCTACAAGCCCTAAACCCTAAACCCTAAGCCCTAAACCCTAAACTCTAACCCTAAGCCTTAAACCCTAAACCCTAAACCCTAAACCCTAAGCCCTAAGCCCTAAACCCTAAACCCTAAACCCTAAAGCCCCCAAGGCGCCGGGTGAGGGAGGGCGCCTCCTCGTCCCCGCGGCCGGCGGCGGCAAGCTCCTGGTGTAGGGCTTCGGGTTTAGGGTTTAGGGTTTGGGGTTTAGGGTTTGGGGTTTGGGGTTTAGGGTTTAGGGTTTAGGGTTTAGGGCTTAGGGCTTCGGGCTTAGGGTTTAGGGCTTAGGGCGCCAAACACTACTAAACTGACCAGGCAATAGCAAGCTGGAAGCTGCAAGGAACACCAGAAGCCCTCAACTCTAGGGCTGAGGTGTTTGTGGCCCTACACCCTAAGCCCTAAGCCCTAAACCCTAAACCCTAAACTCCAAACTCCTAAACCCTAAACCCTAAACCCTAAACCCTAAACCCTAAGCCCTAAGCCCTAAACCCTAAACCCTAAACCCTAACTGAGCCAGGTCGTGTATTGTTGTGTATCCCCTCCAGTATCTTCCTTAGGGTCGAGGGCACCCATGCCGGACCCATCATTCTCATCAAACCCCCCAAAACACCCCGACACCCAGCCCAATAAAGCCCTGAAACCCTTGAACCCCTAAACCCTTGAAACCCTGAAGCCCTGACGCGCTTAAGCCCCTAAAGCCCTGAAGCCCAAAAGCCCTTAAACTCCTAACCCTAAACCCCAAGCCCTTAAGCCCTTAAGCCCTTAAGCCCCAAACCCTAAGACTACCCCTAATATTCAACCCCCCCTACCCCCTAATCTTAAAATCCCCCAATATACTATAATGTACCTATAATGGGGGGATAGTTATTATTCGGGGGTAGGGGGGGGGAGGGTTTAATATTAGGGGGAGTGGGTTACCCCAGGACATCCTCGGCGTGTAGCCCAGTTTTGACGGCCTGCCGCTCATCCGGGCGCGCCCCCAACAGGAACACGACCTTCCTTGGGATTTCATTAGGGTTTAGGGGTCTAGGGTTGAGGGTTTAGGGTTTCGGGTTTGCGGTTTAGGGCCTGACCCGAAAGCCCAAAACACCCGAATACCCTCAACCCCCGGTGAGGCGGTCGTTCCATGCAGGGTCCTTATTCTGTGGGGTTGAGGGTAGCCAAACAGCCCCTGATCGGGAAGTGCAGGTTCACAGGTCGCGGCTGTGGCGGCTGTGGCCTACCGAGACTCAGGGGCAAATCCTCTCCACTGCTATTAAACCCCCACCCTAGATTCAAGTTCAGCAAGGGCAACTAGGCTTCAGGGTTTAGAGTTCTGAGTTCAACCCTAAACCCTAAACCCTAAACCCTAAACCCTAAACCCTTTAGGGCTTCAAGCACTAAGAGCCCTGCCCAAGGGTTGGCTCCAGGACCGCCAAGCGTCCGCAGGTACTCCAAGGGCTTCTGAGGGTGCGCGCCGCGCAAGGCTTTCTCCACCTCCTCCTGGGTTTAGGGTTTAGGGTTTAGGGTTTAGGGTTTAGGGTTTAGGGTTTAGGGTTTAGGGTTTAGGGTTTAGGGTTTAGGGTTTAGGGTTTAGGGTTTAGGGTTTAGGGTTTTGGGTTTTGGGCTTTGGGTTTAGGGTTTAGGGTTTTAGGGTTTAGGGTTTAGGCGATTTCGTGTTTGAGGATCCGCCGACCCTGGCGGCGTGTTGGATGGGAAAAGGAGGTGAAAACCTCCCTCTTTCCCTCCTTACCCCCCCAAAACGCGGGGGGGGGGGGGGGTAGGGGGGGTCCCCGGGCAGCTTTTCCATGGAGGGCCAGGCCACCCACACGGCATAAACTCACGGACCATAGGCGGTTTCGCACAGGACATAGGGGCCTTTGGGAAAAACCCCCCAACCCCCCCCCCCCCCTACCCCCCCCCCCCCCCCCCCCCCCCCCCCCCCCCCTACCCCCCCCCCCCCCCCCCCCCCCCCCCCCCCCCCCCCCCCCCCCCCCCCCCCGCCACCCCCCCCCCCCCCGCCACCCCCCCCCCCCCCCCGCCACCCCCCCCCCCCTACCCCCCCCCCCCCCACCAACTTTGGCATCCTGTGACCTAACGAACGCGTTTAAACCTTTCAACTATGCTCCAGCGGAGTCGGCGGCTTGAGCCGGAGGCTCTTAAATTTTAGGGTGTTAGGTAACCCCCCCCATGTGCCTCCAAACGCTTGAGGAGCAGCCGGATCCAGAGCTCATCCTCGCCAGAGTCCTCACGGGGCACTGGGAGTGAAAGAAAAAACACAGGCACCCTCAACCTTAAGGGCGTAGGGTTTAGGGTTTAGGGTTCAGGGTTTAGGGTGTAGGGTTTAGGGTTTAGGGTGTAGGGTTTAAGGTTTTGGGTTTAGGGTTTAAGGTTTTGGGTTGAGTGCTCAAACCCCAAACGCTGAAACCTAGACACTGAAGGAACCCTACATCGCCTGAACCCTAAACCCTAAACCTTCCTTCCTTGGAACACAGTTCTGGTTCAGGGTTTGGGGTTTTGAGGTTGGAGGTTTAGGGTTGAGGGTTTGGGCCATTGTACCCAAGTCCGCCATGCCATTCGCTACGCCAAGCAGAGCGGCGTCACCACCAACGTCTCCTAACTGCTGGCTCTAGTACTAAACCCTAAACCCTAAACCCTAAACCCTAAACCCTAAACCCTTGAGCGCAGCGATGCCGTCTTCAAGCCCACCAGACCTCAGCATCCTGCAGAAGTGCTTGCCAGCACTCTCAACCATGCTTTAGGGTTTAGGGTTTAGGGTTTAGGGTTTGGGTTTAGGGTTTAGGGTTTAGGGTTTAGGGTTTAGGGTTTAGGCCAAAGACATGGCTGGCCTGGTCTGTGAGCTCCTGCACTGTGCCGAACCAATCGTCCGATTCAAAGGCCTTGCAGACACACCATCAGTGATCAACGCGCTCTTGCTCGCCCTCTGATCCACAAAGGCCCTTAAGGGCAGACGGTTTGCGGCGAGCCGCCTCACCGCAGATCAGCATGAGATGTCCACCCAGGGCATGATCAATAGATAAGCCAGAGTGATGACCCTTGATGGCTTTAGGGTTTGGAGGCTTAAGGTCCTCAAGCCCTCAACATCAAAGTGTGAGAGGGGGTCAAGCTCCCGTGGTTGGGTCTTTCTCTGGCCCGACACTCCACAAACTTCATCGAACCCTACGCCCCAAGTCGCTTTCGGGTTTAGGGGTTAGGGTTTAGGGTTTCGGGTTTAGGGTTTAGGGTTTAGGGTTTAGGGTTTCGGGTTTAGGGTTTCGGGTTCAGGGCTTCGGGAGAGGGTTTTTAGGATGTCGGCTGCAAGGAGCCCGGCTCCTGCTTCTCGACCTTCACCTTCTTCCCCTCCACCTGCCAGGGGGGGCAGCGCAGAGCGCGAGTGGTGTGCCGGGTTTCGGGCTCCTGGATGTAGGGCTTAGCTGCGGTTCAGGGTATAGGGTTAGGTTTAGGGTTTAGGGTTTAGGGTTTAGGGTTTAGGGTTTAGGGTTTAGGGTTTAGGGTTTAGGGTTTAGGGTTTAGGGTTTAGGGTTTGGGGTTTGGGGTTTGGGGTTTGGGGTTTGGGGTTAAGGGTTTAGGGCTTAGGGTTTAGGGTTTAAGGCTTAAGGGGCACAGGAGTCAGGGCTTGCTCTCTCTCTCTCTCTCTCTCTTTGAGCACTCTCTTCCGGGGGCTTGAAGAAACATGAAGGGGGCTTCATCCAAAACGCGGGCCCTGCTGTGGCCTCCATCGATGATAGTGCCTTCCTTCTTGCTTCGGGCTTAGGGTTTAGGGACCCTAAACCCTGACCCCTGAACCCTAAACCCTAAACCCTAAACCCTAAACCCTAAACCCTAAACCCTGAACCCTGAACCCTGAACCCTGAACCCTGAACCCTATCCCCCTGGAACCTAAACTCCGAATTTAACCCCAACAGGGCCTGAAATTTCTGTCAACCCGAAGCCCGCAAGGATCAACTCCGCACCCTGAGCCTGGAAGTCCCCAAACCCGCAAACCCCTTAAGCCCATACCCCTAACCCTAAACCCTAAACCCTAAACCCTAAACCCTAAACCCTAAACCCTAAACCCTAAACCCTATAGACCCCAAACCCCAAACCCCAAACCCTAAACCCTAAACCCTGCCTGGGGCTCCTCGAGCTTGAGATCCGGATCCAGGCAGTAGTTGCCTTTGCGTTTATTCAGGGCTGCGCGTTTAGGGTTTTAGGAATTAGGGCTCAGGGTTTTAGGGCTTTAGGGTTTTGCGGATTTAGGGTTTTTGGGGTTTTAGGGTTGTGGGGGTTTTGGGGGTTTTGGGGGTTTTGGGGGTTTTGGGGGTTTTGGGGTTTTGGGGTTTTGGGGTTTTGGGGTTTTGGTGTTTTGGGGTTTTGGGTTTTTGGGGTTTTAGGGTTTTGCGGTTTTGCGGTTTTGCGGTTTTGCGGTTTTGCGGTTTTGCGGTTTTGCGGTTTTGCGGTTTTGCGGTTTTCAATTTTTTGGGTTTTTGGGTTTTAGGGTTTTGGGGTTTTGGGGCTTTGGGGTTTTGAGGTTTGGGGGTTTGGGGGTCTGAGGGTTTGGGGGTTTCGGGGTTGTAGGGTTTTAGGGGGCTCTAGGGGGTTTTGCGTTTTACGGTTGCAGGGTTTGAGGGCTTTAGGGTTTTAGCGTTGTAGAAGGAGGTTTTCGTATTTCTGGGTTTGGGGGGCTTGGGGTTTTGGGGTGTTGGTGTTTTGGTGTTTTGGTGTTTTGGTGTTTTGGTGTTCTGGTGTTTTGGTGTTTTGGTGTTTTTGGTGTTTTGGTGTTTTGGTGTTTTTGGTGTTTTGGTGTTTTGGTGTTTTGGTGTTTTGGTGTTTTGGTGTCTTGGTGTTTTGGTGTTTTGGTGCTTTGATGTTTTGGTGTTTTGGAGTTTTGGTGTTTCGGTGTTTCGGTGTTTCGGTGTTTTGGTGTTTTGGTGTTTTGGTGTTTTGGGGTTTGGGGGTTTTGGGGGTTTTGGGGTTTTGGGGTTTGGGAGTTTTGGGGGTCTTGGGGGTCTTGGGGGTTTGGGGGGTTTTGGGGGTTTTGGGGGTTTGGGGGTTTTGCGGTTTTGCGGTTTTCCAATTTTTGGTTTTTGGGGTTTGGGAGTTTTAGGGTTTAGGATTTTGGGGGGCTTTAGGGCTGTAGGGCTTTAGAATGCTTTAGAGTGTTAGGGTTTGGAGGTTTTAGGGCTTTAGGGTTTAAGGCTCAGGATTCTAGAGTGTAGGGTTTAAGAGTTTTAGGGCCTTTTGTTCTCTACACCCCGGATGCCCTAAGCCGCAAAGCCCTCGAAAAGACCCTTGACCTTAGGAGCTAAAACCCTTCTGAGCCCTAGACCCTAGATATGACGCTCCCCCCCGTCCCTTGCGGCCTCCCCAACAGCTTTGTGGCCTCTACCGTCACAATCCCACGCCCCCCCGGACTTCCCATCAACATGATCGCGCCCTCTCCTCCGACAACAGAACCTAATCCCACAGGGGATTTCGGGAAGAAACGGAACCTTCCAAACATCACTACAAACACCAAACCCCAAAAGAATAACCCTAAACCCCAAACCCCAAACCATCAACCCAAAGCCCTAAACCCTTATCCCAAAACCCACCCATAAAAGAAAGAGAGAGAGAGAGAGAGAAAATAAAAATATGAAGAAATGAGAGAGAGAGAGAGGGAGAAAAATAAAGAGACGCCCTAAACCCTAAACCCTAAACCCTAAACCCTAAACCCTAAACCCTAAACCCTTCAACCGCCCAAGCGGCACAAGAAGCCGCAGAGTCGGCGCCAGCTGCTCTGCCCGCCGCCCGCGCCCGCCAGGGCGCCGGCCGTGTCGGCGCCCCATGACTCCTCGCAAGGGGAGGGTTTAGGGTTTAGGGTTTAGGGTTCATGGTTCAGGGTTCAGGGTTCAGGGTTTAGGGTTCAGGGTTCAGTGTTTGGGGTTTAGGGTTTAGGGGGTTTGGGGTTTATCGGTCATTGGGAACAACGGCTCCCATTGCCCACCGTTCCGGGTTTGGGGTTTCGGGCTCGGGTTTAGACTGGAAGATCTCAATGAAACCTTGCTTGGAGGTTCATGGGTGGTTATCAGTAAGGTCAGCAGAACCCTCAACGGGGTTATACGTATAATTACCATACTTATAACCCCACGTATAACTTCCCATGAACCTCCAAGTAAGCCTGCAGGGTCTGACCAGGACAACGTGCCCGCGCTGCCTCGTAAACCTGTAAAAGCTTGAAACCTCCAGAAACCCACGAAGAGCCCCGAAAACCCTGAAGCCCGGCAACAACAACGACTCGCATCATGCTTCTTAATCTTGGCATCAAAAACTAAAGAAACGAAGATTCAGAGACAAAAAACACACGCACAAACACATAAAAAATATCCAAAATAAATGAAAACAAATACATAATAAATGAACTAAAAACAAACAAAATGAGATAAAGCTCCAGGGTGGGGGGGGGGGTTGGGCGCAGAGCTGCGTGGCTGTCCTTGAGAGCCACGCGAGCAGCATCCTTCATGGACGCCTGCAGCTCGGGTATCGCCAAGTCCTTGCAGTACTCCTGGTAGTTCCTGAAAGTGGCGAGGCAACGGGGCGCAGACAAGGGAAACCCCTTCAGGGTTTAGGGCTTAGGGCTTGGGGTTTAGGGTTTAGGGTTTGGGGTGCTTAGCACGCGGGCGTCCTTGGTGTTTCGGCTTCAGCTGATCTAAATGGAGCTTGTTCATGCCCACTTGCCCTTAAGCCTAAACCCTGAACCCCAAGTCGAAGTTGCATGGATTCGCGGCGCCCCAACGCGAAATCCTAGACCCAACAGTAAGAATCTTACTTCTTTCCCTTCAATAGCCGCTGAAGAAAACTTAAACAGTTGAATTACTTCTACAACATCAGGAACCTTACAAGCAAGCTTGAAGTTCACACAATGGCTGAGGGTTTAGGTTTCAGGGTTTAAGAGAAACTCTGAAAACCCAGGAATGAGGTACCCTATGGCCCAATATAACCCTTTGAGGATCTCAAGGGTAATTGAGGGTGCTTTCTTTCCTGATTCCTTATCAAGAACCACCACCTAAACTCCCTGCCTAAACCCTACAGTAAACCCTAAACCCTAAACCCTAAACCCTAAACCCTAAATCCTAAACCCTAAACCCTAAAGCCTAAACCCTGAACCCTAAACCCTAAATCCTCAACCCTAACCTTCTGAATTGCCCGAGCTTCTGATCCAGCACGTCCTGTAGCTTCAAGTCCGTGTGCTCGCCGAGGAACTGGAGCCAGCTCGCGATGTCGTGGCCACCCTCGTAAGAGATCCTGCAGCTCAGGAGAGTTATGGTTTATACAAGGGTGCAGGCTCTAGGGTTTAGGGTCTAGGGTTTAGAGTTTAGGGTTTAGGGTTTGGGGTTTAGGGTTCTTGACACAGCCAGTTCTCTGAATGATAGGTGCCTGTTTGGGCACCTTTACTTTACAAGACGGGTCCCCAAATCACACCGGCCGCGGGCAGATATTAGGGTTTAGGGTTTAGGGTTTAGGGTTTAGGGTTTAGGGTTTAGGGTTTAGGGTTTAGGGTTTAGGGTTTAGGGTTTAGGGTTTAGGGTTTAGGGTTAGGGTTTAGGGTATAGGGGTCGAGGTTTGGGCTTCGAGCTTCAGCGTTTCATGGTTTAGAGCTCTGGGGCCTTGGGGGCTAGGGCTTAGCGATTCGTAGAAAAAGACCAGCTCTCTCTGCGGAAAAGGCAAGGATCACTACTGGCTTGTCGTTGGAGTGATCCAGGCCGTCGTCTTCCGGCGGCTTCTTGACGAGCAACTTGATCACGGGGATATGCCTCTCCGGGAAGTACTTCCTGTCCACGTCATTCTCGTCGATGTTCATGACCTCGGCAATGCGTTCACAAGGTTTGGTGCTCCAGGGCATCGTCTGCAAGAAAAGGAACCACGACATACCCCAAGAACATAGCGGGTGCTTGGAAAGAACACTTGACACACAAGTAGCAGGGTCCTTATGTTCCTACTCTTCCTGGGATTCCCCCTGTTTGGGCTTCCCATACTATTGTGAGGGCTCTGTGCTTAGGGTTTTGAGCAGCCAGGAAGGGCAAAACCAAGGCAGCCAACCAAGAGTAGAGAGGCCAACCCTAGACCCTAAACCCCAAACCCAATCCTTGAGGGTTGGTTTCGGGTTTAGGGCTAAGGTGTTCAAGGCTTTTGGGTTTCGGGTTTAGGCTGTAGGCTTTAGGGCCTTGAGCCCAAGAGCATGGTGGATGCCTGGGAGGAATCTGTGCGCGCGCACGCGCGCTCGCACCCGCGTGACCTGCGCAAAACGTCGCTTGAGCGATCAAAGGGCCCTTCAAGAGCACAAGGCCCTTTGATCGCTCTCCCAAGCTCCAAGCCTGAACGGCTCTTGCTTTTGGGGGGGGGGGGGGGGGGGCCAGGTTACATAGAGTGGAGCTCCAGGTATTTCTATATATATATATACATATCTATATATGTTATATATATATATACACCATGTATAATATTATATGTACATACCTGTATGTATATGTACATAACGGGCAAGGCGCCATGAAAGCACAAGATCGGCAGTGCCAACACTAGACCCCCAACAAACCCAACCGAAGCAGACACCGCAAGCCCTAAACCCTAAACCCCGAAACCCTAAACCTCAACCAAGGAGCCCGAAGCCCCAAACCCTAAACCCTAAACCCTAAACCCCAAACCCTAAACCCCAAACCCTAAACCCTAAACCCTAAACCCTAAACCCCAAACCCCAAACCCCAAACCCGAAACCCTAAACCCTAAACCCTAAACCCTAAACCCTAAACCCTAAACCCTAAACCCTAAACCCTAAACCCTAAACCCTAAACCCAAATCCAAGGCACGCCCACAGTCACCTCCTTGGACGCCTTCAGCAGCTTCGCCAACGCGAACCAAGCCTTCAGTTGCTTTAGGGTATAGGGTTTAGGGTTTAGGGTTTAGGGTTTAGGGTTTAGGGTTTAAGGTTTAGGGCTCAGGGTTCAGGGTTTCGGGTTTAGGGTTTAGGGTTTGGGGTTTAGGGTTTGGGGTTTGGGGCTTGGGGCTTGGGGTTTTGGGGTTTAGGGTTTAGGGCGAGCGGTTCAAGGCGAGAGTACCTGTTTGTAGGAGGGCCCCTTACAAAGGTCTCCAGAAGCCCCAAAATGGAGAAATAAAACCCAAAACCCTGAGAGCCCGAAAACTGCACCCTTTGAGCCACTAAAACACTGTACCTGCAATGGGTTCTATATATCCTAGAAACCCTAAACCCTAAACCGCAATTCCTCAGGAGACTGTCGAAAACCGAAGCAGCCCTAAACCGACAACCCTAAGCGCTCTCGCATTCTAGACGCACAGTCCCTGAACATGGGCTTCATTGGGGAACCCTTATATACCCCTTAACAACCCCCATAAAATCCCATGAACTTCAGAACCCTTTAAGGAAGGTAAGGGACCCAACGAAGGCACCATGGAAATCCCCTCAGAACAAAGCTAAACCGAAAACCCGAAGTGTTCTCAAATGCCATAAACCCTAAACCCCAAACCCCAAAACCCTAAACCCTAAACCCTAAACCCTAAACCCTAAACCCTAAACCCTAAAACCTAAACCCTAAACCCTAAACCCTAACCCTCAGCCCTAAACCTCAAATGCAGTCGGGGCTGCCGGCTTCATCCGCTGGCAGGCGCCGCACCAGTCAGCCGAGAGGGCGAGGAAGACGCAGGAGTGGTTCTCCAGGAGCTCCTTGCGTTGTTAAGAGGCTTACGGGCTTTAGGGCCGTTTAGGGTTTAGGGTTTGGGGTTTAGGGTTTAGGGTTTGGGGTTTAGGGCTTAGGGTTTAGGGTTTAGGTTTTAATCGAGCTCCTCAAAGGAGTCGGTGGTGAAGATCTTGATTCCCGGGTGCCTGGCTGCCAGGGCTGCGAGGACCCCTACTTGGAGGTTTAGGGTTTAGGGTTTAGGGTTTAGGGTTTGGGGATTGGGGTTTAGGGTTTTGGGTTTAGGGTTTAGGGTTTAGGGTTTGGGGTTTGGGGTTTAGGGTTTAGGGTTTAGGGTTTAGGGTTTTGGGTTTAGGGTTTAGGGTTTGGGGTTTGGGGTTTGGGGTTTAGGGTTTAGGGTTTAGGGTTTGGGGTTTGGGGTTTGGGGTTTGGGGTTTGGGGTTTAGGGTTTAGGGTTTAGGATAGGGTCCAATTAAAACTGTATTTATAACCGGCCTATAAGCCGCTTAAGTGCCCCAATATGGTTAGAATTTGCGTTAGAAGTGCAGTTAGTACTGGGTCAATAAGCACCCGGAACCTCCAAGTAAAGTCCTAGCCACGAAGCCCCTTTCAACAGGCCCCGGTGTACCTCCATAAAAAGACCCAAACCCTAAACCCCCGCAAGAACCCCTTGGGGTTTGGGTTTAGGCTTTGGGGTTTAGGGTTGGAAGAAGCCACCCAAACATGCATCTACTAGCGGATGCATTCTCTCAGGAGAGAAAGCCGCGAGCCTCAAGTAGAAGCCTCCCTCAGAGGGCCCCCGAACAACTGGAAGTGGGGTTGAGGGTTGAGGGCTCCAGGCTTGGGGTTTCGGAAACCAAGAAAAGCACCGGAGCCCCCTAAAACCCCCAAAACCCCGAAACCCAAAACCACTCAACCCTGGGGTGCCTTGGGTCGCTGTCTCCGGGCGGGCGGAAGGCGGAGCGCACGCGGCTGCCCCTTGTCAGGGCTTGTCTGGGCCTAAACCCTAACCCCTAAACCCTAAACCCTTTGTAATAGGGCTTCGGGCTGAGAATTTAGAGTTTCATGCTTCTGGGGCGCGAGTCAGTGCGGGAGTTTCGGGTGTCGGGTTTGGGGGAATAATGGTGGGGTTTCGCATTGTTTCGGAGAGTTCTGGGAAAGCCTCGTCTGAGAGCTTTTGGGGTCGGGTTTAGGTGCTTAGGGCTTTCACCCTAAACCCTACACCCTAAACCCTACACCCTAAACCCGAAACCCTAAACCCTAAACCCCCAACACCGAGGTTCAACGGTTGGCCAAGGAACTTGCAACGCCAGCACTGCGAGCTGCTCGCGGCGTTGCCTCAGCCCGGTCCATCTTCTGGAGGGGGGCCCGTTACAGTGCTTAATTTAGGGATTCTAGTACCCCCTATTACAATCCCTATTAAGGACTGTTATACTAACAGATACTAACCCAATTATAATCCCTTTTAAGGACTGTTATACTAACGGTGCTTCATAGGGATTCTAGTGCCCCCTATTATAATCCCTATGAAGGACTCTTAGTATAAGGGTGCTTCCCGGCTTTAGGGATTTTATCGTCTGGGGTCTAGGGACTTTGGGGCTTTGGGGTTTTAGGGTTCGCGGGGGGAATTGCTGAAGGGGCGCTTACGTGGAGAAACAAATGGGGGCTTCCGAAAATTAAGGTTGTGCCTTATGGGGGTCCTTATGATAAGGGAATTTTCTAACTACTTGGGACTACTTGGGGGCTATATTGGGGGTACCCTAAACCCCAAAGCCTAAACCCTAAACCCTAAACCCTAAACCCCCCAAGATCCGGCCCCGAGTGGCGGGTAAAGAGCCCGCTGGTCTTGCAGGTGCCGTTCGCTCGGCAGATCCAAACCCCCAGCCTCAGGCTTCAGGGCCAAAATAGACCCCAAGGTGCTACAACACCCTACACCCTACTGCCTAAACCCTCTTTTGATATTATATATATATATGTATACATATATGTTGTGTTTATTCTGTTTTTTTTGCCCCCCTCCCCGCTTCTTTCTTTTTTGTTGTTACGGGGGGGGGATTCTGCTCTGAGGGGTCCAGGGCTTGCTCTGCAGGTTCCTGGCGTGGGCTTGTGGAAGGCCTTCGGGCTTCAAGATTGGGATGCTGGTAGAGAGATGGCGTCGCTTTTGGGGGTTTAGGCTTTAGGGTGTTAAGGTTCACTGCGGCGCTCGTGCTAATACCTTCACGATTGCTCGAAGACTTCTGCAGCAAGTGATAGTTGCAGCAAGTTGCAGAACGTTTGCCGTACAAGAAGTCAGGCCAAGCAGGACCATAGTAATTGGAATCGCAACGGTGGTGGTGGTGGTGGTGGTGGTGGTGGTGGTGGTGGTGGTGGTGGTGGTGGTGGTGGTGGTGGTGGTGGTGGTGGTGGTGGTGGTCATGGTGGTCATGGTCATGGTGGTCATGGTGGTCATGGTGGTCATGGTGGTCATGGTGGTCATGGTGGTCAGGTGGTGGTCATGGTGGTCATGGTGGTCGTGGTGGTCAGGTGGTCATGGTGGTCATGGTGGTCATGGTGGTCATGGTGGTCATGGTGGTCATGGTGGTCATGGTGGTCATGGTGGTCATGGTGGTCATGGTGGTCATGGTGGTCATGGTGGTCATGGTGGTCATGGTGGTCATGGTGGTCATGGTGGTCATGGTGGTCGTGGTGGTCATGGTGGTCATGGTGGTCATGGTGGTCATGGTGGTCATGGTGGTCATGGTGGTCATGGTGGTCATGGTGGTCATGGTGGTCATGGTGGTCATGGTGGTCATGGTGGTCATGGTGGTCATGGTGGTCATGGTGGTCATGGTGGTCGTGGTGGTCGCGGTGGTCACGGTGGTCATGGTGGTCATGGTGGTCATGGTGGTCATGGTGGTCATGGTGGTCATGGTGGTCATGGTGGTCATGGTGGTCATGGTGGTCCTGGTGGTCCTGGTGGTCCTGGTGGTCCTGGTGGTGGTGGTGGTGGTGGTGGTGGTGGTGGTGGTGGTGGTGGTGGTGGTCGTGGTCGTGGTCGTGGTCGTGGTCGTGGTCGTGGTCGTGGTCGTGGTCGTGGTCGTGGTCGTGGTCGTGGTCGTGGTGGTGGTGGTGGTGGTGGTGGTGGTGGTGGTGGTGGTGGTGGTGGTGGCGGTGGCGGCGGCGGCGGTGGTGGCGGTGGTGGCGGCGAGGGTGGTGGTCGTGGTGGTGGTGGTAGTAGTAGTCGTCGTCGTCGTGGTGGTAGTGGTAGTGGTAGTGGTAGTGGTAGTGGTAGTGGTAGTGGTAGTGGTAGTGGTAGTGGTAGTGGTAGTGGTAGTGGTAGTGGTAGTGGTAGTGGTAGTAGTAGTAGTAGTAGTAGTAGTAGTAGTAGTAGTAGTAGTAGTAGTAGTAGTAGTAGTAGTAGTAGTAGTAGTAGAAGACGCGACCACGAAAAAGAAACTCAACTCCTAAACTCTAGACTCTAAGCTCAAGAGCTTACAGCTAAACCCGCAAACCCCTCTGAGCCCCTAAGACTCCTGAGAGACCCCGGAGCCCTAAATTTGAACCCTAAACCCAAAACCCGCAACCCTAGACCCTAAACCGCCCTAAGCCCTTCAAAGCCCAGCGGCGGCATCTGGAGGGACCAGACGTTGAAGAGGTCCGGCGACATGGTCTGCAGCTGGAGGCCCTTCACCTCGCCAGCTTAGGGTTTGGGGTTTAGGGTTTAGGGTTTAGGGTTTAGGGTTTGGGGTTTAGGGTTTAGGCTTTAGGGTTTAGGGTTTAGGCTTTAGGGTTTAGTTTAGGGTTTCGGGTTTAGGGTTTAGAGTTTAGGGTTTAGGGTTTAGGGTTTAGGGTTTAGGGTTTAGGGTTTAGGGTTTAGGGTTTAGGGTTTGGGGTTTGGGGTTTGGGGTTTAGGGTTTAGGGTTTAGGGTTTAGGGTTTAGGGCTTGAAATTCCGAGTTTAGGGGTTTTAGGGAAGCCCTCTGTTTTTGTGGGATAGAAAAGGCACCGAGCTTACACCCGCTGAACCGCAGAGCCATACGCCCAGCCAGGTTGCGGGGTTTAGGGCTGCGGGTGCTTAGTTTAGGGTTGGGGTTTCTGTTTTGTTTAGGGTTTAGGCCTTAAGTACCCCCAGAGCTTAGGCTTTCAGGATTCTTGTGCTTTGCTTGGGCGCCTGCGCCCCCAGCATCCAGCTCCACTCCTTCTTCCTCAGCGGTGCTTGCGTCGAGGCTACTTGTGCAGGGTTTAGGGTTTAGGGTTTAGGGTTTGGGGTTGAGGGTTGAGGGTTGAGGGTTGAGGGTTGAGGGTTGAGGGTTTAGGGTTTAGGGTTGAGGGTTTAGGGTTTAGGGTTTAGGGTTTAGGGTTTAGGGTTTAGGGTTTAGGGTTTAGGGTTTAGGGTTTAGGGTTTAGGGTTTAGGGTCTAGGGGTTCTCTAAAGCACTGCCTTTAAAGAAGCCTGGACAAAATCAGACTGCGGCCTGCGCCTTCTAAGCTCAGCCCTAGAGAAACCCTTCGAAGACGCTGCAAAAACCCTGGAAACCCTGGAAACCCTAAACCCTAAACTCCTAGAGAAAAAACACGGAACAACAAACCTGGAAACCCCAGAGTTTACAAGGGTTTATCTGAAGAACCCCAAACCCCCGAAACCCCCCCAAGAAACCCCGAAAAGCCTAAACCCTAAATCCTAAACCCTAAACCCTAAACCCTAAACCCTAAATAAACCCTAAACCCTAAAGCCCCTAGGGCGCCCCCGAGCTTCAGGAAGGGCTTGCGCCCGAAGAGGCAGAGGCCCTCCTGGGGGTCCAGGGCCAGGGGCCCTTCGCACCTCGGCTTGGGCGCGCGGCTCGAGTTCAGGAAGTCCGTGGGGGACGTTGCGGGAAGCTTTGGGAAGCTTGGGTTGGGGTGGCTTGGGGAAGTTTAGGGGTAACATAGGGAAGCTTCAGGAACTTTAGGGAAGCTCAGCAAAGCTTCGGGAAGCTTCGGGAAGCTTAGGGAAGCTTGCGAAAGCTTGCGAAAGCTTAGGGAAGCCAGCTTCGGGAAGCATGGGGAAGCTTAGGCAAGTTGAGGTTTGCAACGACCCAGGCGCTTGAGCAGCGGCGACGAGGCATCGCAGAACTCCAGGGCCACCTCCCCATCCAGCCAAATGGTCCTTCGGGGGTTTTTAGGGTTTAGGACTTGCAACTTCTGTTTGTCTTTTAGTCTTTTTGCTTTTTTTTTTTTTTTTTTGGGGGGGGGGGGGGGGGATGTGCACAATTTTGGGGTGCCGGGTTAGGGTTCAGGGCTTCGGGTTCAGAGGTTAGGGTTTCGGATGTAAGGGTGCAGGGGGAAAAAAGCGTTTCGGGCACGATGGCGTTTCAGTTTAGAGTTTAGGGATTGTAGGGATTTGGGCTTTGGGTTGATCGGGTTTGATTTTGGCGGCTTCGGGGGGTTTAGGGGGTTCAGAAGGTTTAGGAATTCAGGGCTTACAGGGTTTCGTGGTTTCTTTGTTATCGCAGATGGCCCTCGTACTTTTTAACAGGGCCTCCGAGACAAACCCTCACCCCTGAACCCTAAACCTCAAGAAACAAGAAACCTTAAACCCTAAACCCTAAACCCTAAACCCCAAACCCCAAACCCCAAACCCCAAACTCAACTGAGAGGTTCTGGGCTTCCCGCAGTTGCCTCGAGCTATGCAGGTCTAAATCCTCGCCCCTAACCTAATAGTAAGACTGACAGGCACTCTCAGTTCATCTCAACCCTAGAACCTTCAAACCCTGTGAGCCCTGCAAGCCCTTAAGCCCTATAGGTCCTATGATAACCTTTCGGGTTTAGGGTTTAGGGCTTAGGGTTTAGGGTTTCGGGTTTAGGGTTTAGGGTTTAGGGCTTAGGGTTCCCAGTATGGGGCCTTACTTTCAACGCCAGGCGACCGCGAGGGGGGGGGGGGGAAGGCAGGGAGCGGATGGAAGGGGGGAGGGGGCAGAAGGGAGCACAGTCCGAATACACCTACGGCCCGAGGCCTCGGCGGAGCTGGGTCCCTGGTTATAGAACCCCTTGTAGACACTCTACATAAACAAGGGCCCACACTTGGGATCCCTATAAACAAGGGTAAGGGACCACACAAAGGGCCCATGATCCAACCCTAAACCCTAAACCCCACACCCTAAACCCTAAACCCTAAACCCTTTAACCCTAAACCCTAAACCCTAAACAGCCCCAGGATCATCTTCGAGTTGGGCAAGTCCACGGCCAGTGTCAGCGCATGCCAGGCCCCAGCGCTGACTTTGGCCCCGGAGGTCCAGGGGACCAGCTTGTTCCTCGGGTTTCGGGTTTCGGGTTTAGGGTTTTGGGTTTAGGGCTTAGGGCTTAGGGCTTAGGGCTTAGGGCTTAGGGCTTAGGGCTTAGGGCTTAGGGCTTAGGGCTTAGGGCTTAGGGCTTAGGGCTTAGGTCTTAGGGTTTGGGCTTAGGGCTTAGGGCTTAGGCTTAGGGCTTAGGGGCTTAGGGCTTAGGGCTTAGGGTTTAGGGTTTAGGGTTTAGGGTTAGGTTTAGGGTTTAGGGTTTAGGGTTTGGGGTTTGGGGTTTGGGGCTTGTTTAGGGTTTAGGGTTTAGGGTTTAGGGTTTAGGGTTTAGGGTTTAGGGTTTAGGGTTTTTAGGGTTTAGGGTTTAGGGTTTAGGGTTTAGGGTTTAGGGTTTAGGGTTTAGGGTTTAGGGTTTAGGGTTTAGGGTTTAGGGTTTAGGGTTTAGGGTTTAGGGTTTAGGGTTTAGGGTTTAGGGGGCCCCGCTCTTCGGGCTCGCAAGCTTAGGGTTAGAAGTTTGGGGGGGTTTCGGGGGTGTAGAGGGGTCTTCTAGGGGTAGCTTGGGGGAAGAACTTTTTTGGTTGGGTAGCAGGAACCTCTGCCACAAACCGAAGTCCCGAACCCTAAACCCTGAACCCTGAAGCGTAACCCCTAAACCCTGAACCCGAAGTTTTCCCAAGGCACTTGCCGGAGCCTCCGCTGCGGGTGCTCGTTTCGAACCTGGGTCGCTGAGTTTGAGGTTTACTACTACTTGCTCAAGAACCCCCCTCCAAAACAAGTAAAGGATAAAAGCCACGATCGTGCCCTTAAAAGGAAGAATTATGTGTTGTTTAAAATAGTACTTTACAGTCGGCCGAGGGTTTGTAAGGGAGTTGGCTTAGGCCCACCAGCTAATTCTCCCTAAGCCCTAACCCTAAACCCTAAACTCCAGATCAGGGCGGTTCTCATTCTTAAGGGGGCGGCATCAGTCTGTCCGGAAACATTCCATCAGGGTCTGATCTGAAAGTAGGCTCTGAGGGGAAGGATACTGAGTCGGCTACGAAAGCAAACCCTAAACCCTAAACCCTAAACCCTAAACCCTAAACCCTAAACCCTAAACCCTAAACCCTAAACCCTAAACCCTAAACCCTAAACCCGAACCCCTAAGTCCATTTAAGGAAGGCTTGGGGGGCGGGGGGGGGGGGGGGGGGAAACCGGAAACCTTTGGGCCATCTGGGCATCCGTAAGTAAATCTGTGCTCCCGAGAAGCCAAGAAGACTGGCCACAGCGCCTCTTCGGAGGGTGGTAGCCTTACTTCTTCTCCCCCCCCGCCCCCACAGAAAAAAGTCAGCCCCTGGCTACGTATACCCTAAACCCGAAAAAAACTCTAAAACCCTAAAACCCGAAAAAACCTGACCCCCTAGGGTACACAAAGCAAGTAGCTGCTTTCCTGGCTGTGCAAACTCTTCCAGGTGTTTTGATCGTTCGATGCCTCCAGGCGCCACTCCTGGGCACATGATTCTAGCGCTTAGGGTTTGGGGTTAGGGTCTAGGGTCTAGGGTTTAGGGGTTAGGGGTTAGGGTTTAGGGTTTAGGGTTTAGGGTTTAGGGTTTAGGGTTTAGGGTTTAGGGTTTAGGGTTTAGGGTTTAGGGTTTAGGGTTTAGGGTTTAGGGTTTAGGGTTTAGGGTTTAGGGTTTAGGGTTTGGGGCCTAGGGTCTAGGGGTTTAGGGCGGATGGTTCTACCAGCACTACCTAGTTTAGGGCGTAGGGTCCCGCCACCACGACCAAGAAAGCGCTCTAGAAACATGCGAACTTTATATGTATATGTATATATATATATACATATATATATATATGGCATATAATATATATATATATATATGCATATACATATACTCATTCCAGCCAAGATGCCACAGGGTCCAGCTGCTCATCACTGGGCCCCGTGCGGAAGCTGAAGCTGTCGATGAGGACCGGCTTCGGAAGCTTGATCAGCAGGGGGCTCAGGACGGAGCTGTGCCAGCGCGTGCTGGTGCGCCCGTCAATGGCCTGGGCTGGCCAAAAAAAAACCTTTGAAAGAAAATGCTTATAACATAGCGTTCCTCAAGAGATACTTATATATGAGGTCCCTTATAAAACCCCAAGAAGGAAAAAAAGATATCCCAAAAGCCAAGCTCGAGGCGTTCCCGGGGCCCTCGCTGTCCGCGAACTGGCCGTCGGGGTTCTCCGCCGTGGCATCCGCGAGGTCCAGCTCCACACCCTCGCGGCGCAGCAGCAGCTGGCCCAAGGACACCCCGTTCCTAGCTCATGGCTTTGGGAGAGTAGTATAAAAACTAGTTCATGGTTTGGGAGGAGTGGTATAAAAAATCTGAATCTCTATTCCTTTACTGCGTTTAGGAACCCTTAAAAAAATCTAAGTTTCTTTTCCTCTACTGAGTTTAAATACCCCCAATAAAGATGCAAAACAACTTGCTACCCCACAGTGGCAAAGGCTCACCGTGTCGCCGCCACGCACCTTCGTCACCACGAAGCGGAAGAACTTGAAGCCTCGGCTGCGGCGGGTGACATTTGAGGGGTTTCTCCGAAAACAGGGGGTACTTTTTTTTTTTGGGGGGGGGGGGGGGGGGTCCCTCTTTAAGGGGCTTCTGTTCTATCTGGGGTATGAAAGGCGTACCCCTATATTCGGGAAAAAAACATGTGAAGAAAAATTAGAGAGAGTTTTGGTAATCTTTATCCAGAAATGTCAGACGGGACCGTCGCAACCTGCCGTGGCCAGGTCGCCGTTCGCATCGCCGCGCTTCTCCAAGGCGTCGATGGTTGAGGGCAAGGGCGTAAGGCCTGGCATGAGGTCCAGTTTTCAACGATACCCAATCTCCAAGCCCCCTAAAACCCCCAAGAGCGTGTCATTCTTAGTCCAATCCCTATATGCCCCTTATAAACCCTATCAAACCCAGGGGCCAATACTTCAGAACCCCTAAAGAAGGTAAGAGACCGTACTAAGGGCCCATTTATCTAGCCTCAGAACCCTAACCCTATCCTCACGTCTTCCTGAAAGAAGGGGCGCCTAAACCCAAACCCTCCTGAAAACAGCCCTACACCCTCAACCCTAAACCCCGGTTTAAAAGGATGAAAAAAGTGGAGATACAAAAAGGCAAGAGAAGAGGCCAAACCCCCAAGGCCTGTGCAAAGGCGGCCAAGCGCCTCGAGCGACACCGGGGACCACCCGCCGGTGTGCCGAACCCACTTCACGCCGTTCCTGAGGAGGGTTTGGCGTTTAGGGTTTAGGGCTTAGGGTTTAGGGTTTAGGAGTTTGGGGTCTGGGGGTTTGGGGGTTCGGGGGTTTGGGGATTTTTGCGTTTTGGGGGGTTTTTGGGACTCGGGGATTTTGAGGGTTCAGGGTTTAGGGTTTAGGGTAGGAAGCTGTTTGCCTAAGAGTTCCCTCTACCAAGAATTAAGGCGCAGTGTCTGTTCTTAAAGGTACAAAGGCTACTTAGAGGCGCACTGCGGTTGCAAGTCGTATGGGGTTTAGGGTTTAGGGTTTGGGGTTTAGGGTTTAGGGTTTAGGCTTTAGGCTTTAGGTTTTAAGCTTTCGGCTTTCGGCTTTCGGTTTTCGGTTTTCGGCTTAGGGTTTGGGGTTTGGTTTAGGGTTTAGGGTTTAGGGTTTGCTGACTGCCTGTAACCTACGTTGCAGTCCCCCGAATGATTGGAGGTTGGAGAAGTGCGACATTCTGCACAAGGATGTTTGACTAGCCCTAAACCCTCAACCCTAACCCCTAAGCTCGAAGCCCTAAACCCTAGTTAAGCCCTAAGCCCCAAACCGCAACAGAACGCGGCGTCACAAACAGGCCAAGATTTCGGCCTTCCTGGGTCGTTTCGCGTCCACCTCCTGAAAACTTCGTATCTCCGGTATCTGTGCCGAAGCACTGCTTGCTCAGACGACAAGCGCGGCTGCAAAGTGTTCGAGAGACCCAAGCTTCCCAGGATAGCTACATGCTCCCCTGGTAGGGGCCCCTTAACAGGGGACTCCTCGCATATACTCCTAACATACCCTATATAACCCAGGGGCCCCTACATCAGAACCTGTCACGTAAGGGACCACATTAAGGGACAATGTCACTACCCTTAGGAAGCTGGCCCCTAAGCTTCGCGTTTTTGGGGGGCCTTAGGCGCTCGGGTTTCGGGTTTCCGGTTTCCGGTTTCGGGTTTCGGGTTTCGGGTTTCGGGTTTCGGGTTTCGGGTCCACAGTACCGAGCCTTGGCTCATTGCCCGAAGAGTTTCGAGTTCCCCCTAGGTTCAGGGTTTAGGGTTTAGGATTTAGGGTTTAGGGCTTAGGGTTCCAAACGCTGCTGCCGCGAAGCTCATCCTGCTGCGTCGCGAGCTCCTCGAAGCCCCACTGCGCCTGGTCGCGGGAGCTTTCTTTCGCGCATCTGAAGGCTGTTAGGGTTTAGGGTTTAGGGTTTAGGGTTTAGGGTTTAGGGTTTAGGGTTTAGGGTTTAGGGTTTAGGGTTTAGGGTTTAGGGTTTAGGGTTTAGGGTTTAGGGTTTAGGGTTGGGGTTTTAGGGTTTTTAGGGTTTTTAGGGTTTAGGGTTTAGGTTTTTGGTTTGTAAGGGTTTGGAAGTTCGAGGGTTGAGGCACATGCAAACCCCAAAAATCAAACCCTGATACTAAACTCTAAACCTTTAACCCTAAGCTTCCGTCCATGAAGCACAAGGCCAAAAAAAGGAGAACAAGGCTCTAACCCTAAACCCTAAACCCTGAACCCTAAACCTTAAACCCTAAACCCGATTTGGAGAATGGGCTATACAAAAACCCTTGTGTGAACAACTGCCGAGGCCTGCAGTGACTCCGCTCCCTCGGCTTGCCGCGAGGGTTTCACCTCGCGGTTCGGGTTTCGGGTTTTCGGGTTTCGGGTTTAGGGTTTAGGGTTTGAGGTCTGAGGTTTAGGGTTTAGGGTGGTTGAGGGTTGAGGGTTGAGGGTTTGAGGGTTTGAGGGATTGAGGGTTTGAGGGTTTGAGGGTTGAGGGTTGGGGGTTGAGGGTTGAGGGTTGAGGGTTGGGGGTTGGGGGTTGAGGGTTCTTGCAGCCGGGATGCGTAGACGGGCCACGTCTCCACGTTGTCCGGGAGCGTCACCTCGAATGTTGGGGTAGAGCTAAACTACGGACCCCTTGTTCGTACACTATCAATTGGGATGTTCCCCTTATACTAACAGTCCTTAATAGGAATTCTAGTACCCCCCTATTGTAATCCCTCTTAAGGACTGTGTTGTAAAGGGGGGAACATCCCAAAGTATCAACCCTAAACTCTAAACTCTAAACTCTAAACCCTAAACCCTAAACCCTAAACCCTAAACCCTAAACCCTCAACCCTCAACCCTCAACCCTCAACCCTCAACCCTCAACCCTCAACCCTCAACCCTCAACCCTCAACCCTCAACCCTCAACCCTCAACCCTCAACCCTCAACCCGACCCCCCCTCTGATCCGGCGTGGAGGTTCCTGGGTAGCTATACGTAGGTTATAGGTACCCTAAATGGGGTTATACTTATAACTACCATACTTACAACCCTACTTACAACTACCCAGGAACCCCAAGTATCCCTAAACCCTAAACCCTAAACCCTAAACCCTAAACCCTAAACCCTCAACCCTAAACCCTAAACCTCAAACCCTAAACCCTAAACCCTAATCCCTAAACCCTAAACCCTAAAGCAGCCCTACTTGTAACTAGGGTCGGGAGTCTTGGGTGGCGGGAGATCAGCCTCCATGTTGGCCTCAAGAATCTACACTCGATGTCGACCATACCCCCCAAAACCCTAAGCCCTCTGCACAAAACAAAACAACGGGAGGTTTAGGGTTTAGGGTTTAGGGTTTAGGGTTTAGGGTTTAGGGTTTAGGGTTCAGGGTTTAGGGTTCAGGGTTCAGGGTTCAGGGTTCAGGGTTTAGAGTGCCCTACCCCCTCCCCCCCCCCTCCCCCCCAAACTTCTGAGAGTCTTTTGCGGGCTCCAAACTGAAACCCTGAACCGTCAAGCGACCCTAAACCCTAAACCCTACACCCTAAACCCTAACCCCTCAACAGAATGCCGCCCAGCTTCGCGCCACTGCCGGCGAAGCTCCATTAGCTCGGCAATCGGTCTGAAGTCCTTCGCCTCATGGGATGGAGTTTGAGGTTTAGGCTTTAGGGTTTAGGGTTTAGGGTGTAGGGCTTAGGGTTTAGGGCTTAGGGTTTATGGTGTTGAATTCGGGGGTTTGGGGTTTGGTGTTGGGTGCTTAGGGCTTTGGGCTTCATGTTTAGGGTTTAGGGCTTAGGGCTTAGGGTTTCCAAGCAGCCATAAAGCTGCCCCACACCCGACCCCCCAACATCCCAAAATATGTCACTTTGGGCTCTGGACGCCCCTCTTGGGTCTTGCGGCAGGCTCTCTAAGAGTGTTTGGGGTTGTTTGGGGTTTAGGGTTTCGGATATAGGGTTTAGGGTTGAGGGTCTAGGGTTTAGGATTTAGGGTTTAGTATATCCCCCTAAACCCCCGCTTCCCCCCCCCCCCCCCCCCCCCCCAAAAAAAAAAAGTGCAGGCCACGCGACGGGCGGCTGCAGCTTGAACGGCTGCTGTCCCATGTTCACCGTCATGGCCCCCTTGTCCCCGGGCGACAGCAGCGCCTGTGCGAGCCCGACAGGGCTTCGGAACCCTAGATTCCCGAATTCCTCAACCCTAAAGTGCCCAAACTGCCCTAAACCCTAAACCCTAAACCCTGTACCCTAAACCCCAAACCCCAAACCCTAAACCCTAAACCCTAAACCCTAAACCCTAAACCCTGTACCCTAAACACCAAACCCTAAAACCCTAAGACCCGAAGCCCTATGCTGATCCTGGCCCGAGCGGCCACCAGGGGCAAACCCACTTCCGAGGGCATCTCCTCCGCCGCCAGCTGCAGCAGCGTCTCAAAGGCCGGCTTGTCCTTGTGGACTTCGAGGGGTGCAGGGGGCTGAAAAAGAGTGTAGGGGTTAGGATTCAGGGTTTAGGACTGAGGGTTTGGGAGTTAGGGTTTAGGAGCTAGGCTTGTAGGGTTTATGTCAGTTTAGAGCTTAGGGTTTTGGGTTTAGATGCGACATACGTCGTGATGGAGCAATGCCCTCTGGCTGGGGCTGAAACCTTTGCCCCAAAATATGTCTGACAGCACGTGCAGTTTTTGTTGGATAGGTCTGGGGTGCTAAGATTAGGCGGAGGGGGTTTGTGCCGCTGCCGCGCTCAGAACCCTAAGCCCTAAACCCTTTTAGGGCTTAGGGCTTCGGGTTTGGGGCTTAGTGATGTCTACGGCTTTGGGTTTGCACTACGTTGCCGAAGAAATCTGAGGGCCCGTCTAAGGCATCTTGCTGAGACACTGAGAGCAGCGACGCTGGAGGAGTTTCCCTAAACCCGAAACGCTACTGTGGCCTGGGGCTTCTTCAGGTTCAGCACTCTTCTTTGGAACACAACTCTTAAGGCCCTTACGGCATAGGTTTGGGGTTTGGGATTTAAGGCGAAGGGCTTCTACCCACAACACGACCCTGTGCCCCAAACATGAAAATCCTAAACCCCCAAATCCAACCCACCCCAGACTCTGAAACCTTCAAGCCCCTAAACCCTCAACCCCTGAAACCCTAAAACCTTAAAACCCCAAAAACCTAAGAGTCCCAAAACCCTAAAAACCCCAAAACCTTGTCGCCGCCCAAGACTCCACCGTAGCCACCCTGGGCGCAATTGGCACAGGAGGTTCAGGGTTTCGGGTTTGAGGGTTGGGGGTAACCTAAACCCTAAACCCTAAACCCTAAACCCTAAACCCCAGTCCGCAAAGTAGGGTTGGAAGCCTACGGTTGAAGGAGGACTTGGGGTTTTGGGGCTCAGGGCGTTTAGGTTTCACAAGGTATGTAGCGAGTTGGGTTTAGGGTTTAGGGTTTAGGGTTTAGGGTTTAGGGTTTAGGGTTTAGGGTTTAGGGTTTAGGGTTCAAGGTCCAAGGTTCAGGGTTTAAGGTTCAAGGCTTATGGCTGAGGGCTTAGGGACCCAAACCCAAAACTCTAAAACCCCCCAACCCCTAACCCCTAACCCCGAATCCCTGAACCCCTAAATCCTAAACCCTAACCCTTAAACCATAAACCCAAAAACCTTTACGGCTGGCTAGGCCCCCGCGCTGCACAGATCCGGCGTCGCAGTCCACGGCCACGCAGAGCACCACGCCGTCCTTCCAGGCGGTGCCTTGGAGTAGAGCTTAGGGTTTAGGTTTTAGGGTTCAGGGTTCAGGGTTCAGGGTTCAGGGTTTAGGGTTTAGGGTTTAGGGTTTAGGGTTTAGGATTTAGGGTTTAGGGTTGCGGGTTTAGGGTTTAGGGTTTAGGGTTTAGGGTTTAGGGTTTAGGGTTTAGGGTTCAGGGTTCAGGGTTCAGGGTTTAGGGTTTAGGGTTTAGGGCTTGGCCCCCACGTAGCTGCCGCGAGGGGGCTCTTGCCCTCGTCCTTGCCGCCGTGCCGGCAGCAGCCGTTGTGGAGGTAGGCCCAGGTGCCCAGGTCCTCGCCGGGCGCGTAGTCATCATCCTGAGGAAGCTTTTTAGGGTTTTAGGGTTTTGGGTCTTGCGGTTTAAGGATTCAGGGCTTTTGAGGGTGCTACAAGATTTTCCAGGTTGTGACGGGCTTTTGTGGGTTTAGGGCTTAATACCCTCACCCTGATACTAACGGCCCGATACTAACCTGCCCCCAGTAAACGAGAAAAAACTAATATGAGATCTTACACTTTCATTTTTTTTTTGGGGGGGGGGGGGGGTAGAAACCCTGAAACCCTAAACCCTAAGCGATGGGTTTAGGGTTTAGGGTTGAGGGTTGAGGGTTGAGGGTTGAGGGTTGAGGGTTTAGGATTTAGGGTTTAGGGTTTAGGGTTTGGGGTTTAGGGTTTAGGGTTTAGGGTTTAGGGTTTAGGGTTCAGGGTTTAGGGTTTAGGGCCCTGAATTGCAGAAGCGACCTCTGACATTTCAGGCCAGGGCTCGACATTTTGCAGCGCCAGCCCGAGCAAGCCACCGTCGCCCGACTTCTCGACCGTGACTTCGAAGTAGACCTCCCCAAGCCCCACGCCCCAAGCCCTGGAATCCTCTAGAAGCCCTAAAACCCTACGACCCTGTAAGCCCTAAACCCTAAATCCTAAACCCCAAATCCCAAACCCTAAACCCTAAACCCCAAACCCTAAACCCCAAAGCCTGTTGCACTGGGGCTGGGGGCGCTAGGCCCCCGGAACTCTGAAGCCCTCCCCATCCCTGAGGGGATGCAGGTCGTCTTTAGGCTTTAGGCTTTGGGCTTTGGGCTTTGGGCTTTAGGGTTTAGGCCTTAGGCTTTAGGCGTTGGGCTTTAGGCTTTGGGCTTTAGGCTTTAGGCTTTAGGCTTTGGGCTTTGGGCTTTAGGCTTTAGGCTTTAGGCTTCAGGCTTCAGGCTTTAGGCTTTAGGCTTGAGGCTTTAGGCTTTAGGTTTTAGGCTTTAAGCTTTAGGCTTTAGGCTTTAGGCTTTCGGCTTTAGGCTTTAGGCTTTTGGCTTTAGGCTTTAGGCTTTAGGGCTGCGCGGCCTTGCCCGACAGCTTGAAGCGGTCCAGGGCCGCGACCTCCATCTGATGCCGCTCATCCTCGTCCATGTCCTTGGTGATGTCTGGGTTCAGGGCGTTAGAAGGTTAAGGGTTGTAAGGGTTCGGGGGGAGGGTTAAGGGTTCTGGGGACACGGGCTTAGGGATTAAGGTTTAGGTTGTTGGCTTCAGGGTCCGGGGCTTGGGGGAAATCCTTCGCGGTCTAGGGTTGAAGGTAACGATGGAGGGCTTTGGGGACGTGATTAAGGGCTGTGATTTGAGGAAAAAGGGCCGTTGGGTAGGGCATGGAAAGGCCTTCGCTGCTTGAATCTTCAAGAAGAGCTCCTGTGTTTCTCGTGTCCAGCGAAGGCATCTGCTCGTACTGTACAAGGAAACAGACGCAGCAGTGACACGCTGATGTCGACGGTCGACCTCTGTAGCCTATGGAAAACGCTGGTCGGATCCTCAGGCTCTAGCTTTACATCAAAAGTTCAAAAGCATGTAACTACGCCAAGCAATCACAGGTCCAGGCGCCAATGCCGTCAATTCCCTTGAAGGAAACTTTGCCACAGGAGCAGCCTGGCTGGATGGCACAGCGGTCGAAGTCTGTGTTCGCGTCAACATACTGCCCATCCGTGCAGTACCAACCGGCACCACATGAATCTGCTGCGTTGTTGCTGTAGCCGGCACTGGTGCATCCCTTGTGAATGAAGCAAGGGTCAGTGCCAGGCGAACCACCTCCGTTGCCACATGACGTGCCATGGCTGGGGGTGTCGGTGCAATCACAAATCCAAGTGCCAATTCCAACAATTCCTTTGAAGGAAACTTTGCCACAGGAGCAGCCTGGCTGGATGTCACACCGGTCGAAGTCTGTGTTCGCGTCCACATACTGCCCATCCGCGCAGTACCAACCGGCACCACATGAATCTGCTGGGTTGTCGTTGTAGCCAGCATTGGTGCAGCCCTTATGAATGAAGCAAGGGTCAGTGCCAGGAAAACCACCGCCGTTGCCACAAACAGCCCACCCAGCACCAATTTGCGACTTCAGCTCCAACATCGAGGAGTTCATATTGCTCTCCGAGCCTCGCAAGGCGCTCCCGGCGAAGGCGATCTGCGGCAGGGACATGGCGATGAGCAAAGCAGCCATGGCAGCGTCTTGAGACTGGACAGAGCTTGTGAACCGAGCTGCCGGAGTGGGGAATGCTGCGGGCGGTCCGAAGACAGGATACGTCACGTCATCGACTTTACAAGGGCGGAACGGGTAGATTGCCACAAGAGCCTGAAACAAATCCATGTTCCCACATCTTCTACCCTACCCTGCCCTGACCTATCCTAATTCAACGAGGCCACGCTGGACTTTAGAACCTAAGCCCCAAAAAACCCAACACACAACAGCTTAAGGATTTGGGGCTTGGGAGACACATGATCTCAGCTCAGAAGCACGCCCCCTAGGCCCCATATCAGCTTCCAAGATAAATTCAGCAGCTGGATATCTCTTGCTCCTTCGTATTGTAGGAAGTTGAAGGCTTGGGGTTTAGGAGGTTTCGGGGTTCTGGGCAGATGCCAGCTGTGCGCCTGGCAGGACTCTGCTTTGGCTCATTTGTTTCTCGTGTCAAGCGAAGGCATCTGCTCGTACTGTACAAGGAAACAGACGCAGCAGTGACACGCTGATGTCGACGGTCGACCCCATGTAGCCTGTGGAAAACGCTGTCGGATCCTCAGGCTCTAGCTTTACATCAAAAGTTCAGAAGCATGTAACTACGCCAAGCAATCACAGGTCCAGGCGCCAATGCCGTCAATTCCCTTGAAGGAAACTTTGCCACAGGTGCAGCCTGGCTGGATGGCACAGCGGTCGAAGTCTGTGTTCGCGTCCACGTACTGCCCATCCGTGCAGTACCAACCGGCACCACATGAATCCGCTGCGTTGTTGCTGTAGCCGGCACTGGTGCATCCCTTGTGAATGAAGCAAGGGTCAGTGCCAGGCGAACCACCTCCGTTGCCACATGACGTGCCATGGCTGGGGGTGTCGGTGCAATCACAAATCCAGGTGCCAATTCCAACAATTCCTTTGAAGGAAACTTTGCCACAGGAGCAGCCTGGCTGGATGTCACAGCGGTCGAAGTCTGTGTTCGCGTCCACATACTGCCCATCCGCGCAGTACCAACCGGCACCACATGAATCTGCTGGGTTGTCGTTGTAGCCAGCATTGGTGCAGCCCTTATGAATGAAGCAAGGGTCAGTGCCAGGAAAACCACCGCCGTTGCCACAAACAGCCCACCCAGCACCAATTTGCGACTTCAGCTCCAACATCGAGGAGTTCATATTGCTCTCCGAGCCTCGCAAGGCGCTCCCAGCAAAGGCGAGCTGCGGCAGGGACATGGCGATGAGCAAAGCAGCCATGGCAGCGTCTTGAGACTGGACAGAGCTTGTGAACCGAGCTGCCAGAGTGGGGAATGCTGCGGGCGGTCCGAAGACAGGATACGTCACGTCATCGACTTTACAAGGGCGGAACGGGTAGATTGCCACAAGAGCCTGAAACAAATCAATGTTCCCACATCTTCTACCCTACCCTGCCCTGACCTATCCTAATTCAACGAGGCCACGCTGGACTTTAGAACCTAAGCCCCAAAAAACCCAACACACAACAGCTTAAGGATTTGGGGCTTGGGAGACACATGATCTCAGCTCAGAAGCACCCCCCCTAGGCCCCATATCAGCTTCCAAGATAAATTCAGCAGCTGGATATCTCTTGCTCCTTCGTATTGTAGGAAGTTGAAGGCTTGGGGTTTAGGAGGTTTCGGGGTTCTGGGCAGATGCCAGCTGTGCGCCTGGCAGGACTCTGCTTTGGCTCATTTGTTTCTCGTGTCAAGCGAAGGCATCTGCTCGTACTGTACAAGGAAACAGACGCAGCAGTGACACGCTGATGTCGACGGTCGACCCCATGTAGCCTGTGGAAAACGCTGTCGGATCCTCAGGCTCTAGCTTTACATCAAAAGTTCAAAAGCATGTAACTACGCTAAGCAATCACAGGTCCAGGCGCCAATGCCGGCAATTCCCTTGAAGGAAACTTTGCCACAGGTGCAGCCTGGCTGGATGGCACACCTGTCGAAGTCTGTGTTCGCGTCAACATACTGCCCATCCGTGCAGTACCAACCGGCACCACATGAATCTGCTGCGTTGTTGCTGTAGCCGGCACTGGTGCATCCCTTGTGAATGAAGCAAGGGTCAGTGCCAGGCGAACCACCTCCGTTGCCACATGACGTGCCATGGCTGGGGGTGTCGGTGCAATCACAAATCCAAGTGCCAATTCCAACAATTCCTTTGAAGGAAACTTTGCCACAGGAGCAGCCTGGCTGGATGTCACACCGGTCGAAGTCTGTGTTCGCGTCCACATACTGCCCATCCGCGCAGTACCAACCGGCACCACATGAATCTGCTGGGTTGTCGTTGTAGCCAGCATTGGTGCAGCCCTTATGAATGAAGCAAGGGTCAGTGCCAGGAAAACCACCGCCGTTGCCACAAACAGCCCACCCAGCACCAATTTGCGACTTCAGCTCCAACATCGAGGAGTTCATATTGCTCTCCGAGCCTCGCAAGGCGCTCCCAGCAAAGGCGAGCTGCGGCAGGGACATGGCGATGAGCAAAGCAGCCATGGCAGCGTCTTGAGACTGGACAGAGCTTGTGAACCGAGCTGCCGGAGTGGGGAATGCTGCGGGCGGTCCGAAGACAGGATACGTGACGTCATCGACTTTACAAGGGCGGCAGGGGTGGATTGCCGCAAGAGTCTGAGGCGAGCACGTGCTCCAGCATCTTCTGCCCTACCCTGCCCTGACCTATCCTAAATCAACGAGGCCACACTAAACTTTAGAACCGAAGCCTCAAAAAACCCAACACGCAAAAGCTTAAGGATTTGGGGCTTGGGAGACGCAGGATGTCAGCTACCCAAGGCCCCAAACTCAGCTTCCGGGCAGCTGGCGGCTACTGACTTGCTCCTTCGTATTTAGGAAGCGTAAGGTTTGGCCTTTTCGCGGTTTCGGGATTTTGAAATTTAGGGGTCCTGGGCAGATGCAGGCAAGCTGCTTTGTTGGCAATGCTCTGCTTCTCGCAGCGAGAGCAGACGACGACATCGCAACCTCCCGTCCGGGCGCTGTACGGTTTAGGGTTTAGACTTAGACTGGTAAACCCGCGAAAAGCTACACCCTCAACCCTGAACCCTATAAACCGTATACCCCACCTCTCGTCCCCTCCCCACCCACCGTGCGTTCCCCCGCCCCCTTACCACCCCCTCGCCTTCTGCGCCCAACCCTTCCCCTCAAAGCTCGAATGTGCGGTTGTATCTATACATATATATATATATAGGATGCCGGGTCACGGTTTGCCGGATGAGAAACATAACAAAAAAAACACATATGAAAAGCAAATCCCCTCTGCCGCCCTACCCACCTCCTACCAGCACTTCCCTGCACTTCCCACATGTTTTTGCTCACCCCCCCCCCCCCTTCCCCGCCCCCTTTATTCCTCCCCACCCTTTCCCCACCGCATCCCTTTGCTTTTCCCTGCCTCTTCACTCCCCCCGTCGGCTAACCCTAAACCCTAAAACCTTAACTAAACCCTAAACCCTAAACCCTAAACCCTAAACCCTAAACCCTAAACAACCCTAAACCCTTCTAAACTCTAAGCTTTCCCGGCAGTGGCGACCTTGCCCTGCTGCTGCCATGGCCAGGAGCCCCGGCCAAGGCGAGTCACGCAGCGAGAAAGCACCCAGACCCCAAGTAGTCTTATGAAGGGGTCGTATATTATAGGGGCCTCATTGACGAACATGTGTATTTTCTGCTGACATAATATATATATATATATATATATATATATAATACATAAATATACAATATTATACAGTATAATATAATATCAGATAACACACATTCTATCTATATATATATATACATATATATTTGTATGCTTCTTTGTTCCTTTCTGTTTTTGCATCCCCTTATTGATTTATATCTTGTGGGATGTCCTGCACTCTCCGTACTCCCTTGGAGCCATATTAGTCTCAATACGCCCCTGGATGTGTTCAACTAAAGCAAACAGAAGCATATCCTAAACCCTAAACCCTAGACCCTAAACCCTAAGGATGCTATTGATGGTTGAGGAAGCTTCAGACGAGATGCGTCCGCAGTACCAGTGTGAGCCGCTCACTTCGCGACCGCACCGCTCGCCTGTCTGTGTTCTGTTTGGGAGGGAGGGGGGGGTGGAGGGGTTGGGGTTGGGAGGGTGGCGAGGGGGGGTTTAGGGTTTAAGGTTCAGGGTTTAGGGTTTAGGGTTTAGGGTTTAGGGTTTAGGGCTTGGGCGTTAGGGTTTGGGGTTTGGAGAGGGGGGAGGTTTGGGGGGTGGAGGTTGCTGCCCCTTAAGGACGGTTTGGCAAGCTTTGGCTGCCTTCCGCAGTGCCTGGAGGTGCCATTGGTTGAGGGCTTCAGGATGTAGCAAACACCCAAACCCTAAAGCTTTGCCCGTAACGCTTAGGGCTTGCTTGGTCCAAACTGAGAGGGAAGGCTTTATGGGTTTAGGGTTCAGGGACCGGACACAGTAGATCCTAAACCCAAAGACTCTAGACCCCAAAAACTGGAGTCCTTAATATCGTTCGGCCCTCAGAACCCGAAAACCCATTAACCTTTCATTAAGCCCCCAGACCCCCGAGTCCCTAAAAAACCCTGGAAACCCCCCGCAGGCTGTGGAATATGCAGGGTTCCTACACCCTAAACCCTAGACTCAGCCCTAAACCCCGAAAACCCTTGTAGAAGGATCCGGGCCCATAATCCAAAAGCGGACTTTCAAATCAATCCTAACCCCAACCAGTCAAACCCCAAACCCTCAGAGAAGAGGGTTTGGGGTTTAGAATTTAGGGTTTAGGGCTTAGGGTGTAGGGGTTTAGGCAGAGACCATGGCCCTTGAGACGGTCCGTTACCTTCTTTCAAGGATTCTGAGGTACGGGCCCTTGGGTTAAGGTGTAAGGGTCCCCCAAATCAGGGCCCAAACCAAGGGACCATGAAGCTACCCTAAGGGAAACCCTAACCCCTAACCCCTAAACCCTAAACCCTAAACCTCAAACGCCAGGCAGTCGGGGAGCATTCCATCTCATCTTCGTAGTCGTCCGTGCTCTTCTTGCTGCTCAGGACGTGCTTGCTGGAGCCTTGGGCTCGAAGTTTTAGTCGGCTTTCGGGCTTAGGGGATTTGGGTTGAGGACTTTAGGGCGTGGGCTTAGGGTTTAGGTTTCGGGGTTCGGGGTTTAGGGTTTAGGGTTTAGGTTTTAGGGTTTCGGGTTTAGGGTCAACATTCAAAATCCAAGCCTGCGCGGAAATTTCGTGATTCTGTTCACGAAACAAGGCGTTGCTTGTAGAAAATGATCATCAATTGTGGGGGGGGGGGGGGGGGGGCTGTGGGGCTTTGGGTTCCAAATTCCTGAAACCTAAGCCCTGGAACCTTGGAAACCAAGGAAGGCCTAAACCCTAAACCCAAAACCCTAAACTTCAACCCTAAACCCCAAATCCTAAACCCTAAAACCTAAACCCTAAACCCTAAACCCTAAACCCCAAATCCTAAACCCTAAACCCTAAACCCCTAAACCCTAAACCAAAGTCCCTTGAAGCGCATCATAGGTGCACATGGGCTTGCCTTTGTTCTTCAGGCCCTGCGCCGTGAGGCGGCAGGATGCGCACTTCGTGACCTGGGGAGCGGTTTAGGATTTAGGGCTTGGGGTTTAGGGTTTAAGGTTTAGGGTTTAGGGTTTAGGGTTTAGGGTCTAGGGTCTAGGGTCTAGGGTTTCGGGTTTCGGGTTTAGGGTTTACCGGGTTTACCCTATAAACCCTAAACCCTCACAACCCCCGCCAGAAAGCCCCTGCATCCTGGTGCGGCCCCGGTGGCGAGAGGCTCCTCCCCGGTAAGCTTGGGCTCGATGAGCTTCTCCAGCACCTCGGCAAAAGGGTTTAGGGTTTAGGGTTCAGGGTTCAGGGTTGAGGGTTCAGGGTTCAGGGTTGAGGGTTGAGGGTTCAGGGTTCAGGGTTCAGGGTTCAGGGCTTGGGGTTCAGGGTTTAAAGTCTAAGGGTTTAAAACTTGGGGGTTTAGGGGTCTAGGGCTTAGGGCTTAGGGTCCAGGTCCCGGTTACAAGTACAAGGAACAACTACCTGAGAGAGAAGACGAGTTGAGCAAGAACAAAACAAACTCTGACAGCGGTCCAGGTCTAGTCTCGGATGCCACCACACAGAATGCCCTAAACCCTAAACCCTAAAACCCCAAATCCTACAATCCCAAGCCCTAAGCCTTAAACCGAAAACCCTCATCGAATGGTACATCCCCAGCATCAGATGGCAGGCCTATGGGAGGACTGCAACCCCAAAAGATACAGATTGCTACCCGACTACAAACCCCACGAAATCCAGAAAACAAGAAAAGCTGGCAATTGGAAACCTGGGCAAGGAACAGATTCCGAGAAAACCCCCCAAACCCTAAACCCTAAACCGTAAATTCAAACCCTAAACCCTAAACCCTGAACCCGAAACCCTCAGGCGAGCGGCATTGGCATCGATGCGGGTCGCAGACCACGTGCCGGAGATCTCGTTGGCATCGAGGGACCACCAGAAGCCTGCTTTGGGTCAAAATCCTAAAGCCCTAAACCCTAAACCCTCTATTGGCTGCCCTCTTTGCCTCCCCTCTCCGCCCCTAAACGTCCCTCAACCCCAAGAAGGTTGGCTCTTTGAACCCTCTGATGAAGATGCCAGAAAACGGATCATCTTAAGCCCAAAAAGAACTCTAAAAATCTATCACGGGCCTACTCAGTAAACCTTACACTTCTAAGCCCCTAAACCCTAAACCCTTGAACCCTAAACCCGAAACCCCAAACCCCTAAACCCCTAAACCCCGAAACCCCTAAACCCTAAACCCTAAACCCTAAACCCTAAACTGAGCCCCGCGCCCGTGATCGTGGCCACCGCGCCACCCCGGCGGTCGAGCTGGCCCTCCATCATGGCCCGGCCTTTCCAGCCGTTGACCTCGCTGAGGAATGTCGTGGTTTGTGGGCTTAGGGTTTAGGGTTTGGGGTTTGGGGTTTAGGGTTTAGGGTTTAGGGTTTAGGGTTTAGGGTTTAGGGTTTAGGGTTTAGGGTTTAGGGTTTAGGGTTAGGTTTAGGGTTTAGGGTTTAGGGTTTAGGGTTTAGGGTTTAGGGTTTAGGGTTTAGGGTTTAGGGTTTAGGGTTTAGGGTTTAGGGTTTAGGGTTTAGGGTTTAGGGTTTAGGGTTTAGGGTTTAGGGTTTAGGGTTTAGGGATCTGGGATCTAGGGTTTAGGGCTTAGGGTTTCGGGTTGAGGGTTTAGGGTTTAGGGTTTTAGGGTTTAGGGTTTAGGGTTCAGGGTTCAGGGTTTAGGGTTTATAGGGTTTAAAAGGTTTGGGTTTAGGGTCTAGGGCTTGCAGGCTTTACGGGGGCCACCTGGGGCATGGTTTGGCTGTTACGGGGCGCTGGGGGCTCGAACCGAAGGTCCTACCTGGAAAAGAGGCCTTCAAAAGGGCTGCCTTCCTTGAGGGCGGGTGTGGAGCTTCAGGCCCCTCCCTTCGACCCTCGAGACCCTCAACAACCTCCCCACCCCCACCCCCGCATTTCAAGCGCGCACGCGCCTGCAGTCGCAGCGAGCGACTGCTCAGCGAGCCTTCGACGAGGGCCTTGCTGACCTGGAGGCCACGCTGAGCGGCGCGGTGCAGGGTGGATTGCTACTGTAGGGTGCCCCGAAAGCCAATTACGCCCTCAACTCTAAACACTAAACCAGCAAGACTGCCAGACCAAAAGACACGCGCACACACGCACACACCACACAACGACTCGGGCGCTCTCGAATGGAGACTGCAAGACAAGCGCAAGGCCACGGAAAACCAAGAGTGTGGTTTTGAACGTCATACGCAACATGGGCCGGGTGCTTGATAAGGAACTTCAATTAAGTTGCCAGAACAGGGGCAGTTTTTCTGCTTTCTTTCTAGCCCTATTCTGGTAGCTTCACTTGACTTCCTTAACAACAAGCACGTAGATGAGGCCAGGAGAACCCCGGTCCCTCTTGCCGGGCGCCTTGGGGCCGCCATCGAGGTCGGAAGATTCGAGGTCGGGGCCTTCCCAACGCCACGCTTTCTGGACTTTGCCAGTGGATTCGGCGCTTCGTCTAGGGCACTTGGAGGTTTAGGGTTTAGGGGTTAGGGCTTAAGGATTTAAGGGTTCAGGGTCTAGGGTCTAGGGCTTAGGGTTTAGGGTTTAAGGGTACTTATAACCTCAATTACAACTGTGCTTGCAAGCCCCCTATGTCCTTTAAGTAGGTTATGAGCAGACGTATAATTGCGGTTGCAAGTACCCATGAAGCTACATGCATGTAGGGTTCCGGTCAGAGGACAGCTTTGGTTCGCTTTCTAATAGATGGGAAGCTTTGGGCTGTCGCCGACTGCCATGGCTCCGAAATGGCCAGAAACTCACAAAAACGCCCTAAAGCAAGGGTCCCCCCCCCCATGGCATGGTGAAAAAGGGTCTAGGCTTGCTGCGCTACTAGTTCAAAACACAAAGAGGTGACCAAATCTGTCATCTTCATGCTCCGTGCAACGCGGCCCCCCCCCCCCCCGGATCGTAGGTCTTACACGCAGCAGCCCCAGGGTGCCCCAGGGTGCCTTGCACGGTGTACGGACAATCAAGCGAAAGCACAAATGCAGAGCGGCCCAGATCACGCAATGAAGCTGCGCAGCTTGAGGCAGCACGCATATGATTGCAGTTCAGTCATTCTTCAAACTTTGCTTTTGAGACGCATCGATTGCATGACAGGTGCACTTGAACCAGTCTACGCGACCAAGAATCGCCAAGTCTGCTAGTGTCTGGAAGAGACCTTTGCGCATTTTGCTTCAAGCGTGAAGTCCGGGCTCCGAGTAGGGCTGCGTTCATCGTGAAATTGCCCCTACCCCGAGAATGCAAGGCAATCAAAAGCCTTTGCTAGCGTCTATGTGTCACCACGTCTACAAAGAACACCATTTAGGCACACATCGCTAGGCTTACTTGTCCGAGACAGCTGGCAAGCGTAGCTTCGCGACTCCTCGCCGTGATATGCCTGAGGCACGCAGCAAGTTAAACGCTGCGCGCTTCCTCCCCTCGCCCTCTCATTCCGGAACGGGGGGAGCGCTTGCTTACCACGGAGTCTCCTGCAGATAATGCTGGCCTGCCTCAAGATCAGATTCCGTCTTGCAGACGCGCGCTGGGATCGCAGTTGGCTCAAAGGAAGCTCAGCGCGCACGCGCTTGGCGAAAAGCCCCCAAGCCTTGGAGGTCCGCAGCGCCTTGCCAAGTTGGTGCGCCAATACATGACTGTCATCTGCCTGGCAGCGGCGCGACACAGCGCTGTGTTGTGTTCCAGCAGCTTTCGCGCCCGGAATACTTCGCACTTTAACAGGAGTGATGATTGGCGCAAGTACTGCACCTGCCGAAACCATCCACGCATCTCCGCGCGTCATGCCTCGTTCGAGGTCGTTCCAGAAGAAAGCAGTTTCAACACAACGACATCTTGAGCAGCACACAAGAGCCCATTTGTTGAAGAGCCACTCAATGCGTTCTGCTTCAGCCGCATACGACACATGTTCAGAGATGCGCTTGCCTTTTTTTCGGTTTTCCGATGAACCTCGTCCCGATATAGTGCAAAAATCGCAGCCACGGCTACAATGAATTCCGCTCGGTTCGACCATCCTGTCTCAGCCGCAGCACTCTGCAACACATACTCCGCCGTCTTCTTCGACATAGATCCCGTGCGAATTTGCTCTTGTAGACGCAGTTCCCACGCGGATAGATCAAGCTTATTGCCGCCAGGCAGGACAGGAATTTAATGGTTCAATAACGTAAAAATAAATCAATAAAGTTAATCTGAAATTGTTTCCAGATCTGGGCTTGAGGGCTGCAGCAGAAGGAATTTAATAATCTAATCATTTAATATTTCGAAGAGGGATTTCTTTTTGATTTTTAAATTATTGAATTCCAGGCCTGCTCTGAATTCAATGCTACGGCATCAACCAGAAAATACTACATTATGAAATTCCACCAAATGAACCCTGTTCTACCATCCTAAACCCCCCCCCACCCCACCCACCCACCCGCCCACCCCCCCCACCCCCCCCTCAGCCGACTGGATCAGAGCATTAGGCTGCGCTGTCGTAACTCAGCCTGCCTTACTTCCTACAGCTTTGTGGGTTCCTTCGGGTCGGCTCGCGCCTTCCAGCAAAGCACCATGCACCGCGCCCGAACGGGACTCCACAGCAAAGTGGACCTCACACAGAAGCGGGCGGAAACCCTAAGAATAAACCCTGACCCCCAAGGCTGTCGGGAGCAGAGCTTGGTAAGTTTGGAAAGGCCCGAAGGGCCACCCCTAAACCCTAAACCCTAAACCCTAAACCCTAACCCTAAACCCTAAACCCTAAACCCTAAACCCCGGTTTATAAAGGTTCGGCTTGGGCAGCAGTCTCCCGATCAATCTCGAAGCATCCACTTAGGGGACTCGCAACCGCAAACTTACGTCGACACTCAGCACTTCTGTTTGTGACGACGGCGATACTGCGCTTTCAAGAGATGCATTTTTGCGCGCAGTGATTTTTGAAAAATCAGTTGGCTCTGCAGAAGGGCTTGAGGCAATATGATTTCGCCAGTTCGCAACGCATGCGAAGGCCCCAGTTTAACATCTTTGAAGCACAGGGCACCCTGGCATGGACTTAAAATGGCTCTTAAGGCCCTTGAGACCGGGAAGGCGTAGCAGGGGGCCGCACCGTCAGCCACATAGTGTAGGCATAGGCCTGCAGCAGGGCTTCCGGCTTAAAAGCTTCCAAGGGCTTAAGGGGTTAGTTTTTGGGATTTGAACTGTTCAACCTTAAACCCTCAGCCCTTACCCCTCATAAAGGCAGGATTTGTTGAACCTGCCCCCTGAGAATATGGAGCCGAAACGAAGTTCAAAACTCCTTCAGATCCCAGACGCTGAACCCTAAATCGTGGCTCTTCTCAACTACTGAAATGAACATGACCCTAAACCCTAAACCCCAAACCCTAAACCCTAAACCCTAAACCCTAAACCCTAAACCGTACGAGGAGCTCGTTGGGGTTGATGTTAGCGGCTGGATTACTTGTAGGGGTGGCGGGGTCCGCCTCTCAGGCAATCTATGACGGCGGATGCTTTCGGGGACCCTGATTGAGAACAACCCCCAAAGCCCAAGCAAGTCTAACTCCCAATCTCTGAAGCCCCATACCGAACCCCTTGACCCCAAAAACACACCCGAGACCCTAAACCCTAGAGCCTAAGACACACAAAGCCCCAACCCCAAAAAACCACACGCAACTCTCAGAAGCCTCCTGTCTGCAAGAGTTTACGGTTGGGGTTTAGGGTTTAGGAGTTTGGGAGTTTCGTGTTAAGGAGTCTAGGAAGTTCGGGCTTTGGGCTGACCACCGCCCAAAGCCCTCCAACCACTAAACTCCCCAAACTCTACATCCTAAACATAGGGTTTAGGGTCTAGGGTTTCGGGTTTCGGGTTAAAGGTTTAGGGTTTAGGGTTTAGGGTTTAGGGTTTAGGGTTTAGGGTTTAGGGTTTCGGGTTTAGGGTTTAGGGTTTAGGGTAAAACCCGGCTCGAGGCGCCTGCGCCCCGTCCTGCAGCCCCACGGACACCCGCCACAGCCCCGCCAGGCGCGCGGACTCGTCCACCACGCGGGTGGCCGTCCAGCGCCCTTCCTGGGGACGTCTCCAGGGCTCAGCGATTAGAGCTACTTGGCGGTTCAAGGTACTTATAACCCAAATTGTAGCTGCGCTTATAAGCCGCCTACCGTAAGTGCTCTGAGCAGGTTATAAATAGACTTATAATTGCAGTTAGAAGTACTCATGAACCTCCAAATCAGCCCTAAACCTTGGGATGTTCCCCCTTATTATACTGAGCGGTTACCCCATAATGTTCAAACCGCCAAAAGTTCAGGCCTCTCAAGCCCGAAGGAGCCCCCTAAACCCCCAAACCCCAAACCCCAAAAACCCCAAAACCCCAAACCCCAAAACCCTACACCCTACCCCTAAACCCCAAAACCCTAAACCCCAAAACCCCCAAAACCCTGAGAACTTCCTCAAAAACTCCCATAGACGAGCCCCGCCCCCCTGCGGCCGAAGGGCCGTGGCCGGAGGCTTCGTACCCTCCGGGAGCTCCTTGCCGTGGTTTGGGGTTTTAGGGTTTAGGGTTTGGGGTTTGGGGGTTGGGGTTTAGGGCTTGGGGTTTTAGGGTTTAGGGTTTTGGGTTTTGGGTTTAGGGTTTGGGGTTTGGGGCTTGGGGCTTGGGGTTTAGGGTTTGGGGTTTGGGGTTTGGGGTTTAGGGGTTTAGGGGTTTAGGGGTTTAGGGGTTTAGGGGTTTAGGGGTTTAGGGGTTTAGGGGTTTAGGGGTTTAGGGGTTTAGGGGTTTAGGGGTTTTGTAGGGGTTTAGGGGTTAGGGGTTTAGGGGTTTAGGGGTTTAGGGGTTTAGGGGTTTAGGGGTTTAGGGGTTTAGGGGTTTAGGGGTTTAGGGGTTTAGGGGTTTAGGGGTTGGGGGCTTGGGGTTTTGGGTTTTGGGATTTGGGGTTTTGGGCTTTAGGGCTGACCCCCCAAGATCGAGGTTCCTTAGAGGCCGGGGCTGCGAGGGGAGGAGGGAATACTAGGGTTTAGGGTTTAGGGCTAGGGTTTAGGGTTTTGGGCTTAGGGTGTAAGAAGGCTTACGGCTTAGGTAGGCCTTCAGGCTTATGGAGCGTGATTTGGTGGCTCTCCTCTTCTTGGACTGGGTTTGCAGCCCGCCACTCGCCCTTGAGCACGGCTGTGGTGTCCTTGCCAAAAAAGGGGGGCTCTAGGGCGTAGAGGTCTAACCCTAAACCCTAAACGCTAAACCCTGAAACCTAAACCCTAAATCCTAAACCCTAACCCACCCGAGAGGGTTTAGTAGAGGGATTAGTGGAGGGCTTAGAGGGCTTCGAGGGTTTAGAGGGTGTAGAGGGTGCACAGTGTAGACGGCTTTGGGCCGATGAAGTCTGAGAGAGCTGACGAACCCTAAACCCTAAACCCACGTCACAGCTGAGTCGCGGTTTCGTCTGTCACGGCGCCATCGAAGCCTCAGACTCTGAACAGGATCGAAACCCTAAACCCTAAACCCTTAACCATAAACCCTAAACCCAAAAGAGTTTCGGGGGACTGCCATGGATTCAGGGTTGAAATCTCCTGGCCCCCTACCCCCCAAAATCTTTGAACTACGCTCTCTACCTCTAGTCTAGAAGTCCAACCCGCCAACCTCGACCCCCAAGAATGCAACGCCCTACTAACCCGAAACCCTAAACCCCAAACCCTGAACCCTGAACCCTAAACCCTAAACCCTAAACCCTAAAGACCTCAGAAAGAAAAACTGCAACTCGACAGGGTTTCGGGTTGTATGGGGCCTTCGACCTTTGGGACCTTTGGGGCCTAAACCCTAAACCCTAAACCCTAAACCCTAAACCCTAAACCCTAAACCCTAAACCCTAAACCCTAAACCCTAAACCCTAAACCCTAAACCCTAAAGGTCCGGAGGGCCCCTAGAGGTCCGTAGGGGAGCCGTGGGAACTCCTTAGGGCCGGGCAAAACTGCACCGTCGAGCGCTGCTCCTCCTCTTCGTCGTCCTCGCCATCCTCGTCCCGCCTTGGGAGTGAAAGGCTTTTAGGGTTTGGGGTTTGGGGTTTTGGGTTTGGGATTTAGGGTTTAGGGTTTAGGGGTTTAGGGGTGTAGGGCTTAGGGTTTTGGGGTTTTAGGGGTGTAGGGTTTAGGGTTTAGGGGTTTAGGCTTGTAGGGTTTAGGGGTGTAGGGTTTAGGGTTTAGGGGTTTAGGGGTGTAGGGTTTACGGTTTAAGGGTTCAGGGTGTAGGGTTTCGGGTTTAGGGGTTCAGGGGTGTAGGGTTTCGGGGTTAGGGGTCTAGGAGTGGAGGTGAAACAGGCCCTGTTTTTTCACGCGGCGGTTCCAAGGCCATACCCCCCCAACTCCGAAACCCTCAGCCCCAAACCCTAAACCTGCTGAGGGTTGAAGATTCCCTAACCCCCTAACCCCCTAAACCCCTGAACCCCTAAACCCCTAAACCCTCAACCCCTAAACCCTAAAACCCTAAAGCCTAGACCCCAAACCCGCAAACCCCCTAACCCCCTAACCCCTGAACCCTACAACGTACTACCGGTGAAGGATCCCTAAACCCTAAACCCTAAACCCTAAATTATCTGAGCCAAGCGGCACACGCCTGTCTGCCGAGGACTTCTTCTGCTCTCCGAACATGTCGAGCTTCACTTGCCGTCCCACCAGCTTCCCCTCGCAGATGAGCGGGCAGGGGGTCTTGGGTTTAGGGCTTCGGGTTTAGGGCTTAGGGTTTGGGGTGCAGGGTTTAAGGTTTAGGGTTTAAGGTCAGGATTTAGGGTTTAGGGTTTAGGGTTTCGGGTTTAGGGTTTAGGGTTTAGGGTTTAGGGTTTAGGGTTTAGGGCACGCCCAAAAAAACTCAGGCGCACAGACCAAGCCTCGCTTCGCAAGGAGATGATGCGCACCGCCTTCTTCTCCTCCTTCTTGGGCCTCACCTCCACCTGGCGACGCTGCTTGGAGGTTCCGGGTTGATGGAGCTTAGGGTTTATGAGGGTTTAGGGTTTAGGGTGTAGGGTGTTTAGGATTTAGGGTTTAGGGTTTAGGGTTTAGGGTTTAGGGTTTAGGGTTTAGGGTTTAGGGTTTAGGGTTTAGGGTTTAGGGGTTTAGGGGTTTAGGGGTTTAGGGTTTAGGGGTTTAGGGGTTTAGGGGTTTAGGGGTTTAGGGGTTTAGGGGGGTTAGGGGTTTAGGGGGGTTAGGGGTTTAGGGGTTTAGGGGTTTAGGGGTTTAGGGGTTTAGGGGTTTAGGGGTTTAGGGGTTTAGGGGTTTAGGGGTTTAGGGGTTTAGGGGTTTAGGGGTTTAGGGGTTTAGGGTTTAGAGGCTTTCCGCTATTTGGATTTGATGTAGAAGGGAGGCAAAGGAATCAGAGTAGCACCGGCGTCGTACATTTGAAACCCTGAATCCCCCTGAAACCCTCCTAAACCCGAAACCCGAAACCCTAAAGGCCCTAAACCCTAATCAAGCCCTTAACCCCAAACCCCACAAACTAAACCCTAAAAGCCCTAAACCCTGCACCCCAAACCCTAAACCCTAAAATCCCTACACCCTAAACCCTAAACCCCCAAATCCCAAATCCCACAAAACCCGATGATCCCCTTGGACTGGATTCCTCCAACCCTAAACCCTAAAATCCCTAATCCCTAAACCCTAAACCCTAAACCCTAAACCCCAAACCCTAAACCCTAAACCCTAAACCCTAAACCCCAAATCCCAAATCGCCTCCTCCGGCTCCGACTCCGAGTCGCACTCGCTGTCGTAGTCCTCGGCGAGAAGAGAATGGAGACCCGGGCTGTGGGCTTCGGGTTTCGGGCTTAGGGCCCAGGGCCTAGGGTTTAGGGTTTAGGGTTTAGGGTTTAGGGTTTAGGGTTTAGGGTATAGGGTACAGGGTTTAGGGTTTAGGGTGTAGGGTTTAGGGTTTAGGTTTGGGGTTTAGGGTTTAGGGTTTTTTGGGTTTGGGGTTTCGGGTTTAGGGTTTAGGGTTTAGGGTTTGGGGTTTGGGGTTTAGGGTTTTCGGTTTAGGGTTTAGGGTTTAGGGTTTAGGGTTTAGGGTTTAGGGTTTAGGGTTTAGCTTTGGGTTTTTGGGCTTTGGGTTTTGAGTTTTGGGTTTCTGGGCTTGGGGGTTTTTGGGTTTGGGGCTTCTGGGTTTTGGGGTTTTCGGATTTGGGGCTTATGGGTTTAGGGTTTCTGGGTTGGGGTTTCTGGTTTCGGGTTTCGGGTTTTGGGTTTTGGGTTTGGGGTTTGGGGTTTGGTTTTGGGTTTAGGGCGCTCCCCCCCCACTTTTTTTCATGTACTTGGAACCTGGTTAACAAAATCGTGCTGCTTCTTCAACTGAATTCACAAAAGCCCTTGGTAATTCTAACCCCATCCGGAAGTCTCGGCTACTGCTCGGCTGATCCGGAAGACTCGCAGCTGTCCCGGCTGATGCTCATAATGCGCGTGCCTGGGGGTCACAAGGTTTCCGGAAGTTTGGGCTGATGCTCCGGAAGGCTCCTGATGCGTGAACGCGATACTCCGGGGAGCTGCCTTCAAGCCGCCTCTGCCAAAGCCGCCAAGCCCCCCTAAACCCCTAAACCCCTAAACCCTGAGCCCCATGGAAGAAGTTCGACTTGCACCTAAGCAAGACCAGCTCCCGCCCCCCCCCCCCCCCCCCCAAAAAAAAAAAAAAGAAATGAGATGTGCGAGCTTCAGGAAGACCCTGAAGCATCAAAAAGTCAGCGTGGTAGCTGGAATTATACGTCTTGCATCATTACAGCTGTAGTTGCCTTTCTCGGATGTGCTCAGAATCAGGCCCTCAACCCTAAACCCTAAACCCTAAACCTTCAGGGCTCCCCGAAAAAACAGGGAGAGAAGACAAGAAGAGAGCCAGGCGTCGGAGTCCCCGCCATAGAGCTCCTCGAAGAACTCCTCGAGCTCGCCCTCGATGCCATGCTCTTCCAAAAGCTCATGGGCCTGGGGGGCAGGGCTTTTTTTTGTTTTTTGAGGGGGGGGGGGGGGGGGGGGGGGGGGGGGGGGGGGGGGGGGGAGGGGCTTTCAGGTTGAGGGTTTAAGGGGTAGGGTTTAGGGTTTAGGGTTTAGGGTTTTAGGGTTTCGGGTTTGGGGTTCAGGGTAAGCTTGTGGGCTCTGGACGGTCCTAAGGTTTTAGGGCCCTTGAAGCCTTGAGGTGAGCTCTCTCCACTCTCAGGGACCCCCCCCCCCCCCCCCGACCCTTGCCCTGTTTTGACCCCAAACCCTAAACCCGAAACCCTAAACCCTAAAACGGTCCCAAATGATCTCGGCCTTCATGTTCTTCATGATAGGTCTAAGGGAGGTACCCAGGGAAACCTTTCTTGGGCCAGGGATGACTAGAGCACTAGAGGACGCTAAACCCTAAACCCTAAACCCTAAACCCTAAACCCTAAACCCTAAACCCTAAACCCTAAACCCTAAACCGCAGGTGCCTTCTCGAACTTGTTCTCGAGGCCACACTCCTCGAACTCGCGACGAAGCTTCCGATTCTTCTTCATGTCCTTGAAGCACTGGAACCTCAACTGCAAACTTCGACCCCCGCTGTACTAATTTCAAATGCCCCCGCCCTTGAATGACCCTGTTTGCATACCCTAAACCCTAAACCCTAAACCCTAAACCCTAAACCCAAAAAAGCCTAAGAGAAAGGAAAACTTCCAAGGATGGGCTCTGGGAACATCTTCTTGTAACCTCGCAGGACCTGACCGAGGTCCCCGTTGTAGTTCTCCAAGATTTCGAGGATCTCAGTGACCTTGGGTAGCCCAGTGGCCATATTAAAGCAAGCAATAAGCATAAGAATAAGAACAAGAATAAGCATAAGAGTAAGAATGATACTGATAATAATAATAATAATAATAATAATAATAATAATAATAATAATAACAATAACAAGAACAATAACAATAACAATAATAATAATAATACCCTTTTGGGGGGTTGGCTACTTTAAAAGGGCAAAAGGGCGCCACCCCCCCCCTGGGCCACCAAGTGGCCGAGTCGAACATCGGCAGCAGCCCCTCGTTCAGCGTGTCCCGGTCGACCTCCCGCACCTCGCTCTCGGCGTCCTCGCAGTCATCGGGCGGCTCGGACTCCTCAGTAGCCCAGTAACCACATGATGATAAGGGGCACCCCTTTTTTTGGTTGGTTGCTTCATAAGAGAACCGGAACCAAAAAAAGGGAAAGGGGTACCACTGGGCTGGCAAGACTCCGAGCCCTCGTCGTAGCACTTCTTCTTGCGCCTCGCCCTCGGGATGTCCTCATCCTCGTCCTCCTCCTCACAGCACTCCTCCTCTTCCTCCTCATGGTGCTCATGGCGCATCTCCTCGTCATCCTCCGTGGCTATTTGGATCAGCTGCGGCTCTGGCGGCTCCTCCGGCATCTCGGGCAGGGGCGCGGCTTCGGGCACGCTGGCCTTGCGGTGGACGATCTGCTTCTTGCGCTTGTGCGGGAGGCCGTCGCCCTGGATGCGGCCCGCGGCGTCCACGGAGAGGGTCACCTGCCACACGTAGCCCTCCGCACCCGGGGGCGAGTCACCCTCGAAGGTGATCTCCCAGCGGCCCTGCAGCACGGAGTCGTCGACGGTGGGGAGGCGCTGCTCGGGAGCCTGGAAGCCATCCGGCGCGATGGTGCCGTCCTGGCCCAGGGACATACCCCTGAATTGAGGAATATGGGCTCCTTGTATGGGTTACAAGGAATATTCCTGAGTAAAGGAGTATTGGAGTCTCTGGGTGCCAGGCGCAGTGAGGGGCGACTTTTGGGCGAGCCCCTAAACCCTAGACCCTAAACCCTAAAGCCTAAACCCTAAAGCCTAAACCCTAAACCCTAAACCCTACACCCTTAAAACCTAAACCCTACACCCTAAACCCTAAGCCCCAAACATCCGGCCTTCCACACGAAGATCTCGCAGCCGACGCAGGCCTCGGTCTCCTGGCCGCTCTGCGTGACGCCCTGGGTGCCCACGACATCCGCATAGGTGTCCTTGGTAGCCCGGAAACCAGGTCTAGGGCTTGGGGTTTAGGGTTTAGGGTTTAGGGTTTAGGGTTTAGGGTTTAGGGTTTAGGGTTTAGGGCTTAGGGGTTTAGGTGTTTAGGGGTTTAGGGTTTGGGGTTTAGGGTTTAGGGTTTAGGGTTTAGGGTTTAGGGTCTAGGGTTTAGGGCTTAGGGTTTAGGGTTCTGAAGTTCAGGGTTTAGGGTTTAGGATTTAGGGTCTAGGGGCCCCCCCCCTGACCTCAGCTCTGAGCGTCGGCATCCCCGGGGGCCCGGCTCAGAGAGACCAGGGTGAGGCGATCCGAGGGCGCCTCCGTCTTAAACCCTAAACCCTAAACCCTGAACCCTGAACCCTAAACCCTAAACCCTAAACCCTAAAACCTAAACCCGAACCCTTAACTCCTTACCCTAAACCCTAAACCCCTCTAGGGCGCCTCCTGCTTCCCGCTTTGGTTCACCGGCTTCTTGGTGATGCTGCTGATCTCGACCACTCCTGGGCTTTTTGGCCATCTTGCACCCCCTTTTCTGAAAAAAAAACCAAGCCGTTCAGGGTTTAGGGTTTAGGGTACAGGGTAAAACAGAAGATTCCTAAATTTAGGGCCCTCTTGCAATTAAGAGACTCCTACATATGGGCCCCTCTTGGAAGATCTAAAAACTCCATTTTAAGGGGGGATGTTCTAAGAAAAAATGTCCCGATCTTAGGAGTACCTCAACCCAGGCTCCATCCGTGACCTTGGTCTTGAGCCCGGCAATCATGTTCCCCCGCCCGGCTGTGAAGTTCTTCTTCTTCATATCGTCGGGGTCCATGTACTCCAGCTCGTCCCCCTCGAAGGTCTCGGAGCTTCGGCCCTGCGTCGTCTTGAACATCACAGAGTAGATGCCGACGTCCGGCACGAATCGCGTCTGGATCTCCATGATGTGCTCGCCGGGCTCCAGCTTGAACTCGTGCGTGTGCTGCTTCTGGTCGCCCTTCTCCTTGCCCGCGTACACGAAGTAGATGTCCGCGATGGCGTAGTGGATGTTGATGCGCGCGGCGGAGACGGCGCCGCCGCCCGGCTCGCTCTGAGGAAGGCTGGGGCAGCAGAAGGAGAGGGTGAGCCCATAGGTGTTGAGCTTGCCTTGGCTGACTTCTGAACCCCTCCTAAAGGTTTAACTTTTAGTCTTGTTGTAGTTTTTTTCAAAAAGTTCCAAAAAAGTTAAAGTCCTAAGAGCCAGCCAGAAGAAAGCCAAGTTGCTGTTGGAGCCGCCATTGGGTTGGAGCTGCATCTTCGTGCACTGCACAAAGCTCCTCTTGTCGATCCTTAGGTTGCTGTGTTCCTAAGGCCAAGAAAGTGCAGCTCTGCAGGGGATTCTACTGTAAAGTGTACACCCTAAACCCCCTAAACCCTAAGCCCTACACCCTAAACCCTAAACCCTAAACCCTAAACCCTTACTCATTCAGCTACCGAGGATCTGAAGGAACCCCTTCTGACCTTCAACCGAGATCGGCTCGACGAAGCCAAAGGCAAAGCAGTCCTGCCAGGGGGACAAACCCTGCCTCGACTGGTTTAGGGTTTAGGGTTTTAGGGTTCAGGGTTCTAGGGTTTAGGGTTTAGGGTTTAGGGTTTAGGGTTTAGGGTTTAGGGTTTAGGGTTTAGGGTTTAGGGTTTAGGGTTTAGGGTTTAGGGTTTAGGGTTTAGGGTTTTTGCACTGCCCTGTTTTTGCTGGCACGCTTAGGCCCCCCATCCCTCTATGCGGGGATGTCCGAAACTAGGGGTACCCCTCATATACCCTAAAATACTACAATCCCCAAAAAGGGGTGCCCCTATTTTCGGATACCCCTGACCCAGGCCTAATGAACCCTGAGGAACCCTCAAAACCACCTGCAACTTCACCCTAACCCCTAAACCCTAAACAACTTCAGCACGCGCCTTCGGCAGGTAATCCATCTGGAAGTCGAAGTCGGCTGTGGTGGCGCCACCGCAGGTGGGGTTGGCGTAGGTGTAGAAGGGGTTGGCCCCATGCTGCTCTTCGATGGCGATCTGCATCTCTTCCTGACCCAGTTCGGGGGAGGGTTTAGGGTTTAGGGTTTAGGGTTTAGGGTTTAGGGTTTAGGGTTTAGGGTTTAGGGTTTAGGGTTTAGGGTTTAGGGTTTAGGGTTTAGGGTTAAGGGTTAAGGGTTAAGGGTTAAGGGTTAAGGGTTAAGGGTTAAGGGTGTCGGGGGGAGGGGAAACGCATCAGCACTCCACCAAACCTCATGAACCCTAAACCTTGGGATATTCCCCCTTGTACTAACAGTCCTTAGCAGGGATGAGAATAGGGGGGTACTAGTATCCCCATGAAGGACTGTGAGTACACGGAGGAGCATCCCTAACCCTAAACCCTAAACCCTAAACCCTAAACCCTAAACCCTAGGAGTCCTCCTCCACGGCAATGTGCTCCTTCTCCTTCTCCTCCTCCAGCTTCCGCCGCGCCACACGGTCCTTGCAGCTTCCATGCCCTAAGCCCTAAACCCTAAACCCTAAACCGCCTAAACCCTAAACCCTAAACCCTGTGAGACTGGGGGCTTTAAAAAGGCTTCAGGGTTGATAGCTGGGACGGCTTAGGGCGTCGGCGTAAGAACTCAAACTTCACAACGTCGACTTCGGTTGCAAGGGTGGGGAAGGCCTAAACGTCCCACAAGGTAACTTCCCTTAATTCGGGTTTAGGGTCTGGGGTCTAGGGTTTAGGGTTTAGGGTTTAGGGTTTAGGGTTTAGGGTTACCACAAGGCGGCCGCAGATATTTCGGGGACCATACCAACCTTCGAAAGTACTTCGGGCACAGGGGCTATTAGGACTTCGGCATTCAAGAACCCCGAACACCAAACCTAGATCCACAGACTCACCACAGGTGTCGGAGCGCCAAACCTTTAAACCCTAAATCTTAAACCCTAAACCCTAAACCCCAAATCTTAAACCCTAAACCCTAAATCCTAAACCCCAAACCCTAAACTCGAAACCCCAAACGAAGAACCCCCACACCCCCACAGGTCCTGCAGCTTGTTGGAGATGGTATCGCGCTCTCCTCTTGGCAGGTCTCTGGACACCCCGTACCCAGAGATTAGGGTTGAGGGTTGAGGAGGGTTTAGGATGGTTTTGGATGGTTTTGGATGGTTTTGGATGGTTTAGGATGGTTTAGGGTTACAGGGTTTCGGGTTTAGGGTTTAGGGTTGCAGGGTTTAGGGTTTAGGATTTAAAGATTACAGGGTTTTAGGGCTACAACACTTTCCGGGTTGCCGCAACAAGCTTCCCATTTCTGGTCGGGGTTTAGAGTTAGGGCCATGTATGCACAATGGCCTGAGGAACAGAGCGGCCCCAAGACGACAATGTCTGAAATAGAAGCTGCCCCCAAATTCCCAGACCAAACCCTAAACACCAAAATCCCGAACTACAGTTTAACCCAGAACCCCTGAAACCCTGAAACCCTGAAACCCCGAAACCCGAAACCCTGAAACCCCGACACCCTGAAACCCTGAAACCCTGAGACCCTGAACCCCAAGTCCTTGGGTGACCTCGGGTTTCTTGGAAATCTCTCTCTTCAGCTGGGGGCCCTTGCCAGGCACTGCCAGCGTGCCACCTCCGCGCGCGACTTGGGAAAACTGATCCAGGGTTGCAGGCTTTGGGCTTAGACCCCACCTTAAGCCCAAAAAACCTAAACCCTAAAAAGCCCTAAACCCTAAACCTGAAACCGTAAAACCCTAAATCCTAAACCCGAAACCCTGAAACCCTAAACCCTAAACCCGAAACCCTACACCACCGGAAGCCCAAAAAAACCGAGGACTGCTTCATGGGTCAATGCCCCTTAGAGGAGGCTGAAAGACAAAGGCTCGTGTTCCGGGGCGAGTGGTGGCTTCGGGGGGGTCTTGGAAGCTGTTCAGGTTTAGGGTTGAGGGTTTTCGGGTAACCCTATACCCGACTAGGTCAGGGTTTAGGGTCTTGTCGGGTTTGCGGTTAGCCTATGAAACGTCGGTTTGTGACTTCGGGCGCTTCAGAAAGCCTAAACCCTCAATCCATTAGGGGCGGAAGGGCCTCAAACAAAAACGGCACGAACCCTGAAGGATTGCAAAAATCGTACATCATCGGTGGCCCCCAAAGACACAAAGACTGGGGGTTTGGGGCTGAGGCATTCAGAACCTAAACCCTAAACTTTAGAACCACAAAAAAAAGAAAGCCAATTTTATCTCCCGGAAAGCTCAAGGACTCAATACCCTTTACTTGACTGAAGAGACCTTAAAATCGCATTAAGGACGCCTATACCATTCCAGGTATACCCCTTACTTCGGGGGTATTCCATTCCTCTGGCAAACATAAGACATGACTCCTGAGGGAACTATAGCCTAAACCCTAAACCCTAAACCCTAAACCCTTAAAAACTATGAGCAAGCCTCAACTCGTAGAAGCCCTCAACTCCCGAAAGCCCCCTCCTACCCCTGAACCCCTGACCCCAAATATCCCTAAACCCTAAACCCCAAATATCCCTTAAACCCTTAAACCCTTAAACCCTGAAACCCTTAAACCCTTAAACCCTTAAACCCTCAAACCCTCAAACCCTTAAACCCTTAAACCCTTAAACCCTTAAACCCTTAAACCCTTAAACCCTAAACCCTAAACCCCTAAACATCCCTTAGCACTGAACCCTGAAACCCTCAGCCCCCCGAGGCCCCTGCCCCTCGGATCCGAGGTGGCGCGCACCAGCGATGGCGGCACCCCCAAGGATGGGGAGGCAGCAGTCTCGGCACCTTCTTTGGGCAGTTTAGGGTTTAGGGTTTAGGGTTTAGGGTTTGGGGTTTGGGGTTTGGGGTTTAGGGTTTAGGGTTTGGGGTTTAGGGTTTAGGGTTTAGGGCTTAGAGATATCCCTAAACCCAAAAACCCTGCGTTTACAGAAGCTGTCGCCGACATGGGAGCCCTCGGAACTTAATTCGAAACCCCAAACCCCAAACCCCAAACCCTAAACCCCAAACCCCAAACCCTAAACCCTGAACCCCAAACCCCAAACCCCTAAACCCTAAACCCCAAACCCCTAAACCCCCAACCGTAATATTCTAAACCCTAACCCCTAGATCTTATCTGGGGGCGCTTTTCAACCAGTAGGCTTGAGGGGTTGGGGGTGGGCAGGGCCAGCCTAAGGCCAAAACCTAGACCCTAAACCCTAAACCCGAAAAAAAAAACAAACCCTAAATCCTATTTAGGGTTTCGGGTTTCGGGTTTAGGGTTTAGGGTTTCGGGTTTAGGGTTTAGGGTTTAGGGTTTAGGGTTTAGGGTTTCGGGTTTCGGGTTTAGGCCTACGAGCCTTAAACCCAGAGCTCCGGGATCTGCAAGGCGCCTGTGCGAGCGCGGTCCAGGCTACTCGGCTGGCTTGGCTGGGCCGCCAGCTGCGTCTGATTCCTTAGCTGTAGCCCTAAACCCTAAACCCTAAACCCTAAACCCTAAACCCTAAACCCTAAACCCTAAACCCTAAACCCTAAACCCTTGCGTGTGTTGAGGGGACTTGCAGCTTGAGGGCTTCGATTTCTTTGCTGAGCGAACCTGCTTCTCAGGGATCGAAGAATGTAGGGTTTAGGGTTTAGGGTCGAGGGTTTAGGGTCTAGGGTTTAGGGTGTAGGGTTTGGGGTTTCGGGTTTAAACGGTCTAGGGTTTAGGGATGAGGGTTTAGGATTCAGGGTTGAGGGTTTAGTGCACCCTGAACCAAAAACTCCAGTCTAAATAAGCACCCAAGGCACTTGCCCAGCTCCGAAACGATGGCATGGTCCCCGCCCATGAAGACGTCCACCTCGAGTTAGAGATCAGAGGCATTAGGCTTTGTCGTTTTGGATTGAGGGTTTGAGGGTCTAAGGAAAGGAGATTTAGGGTTTAGGGTATAGGGTTTGGGGCTGGGGTTTAGCCCTACGACCACACGTGTTGCCGCAGGTTTACTATCTGTGTCAACACCGTCCCTGCCATGCTTTCCGAGAGATTTCAGCTCAAATTCGTCGAGGCCTCCACGCGCCATGTTTTCGCTTCGCCTCTCCTTCGCATGGTGAGGCCTCCACGTGCCATGTTGCCGCTTCGCCTCTCCATCGCATGGTGAGGCCCATGTTGTCGCATCGCCTCTCCCTCGAATGGTGAAGATCCGTTCTGGCCACTTCAAGCAGCCTCGGACATTCCTCCATGCCCGAACCTTGATAACGTCCATGCTGCCAGTGCGTCCATTGCCCACAGCAACACTGTACCAGTACGTGCGATTGTCTAGGGCACCATGCCCGAGCCTTGATAACGTCCATGTACCACTGCATGCGATTGTCCAGGGCGCCATGCTCTTGCGCAACAGACAGTAGTCCAGCAACCGGCAGGGCAGTCACGGGTCAGCAAGGAAAATTGCTCGCTCTGGCCTTGTAGACACACACACATTCAACGGCACTTTTCTCGAGAGGCATGCGTCTGGGACGCTGGATTTTATACAACGGCGTCCTGACATAAACGACTTTTGCACGACTCTTGAAGCTATAAAACATTGCAAATAGCGATACGGGAAGCATGTGCAACATAATTTGCCCTAGTCCAAACCCGGCAAAACGCGCGGGCGGAGCGGGGTTTAGGGTTTAGGGTTGCGGCTTGGGAAACCAAGGCTTGAGTGTCACAGCTCAAGGAACTGCGCTCGCACTGCTAAACCCTATGGCAAGTCCTCTTCAACCTCCGTCCGACCTCTGACTCATTCAGGGGTTTTTTTTTGGGGTTAGGGTGTAGGGTCTAGGTTTAGGGTTTAGGCTTTAGGCTTTAGGGTTTAGGGTTTAGGATTTGGGGTTTAGGGTTTAAAGATTTAGGGTTTAGGGTTCCTTTGGGGGGGGGGGAGGGCGGGGGGACGTGCCTTGCTCTTGACGAAGCCGAAGAACTCGCGGTACGACACCAGGTGGTCCCCAGACTCATCCATGGCCTCGGCCCATCAAGTCGCCCCCTAAACCCTAAACTCTAAACCCTAAACCCTAAACCCACACTTACTTCTCCAACAAGACAGGAACAACAAGGTTAAACTTTGATGTTCTTGCAACAGAATCCTACCCAAAAAAGGATGCCCAAACGTTCCAGGTTCATCTGTTGGCTAAGTAAGCACAGAGCCACCCTCCTCCAACTCAAGATCTTATAACCCTAAGACCCTGTACCCAACACCACAAAAACCCCCAAACCCAAACAAATCCTAACAAACAATCCCAAAGCCACCCCAACAAAAAAAAAAAACGAAGGCGCCTCGAGCCAGTCCAAGATCTCGTCGGGCGAGGTGTGGAACCCCATGTGCCTCAGCGCCTGGCAAATCTCCTCGGGCGCGAGTGGCGTTTGAGAGCTTCTAGGGTTCAAGCCTTCTGTGCTTGGGGCTTAGCGCTTCACGTGGACTGTTTGAGGTTAAGGGGTCAGGGGTTTCGTTTGGGGGCTTGGTAGGTGTGACTCGGGTTGAGTTGAGGCTTAGAGCTTAGGGCGAGATGTAACTTCATGGTCTGACCGTCAAGGAAGCCACGAAGAGTTCGAAAACAAAAACAACAACCGCATCGTTCCGGGGCGGTGTAAACAGGAGCCTCCTGAAAACAATGCTTAGGGAGCTCAGGGGTGCGGAAGGCCCTTCAGCAAAAGGAACATGAAACTTCACGGCCAGGACGGTCGAGAGTCGATGGGGCCGAGGAAGCCGATCTGCTGGGTGTCGAAGCGCTCGAAGGCCTCTTGGACCCCCAGGCCCTTGCCGGAGATGGCCTCCCTCAACCGCACGGCCCGGATGCGCTGCACCATGATGTCGAACTGGGCCGGGAGGTTTTGGGTTAAACCCGAAAGATTGCTTTTTTACAAGAGTAGGAAGGTTGCTCCCTTTGCTTTGTGCTGTCGGCTGTGCGTAGGAATGCTCCAAGCCCTCAATACAAGCCCTGAAGAAACGTGCGCAGGGGGCCTCCGACGTCACGGTCAAGGCCACGGCGATCGGCCGCTCGGCCCAGTCGCCCACGGCACGCCGGCGGCAGCCGCCGATCTGCTCGAAGAAGCGGCGCCGCGCGAAGGGCGTCTCGTGCTGCAAGCCTCTCAGAAGCGCCATGAGCTCCTCGTCCTTGAAGAAGACCTGCGTGTCGAAGTAGCGGCAGAGCTGCATCGATCGAAGGGTTTGGTAGGTGGCGCCCTCTTCGAAGCCCACAGACCGGTCCAGCACGCTGAAGCCGGAGGTCAGGGAGCGCAGGCCGATGGCGGTGTTGGCCGGAGCCAGGGGCGGGCCCGTCGCCAGCCTGTACTTGGAGGCTCAGGGTACTTCTTAACCCAATACTCCTTGTACTTATAACCCAATGATAGCCATTTTAGGGCAGTTAAGGGGCTTACAAGGGTACTTCTTATCCCAATGATAACCATATTAGGGCACTTCACGGGCTTATAACCCATTCTAAGTACAGTTTTAAGCATGAACCTCCAAGTAAACTGGTGTGCCATACTCTGCATGTGCTGTCCATGTCCTCTCCACGCTCCACGGTATGTACTACAACTTACTACCACATACTACAACCCCCGGCGTGTCTGCGACTTGCGCCAACGGGAATGCCTCACCGCAGCCGAGCAGCTTGCAGTGGAGGATGCGCCGAAGGGTCTCGCCTTCCGCCAGGCTCAACGCCACGAAGAAGCGACCAGCGTCCTGGAAGCTTGGTGTGGCATATGGCCCTGGATCCTCGCTTAGGGGCTACTTCCGCGCTAATTCGGAAAGAATATGCAGCCTGCCAGCGCAGGCTTCGGCTCATTTTAGGAGGTCCGGGCTTCAGGGCCGGTTGCCCGGCTCCTGCGGGCGGAAGTGAGGATGAAGCAGCAGCTGCACCATGTCCTTCCAGGGCGCATTTCGGGGATCGGGCTCACGGAAACTCCGCTTGTGGATTGTGGGGGCTGTCATCCCGAAACCCTAAAACCTTAAACCCTGAACCGTAGACCCTAAACCTTAAGCCCTAAGCCCTAAGCCCTAAGCCCTAAGCCCTAAGCCCTAAGCCCTAAGCCCTAAGCCCTAAGCCCTAAGCCCTAAGCCCAAAACCCTAAAGCCGAAAGCCGAAAGCCGAAAGCCTAAGCCCTAAGCCCTAAGCCCTAAACCCTAAACCCTAAATCCTAAACCCTAAACCCTAAACCCTAAACCCTAAGCATGCACCATGCGGAACTTCCCTCCTCGAGGCCGACCCCTGCAGGCTTGCCACCCTCGGGGAGCAGTTGTGCTGTCAGGGTTCCAGAAGTCCCTAGACCATGTCCAGGGTTGAGGGTTTAGGGTTTAGGGTTTAGGGTTTAGGGTTTAGGGCTTAGGGCTTAGGGCTTAGGGCTTCATAGGGAGTTCGGGCATTTGCGTCCCTCTACAACCCCCCCTGACGTGGTTGTATGTAGGAAGCAGAAGCGACCGAGGGCGGTGCGATCAGCGACAGGGCCGTCTTGGGATCGTGGAGCGCATAGTCGCCCTGATCGAAGACCAGACGCAGCAGCGTGCCGACGCGGTCTTGATTCAGCGTGCCTGCGCAGAACCACTAGGAGGTTTCGGGTTTAGGGTTTAGCTCACCCCCCCCAATCGGGTACCCTGCACTGCTCTTCGGCGATATGCTTAGGATGGGTGGGGTGCTAGGACGGGGGTCCTCCATCTCCCCTTGCCATTTTGGGGTTTAGGCTTGTTGTTTGGGGTTTAGGGTTTAGGGAAACCCTAAACCCTACCCCTGTGCACCTCCCGAGCCCTGCGCGTTGCCCTCTGCGGTGAAGAGGTCCAAGGCACGCTTGCAGCACCTGGAGCTTCAGGGCTTCTTTGGCTGTTCTGATTAGGGGTTAGGGTTGAGGCTTGAGGGTTGAGGGTTGAGGGTTGAGGGTTGAGGGCTGAGGGCTGAGGGCTGAGGGCTGAGGGCTGAGGGCTGAGGGTTGAGGGTTGAGCTTCAAGAGCTGTCGCGGGTTGTCAAGAGTGTTTGCGGGCTTTTGCGGGATGGGCTTAAATAAGTGCTTAAACGATATGGTTTGAGGCTTGCTTTGTCTTGTGGGGGCCCTAAATAGGGTTTAGGGTTTAGGGTGTAGAGTTTAGGGTTTAGGGTTTCGGGGGGTTTAAGGTTAGCAGCTCTTCAGCAAAGCCATACGGTGGCCCTAAAGCCCTTCAAGCACCCTGCTCAAGTGCGCGCCGTGACACTTCTGCATCAGCCCCTCTTCCGTCTCCTTCGGGCTTTGGGGTTCAGGGTTCTCGGGCCAGGGCTTCAAAACCCTAAACCCTAAACCCTAAATCCTAAACCCTAAACCCCAAACCCTAAACCCTAAACCCCAAACCCTACCTTAGGGACTTAGGCTTAAGAGTTGAAGGCTCCCAGGGCCATGCCGCAGACTGCTGTGGGGCTCAGGGCATGCTCTGGGCTGTTCGGGGTTGAGGATGTGACGTTGGGAAGGTCCGGAGGCGTGAGGGCTTCGAAGCGTTTAGGGTTTGGGGTTTAGGGTGTAGGGTTTAGGGTGTAGGGTTTAGGGTTTAGGGTTTAGGGCTTAAGGGCCTCAGGATTTGAGAGTTTCACCGGGGTGTTGAGGGAGTTTAATTAAACCTGAACCCTTGAACCCCCCCAAGACCCCTACACCCTTGATCCTTGAACCCCACAGAGCCCCAAACCTAAAACCCCTAAACCTTACACCCTAAAACCCTAAACCCTAAACCCCCAAACCCTAAACCCTAAAACCCTAAACCCTAAACCCCCAACCCCTAAACCCTAAACCCCAAACCCGAAACCCTAAACCCTAAACACTGCCCGAGGCTCCGAAAGCTGCAGCGACTCCATGAGACGCTGCGCGGGGCAGCCGCGCGGCAGCCACTCCATGACCTCAGCATTTCGGGGTATGTCAGGGGTTTAGGGTTTAGGGTTTAGGGGTTAGGATTTAGGCTCTACCTTCATAGCGGCCTAAACCCTAAACCCTAAACCCCAAGCCCTAAACCCCAAAAATCCAAACCCTAAACCCTAGGCCCTTCACCCTAAACCTCCCGGGCCAGACTCTCCTCCTCCTTCTTGGGGTTTGATGGGTTTTGGGTTCTGGGGTTTAGGGTTTAGGGTTTAGGGTTTAGAGTTTAGGGTTGAGGGTTTTGGGCTTAGGGGTTAGGACTTAGGGTTTTGATATGTGTGCGTTCTGGACAATCCTACATAACTCCCAAAAGACCTGCAGGCCACTAAAGCACCTCAACACGCCTGAAACCCACCTAAAAAGACACGACACAACGAACACCTAGAAACACCATTCTAATCCAAACTCTAGGGTTTAGGGCTTAGGGCTTAGGGCTTAGGGCTTAGGGTTTAGGGTTTAGGGTTTAGGGTTTAGGGCTGGAGGGTTTAGGGTTTGCCCCTAAGACCCTGAGCCGCCGAGGCCCGGTTTCTGATGCTAGGCGAGGCGCCACACAGGTGTTCCTCAAGGGCTGAATGCAGGCGAAAAAATGGGGTGCCCTAATCCTCAAACATCCTAACACTGCCCTAAACCCAGACCCTAGCTTCACAAAAAGAAAACAGTGCGAAACAAACATGAAACATAAAACCCTAGAACCCCGAGACCCGAGACCTTCAAACCCTGAAACCTTACACCCCAACCCACAACCCCCTCCCCCCCCTCCCCCCCCTCCCCCCCCCCCAAACCAACCCTGCAAAAACAAATGGGTCGAACTTCGGGCTCCGAGGTTCGCAAACCCTAAGCCCTAAACCCTAAACCCCAAATCCTAAACCCTAAACCCTAAACCCTAAATCCCTAAAAAGACTTCGGCGCGAAGGCTCTTGAGCCGCCGGAAGCAGCCCCAAACCCTAAACCCCAAACCCCAAACCCTAAACCCTAAACCCCAAACCCTAAACCCTAAACCATAAACCCCAAACCCTAAACCCTAAACCCCAAACCCTAGACCCTAAACCCTAAACCCCGAACCCGAACTCGGTGCGAAGGCTCTTGAGACGCCGGAAGCCGGACCACTTGGGGTTGTAGTAGTTCTCGGAGAGGAGGAAGTCCTGTTTTCGGTTTAGGGTTTAGGGTTTAGGGTTTAGGGTTTAGGGTTTAGGGTTGAGGGTTTGGGGTTTGGGGTTTAGGGTTTCGGGTTTCGGGTTGGTGGGGAGGAGGTGGTTGGGGTCTGGGGTTTGGGGTTGAGGGTCGAGGGTCCCAAATTGTTTGGGTTGAGGGTTTGCGTCTGAAATGGTTTGTGAAATGCACAACCTTCCTCGCCGCTGAACCCTTGAGCCGAAAACCCTAACCTCCCTAAACCCCAAACCCTAAACCCTAAACCCTAAACCCTAAACCCTAAACCCTAAACCCTAAACCTCCTTGAACCCTAAACCCTAAACCCTAAACCCTAAACCCTAAACCCTAAACCCTAAACCCTAAACCCTAAACCCTAAACCCTAAACCCTCCCTCCCCCAGTCCTTGGGTAGAGTCTCCAGGCTGCGGCCCTTGAAGAGCCGGAACTGGTGGGCCGGGTAGAACCTGGACATCGGCGTGCGGGTCTGGGGATTTAGGGCTTTAGGGGTGGGTTTGGGGTTTAGGGTTTAGGTTTAGGGTTTAGGGTTTAGGGTTTAGGGTTTAGGGGTTTAGGGTTTAGGGTTTAGGGTTTAGGGTTTAGAGTTTAGGTTTAGGGTTTTTAGGGGGGAAGTTCTCTAGTGGGTTGGGATGGTGCTCTTCCGTAAGGGGCTTTCAGTGGGGGCAGATTCAACCGTAAACCATATGAACCCTATAAACCCCATAAAACCCGATGAAACGCTATAAACCCTACAAACAAAAACACTGTAAATCCCGCAAACCCCATCAATCCTATAAACCCCATAAAACCCTACAAACCCAACAAACCCTATAAACTAAACCCTAAACCCTAAACCCTAAACCCTAAACCCTAAACCCTAAACCCTAAACCCTAAACCCTAAACCCTAAACCCTAAACCCTAAACCCTAAACCCTAAACCCGACCCCTTCCAGCCCAGGCAGCTGGGGCGGGTTTTCTTCGGCGAGGCTGGCGAAGGGCCAGCTGTTGGGCTCCTGGAACTCAAGGACCCAAACAATTTAAGGGTGTAGGGCTTAGGGTTTAGGGTTTAGGGTTTAGGGCTTAGGGTTTAGGGTTTAGGGTTTTGGGGTTAGGGTTTAGGGTCTAGGATCTAGGGTCTAGGGTCTAGGGTTTAGGGTTTAGGGTTTAGGGTTTAGGGTTTAGGGTTTAGGGTTTAGGGTATAGGGCTTCGGGTGGAGGGTTTAGGGTTTAGGGCTTGGGGTTCCTACTAAACCCTCTAGACCCTCATAGCCCTCAGAATCCTCAGAACCTCGCGTGTTCTTCTGGCCATTTTTTCTTATGGATTCCATGGTTGCGCTGTTTTGGGGGGGCAGGGAGGGGGGGGGCTGTGGAGGTTGTGGAAGCCATGGTTCGTTCAAGGTTCGTCTTTAGGGCTTAGGGGGTTCGGGTGTGCGGCTCTTGGGGTGTAGGGTGAAGGGCTTGGGGTTGTCCACGAGGGTTGAGGGTTTAGGGTCTGAGGCTCTTGGGGTTTAGCGCGTAGGGCTTCGGGTTGGGTTTACGTTTCTTGGGTTATGGGTTTCGAGTCTCGGGTTTAGGGTTAGAGTTTGGGTCCTCGCTGTCGCGGCAGTACATGAGATCCACAAACTTCTCGATCTCAATCCTTGGAGTGAGATCTTTCGGGGGGGGTTAGGGTGTAGGTTTAGGGTTCAGGGTTCAGGGTTTAGGGTTTAGGGTTTAGGGTTCAGGGTTCAGGGTTTTAGGGTTCAGGGCGTAGGGTTCAGGATGATTTTCCCTTCCAGGCTTCTCCAGAACTTCCTGCGGGGGTCGGGGGGGTCTCCCATCTTCAGGTCTCTGGGGCTGTTTCAGGGCTTGGGGGTTGTTTTGGGGCTGCACGTCTCCATTTTTGCTTAGGCAGACATGGCCCTCGGGAGAGGAAACTAGGCCTCAGGTTAGGCTCCCTACAAGAGAAAAAGACAAAAAAGCCTAAACCCTAAACCCCAAGACTACAAAGAAGGATATCTGATTTGTCGGACTTGGGGCACTGTTACTGTGGGCTGGCACCGGGGCGTATTGGAGTCACCCAAAATCTTAAACCCTAAACCTTAAACCTAAACCCTAAGCCCTAAGCCCTAAACCCTAAAACCTAAACCCTACCCTCTTGCTGCGGGGTCGTAGGGACTTGTTGGCCCAGCAGCTGTTGCTCGCGCTCTTCCTCCTCCTCTTCTTCCATCTCCCTCTCCGCCTGACATTGACTAAGGAGCATGCTGCTCACAGAAGGGTTTAGGGTTTAGGGTCTAGGGTTTAGGGTTCAGGGTTCAGGGTTCAGGGTTCAGGGTTCAGGGTTCAGGGTTCAGGGTTCAGGGTTCAGGGTTCAGGGTTCAGGGTTTAGGGTTTAGGGTTTAGGGTTTAGGGTTAGGGTTTAGGGTTTAGGGTTTAGGGTTTAGGGTTTAGGGTTTAGGGTTTAGGGTTTAGGGTTCAGAGTTCAGGGTTTAGGGTTTAGGGTTTAGGGTTTCGGGTTTCGGGTTTAGGGTTTGCGTTTGGTCTTTGCGTTTGGTCTTCTGCGGGGCTGGGGCCTGGGGTAGAGGGCTGGAGGGTATCGAGGACTACACCCGACATCTTCCTGAGAGTGATAGCAAACACGGAAGGCCCTATGTAAAACATTTGAACTTCCCCTGCCCTAAAAAAACTTGCTGGCTAGTTCTTGGTAGGAATTCGCGCAGTAGATCCCTCATATCACCTTTTTCTACCCTTTAGGGGGTCATAATTTCCGAACTCCCTCTAAACCCTAAGCCCCAAGCCCCAAGCCCCAAGCCCTAAGCCCTAAACCCTAAACCCTAAACCCCCCACCACCACATCCCCCTGCGCCGGCACCTCGGCCTCACGCTCAGCCTCCGCCTCGAGGGTCTGCTCGCCCACCTGCAAAAAATTCGGAGGGGCTCTCGGGGGGGGAAAAGGGGGGTTTTAGGGTTTAGGGTTTAGGGTTTAGGGTTTAGGGTTTTAGGGTTTCGGGTTTGGGGCTTCGGGCTTGGGGGTTAGGGTTTATGCACGCGGTTTTGCGGACTGTCTCGAAGAAGCTCCTTGGAGACAAACTACTTGTGAATTCACCGGCCAGGCCTTTGACGGTGAAGGCGCGTGGCACTATTAAAGATCGTACGCGCGTCTCCGAACTCGAGCTGGCTAACCGGGAGCTGTCGGGAGCTACGCGCGGTGACTTAGCAAAGTCTCTGTACGGTTTACCCTGGATGCTTTTAAGCATTCTTTAGGGTTTAGGGTTTAGGGTTTAGGGTTTAGGGTTTAGGGTTTAGGGTTTAGGGTTTAGGGTGTAGTGTTTATGGTTTAGGGTTTAGGGTTTAGGGTTTAGGGTTTAGGGTTTAGGGTTTAGGGTTTAGGGTTTAGGGTTTAGGGTTTAGGGTTTAGGGTTTAGGGCCTGGGGAGCGCTTGGGCTTCTAGGGCTGAGGGTTCTGGAGGTTATATAAGGGGCTTTCGGGTCCAAGGCTCTTTTAAAGCACTTCTAGCAGATGAGCAAGGGATGCTGAGTTTGTGGTTTAGGTAACACCAACCCCTGTAAAGGCTTCATCCCACTGAGGTGTGGGGTTCAGGGTTCAGCCACCCAACTCGACATCCCAAGAACAGGGTTTAGGGTTTAGGGTTTAGGGTTTAGGGTTTAGGGTTTAGGGTTTAGGGTTTAGGGTTTAGGGTTTAGGGTTTAGGGTTTAGGGTTTAGGGTTTAGGGTTTAGGGTTTAGGGTTTAGGGTTTAGGGTTTAGGGTTAGGTGGACCTAAACCACAAGTAATCAACAAACACCCAACCCGAGTACCCGAAACAGGCAGACACCTCCATGCCCTGCACTTCCAAGACGTTCTTGATGACCTCGGGAAACTCATAAATATGTATGTGTATATATATGTGTGTGTGTATTCATGTTTTGTTGTATTAAGAAGAATAATCGGAAAGGCAAGGATAATATCACTACTAATAATACTACTAGTAGTAAGGGCGCGGTGGCAATACTAACGGGGATGACGAGAATCACAATATTCGGCGGGCTCAGAACCCAAAGGTGTTGCTGCACATTGCTTTAGGAGATCTGCATTGCTGAGAAGCCTTTTTTCGTTTGAGCTGGCCACAGACAAAAGCAACTTAGACTAGACCACAGACCTGCTGCGAGACCTCCCAACCCCAACACCCCCGGAACAAAACAAACTTCGGGGATGGGGGAGGAAGGAGGGAAGGGGTATATGCATCAAAATGACTCTAACATTTGGGTTTAGGGGGTGCTGGGGGGAGAGGGGGGGCGTTGGGGGTGGGGAAGGGGTATTTGTTAAAATGATCCTAACATTGGGTTTTGGGGGGGCATGTCGGGTTCAGCCCTTTCAACCCAAAAGCCCGATATACCAAAAAAAAACCTATAAAACCCGATAAACCCTGAAAGACCCTGTAAACTCCTGAGCCCTCCAACCGCTTCGGGCATCGCAAGTCTCCAGCTGTACCGAGCTCCTGACCCATTCGACCGCTGCACGGTCCTCGTCTGTGAGGATGTACCTTGGGTCCCATAAGGGCTTCCAAGGCTTTTCAAGGTTTCAGGGTTTCTTTAGGGGGTTAGGCGTTTTAGGGCTACAGGCTTTAGAGTTTTTGGGCTTTAGAGATGTCAGGGTTTAGAGTTTCAGGCTTCAGGTGTTTCGGGGGCGTTCGGGTCTGGGATGTTCGGGTCGAGGGTTCAAGGTTCAGGGCTCAGGGTTCCAGGGTTCTACGCCTCGGGGGTTTGCAGGGTTTCGGGCTTCAAGGGGTTTTGAGGGCTTTGGGGGCTTCGATGTCTAACTCTTGAAACCTGGCCGTTGGAATTTTAGCATTTCTTGGTACCCTAGACTGCAGGGTTTAGGGTTTAGGGCTTAGGGTTTAGGGCTTCGGGCTGAGGGCTTAGGGTTGAGGGTTGAGGGCTAGGGTTTAGGGCTTAGGGCTTGGGGTTTAGGGTTTAGGCCCACACAGCGCACACCATCTCCATCCTGAACCGCCTTTGGCATCAAGCCCTAAACCCCAAGCCCCAAACCCCTACAACCCGAAACCCTAAGGCCCTAAACTCTTAAACCCTAAACCCTACAACCCTAAACCCGAAAGCCCTAAACCCCCAAACCCTAAACCCTAACACCCTACAACCACTAACCCTCCCCCCACAACCAAAACTAAAATTATAAATATAAATATATATATATATATATATATGAATATATATATATATACATATATGTATAGATATATATATATATACATATACATATGTATATATACATATATATATATATACATATCAAACAAAGCCGAGGCACTTCGTGTACTCGTCGGCCTTGCCTTGGACAATCTGGAGGAGTCCCCTGGGCACCGGGACCTTCTCCAGGACCTTGAAGTCAATGGGCTCCTTGAAGACCTTTTTAGGGTTTAGGGTTTAGGGTTTAGGGTTTAGGGTTTCGGGTTTAGGGTTTGGGGTTTGGGGTGTAGGGTTTGGGGGTTTAAGGGGATCACGATGGGCTCGCCGAGGGCCTGAGGGGCTTCTGAAAACAGGAAGATCTGCTTTAAAAGTTTCAGGGGCTTAGGGTTTTAGGGTTCTAGGGTTTTAGGGTTTTAGGGTTTTAGGGTTTTAGGGTTTTAGGGTTTTAGGGTTTTAGGGTTTTAGGGTTTTAGGGTTTTAGGGTTTTAGGGTTTTAGGGTTTTAGGGTTTTAGGGTTTTAGGGTTTTAGACCCGAAACCTTCAACCTAACAGGGTTTAGGGCTTTCCCCCCCCCCCCTTAAGGGGGGACCTCGATGCAGTCCACGATCTCCGGTAGCTGCAGGAGGGCGTACTTGTCCATGATGGTATTCCAGGCATTCTTGCGCCAGATGTTGGAGAGGTTCCTGTCTTGCTGGGTTTAGGGGGATTTAGGGGGATTTAGGGGGGTTTAGGGGGGTTTAGGGGGGTTTAGGGGGGATTAGGGGGTTTAGGGGGTTTAGGGGGTTTGCGGGGTTTAGGGGGTTTAGGGAGTTTAGGGGGTTTAGGGGGTTTAGGGGGTTTGGTGGGGTTTAGGGGGTTTAGGGGGTTTGGGGGAGTTTGGGGGGTTTAGGGGGTTTCGGGGGTTTAGGAGGTTTCGGGGGGTTTGGGGGGTTTAGGGGGTTTAGGGGGTTTAGTTTTGGGCCCAAACTGCACGCCCACCCGACAAAAAACGCCATCCTCTTCCAAGTCCCCCTAAAGGCCCTGCTCTTCCACACTGCGTTAAACCCGAAACCCTAAACCTTAAACGCAAAACCCCAACAGTTCTCCAACGGCCCTCCAGACCGCAACGACAACACAAACCCACAGAATCCAAACGCATGAGTCGAGGGTGAGGGCTCAGGGCTTACGTGCTGGTCCTTAAAACGGACCTAGGCTACGGGGATTTCAGAAATTTAGGGTTTGGGGCCTTTAGGGTTTACAGCTTAGGGTTTAGGGTTTTGGGTCATATATACATCTATACATTATATATATATATATATACACAATATACACACCTATCATGTATGTCTCTCTCTCTCTCCCCTTAGGGGATAGTATAGGGTAGCTTCAAGAGTTCCCGACCAAGAACCTCTCGTGCCCTAAACCCTAAACCCTAAACCCTAAACCCTAAACCCGAAACCCGAAACCCGAAACCCGAAACCCGAAACCCTAAACCCGAAACCCTAAACCCTAAACCCTAAAACCCTAAAACCCTAAAACCCTAAACCCCAAAACCCTAAAACCCTAAACCCTAAACCCTAAACCCTAAAACCCTAAAACCCTAAACCCTAAACCCTAAAAACCCTAAACCCTAAAGCCCAAGGCTCTGGGTCTGCAGCACGTTGAACTGCAGCCGGTCCGAGAGCATCGAGTTGAGCACCAGCCAGCCGCACACGTCCCCGGGCATGGACTCCTAGAACAGCCGGGGGAAGAGGAGGAAGGGGTTTATAGTGGGTTTAGGGTTTAGGGTTTAGGGTTTGGGGTTTGGGGTTTAGGGTTTGGGGTTTAGGGTTTAGGGTTTAGGGTTTAGGGTTTAGGGCTTAGGGTTTAGGATTTGGGGTTTGGGGTTTGGGGTTTGGGGTTAGATCAGGGAGATGACGGGCCGGTTTTGCGGTTTTGGAGGCCTTTTGTCGCTGCAAGCCATTAGGGCGGTTTTTGGATTCAAGGTTGTGCTTTAAACAGCGTATGGGTTTGATTTGGGATGTTCCCCCTTATACTAACAGTCCTTAATAGGACTTACAGTACCCCGTTTACAATCCCTACTAGGGCCTGCGAGTATGAGGGGCAACATCCCAAGGTTTGCTGGTGGTCAAGGGCTGTTTTGGGGTTTCTGGTGCATCAAAGCTAGGATAAAGCGTTCGGCGAGTCACGAAGGTGGCATTCAGGAAATGAGAATCGGGGTGCCACAGGGTAATAACGATTCCTGGGTGCTAGATCAAAAAAAAACAGGAAAACCTCAGAGACCTGAGCCTTAAGCCCGCAATCCTCAAAACCCCTGAGCCCTCAAAACCCCTCAGAGGCAACACGACGGCGGTTTCGCATTTCGCGAGCCCAGAAGCCAACAAAAAAAACATGACAGCTTCGAGGATGGTGAGACCCCAAACCCTAAGCCCTAAGCCTAAACCCCAAACCCTAAACCCAAAGCCCGGGAGATGTTTATCCAAAATGCGAGCACGCGCCAGCCGCGAGAACAACGCCCTGGTCCCATCCCTTGCTGTTGACACAATCGGGAACTTTGGGTAAAACCCCTAAACCCCCTAAACCCCCTAGACCCCCCTAAACCCCCTAAATCCCCTAAACCCCCTAAACCCCCCTTAACCCCCTCAACCCTCTAAACCCCTAAACCCTAAACCCTAAACCCTAAACTCCCCTAAACCCTGGAACCCACGAAAGACAACCCCGGAGTCCTGCGTGCAGACCGGCTTGCCGGAGTTCGCCTGGGGCTTGGGCTGGTTTTAGGGTTTAGGGTTTAGGGTTTAGGGTTTAGGGTTTAGGGTTTAGGGTTTAGGGTTTAGGGTTTAGGGTTTAGGGTTTGGGTTTGGGGTTTGGGGTTTCGGGTTTCGGGTTTCGGGTTTAGGGTTTAGGGTTTAGGGTTTAGGGTTTAGTTTGAGGATTCCAAGGGTTTTAGGGTCTCAGGGGTTAGGCTTCTTGGGGCTCGGGGTGGGGGAGCTGAGCCTGAAGCCCCTCAACCCTTCCTAGCGGCCCTAGCGAGTAAAACCCTAAACCTTAAACCCTAAACTTCTACCCTGGCTAAAGTCTAGCCCCCCAAGCCCTCAACCCGAAACCCTAAACCCTCAACCCGAAACCCTAAAGCCTAAACCTTAAACCCCCACTCTTGACAGGTGCTACTCCGCTTGTGGGCCCTGAGAAGCCCTGCCTGCAGGATCTGCTTGCTGATCAGCTCCCGTACCTCCGGAATGATCAGGATCCGCAGCTTCTGGCCCTTGCCGATGCCTGTTAGTGCTTCGGGCTCAGGGGTTTAGGGTTTAGAATTTAGGGTTGAGGGTTTAGGGTTTAGGGTTTTGGGTTTTGGGGATCAGGGGTCTAGCAATCTAGGGGGTTTAGGGTTTGGGGTTCAGAGGGTTCCATCAGAGGGTTCCAGTTGTCCAGGGTTCATAGTGGCACTCTGTGTGCGGAACCTGTCCAAAATTCGGGTCCTGCTTTCAAGGGTACCTGTGGGGACCCCATGTTTTAGCAACCCCGGTAGTTAGACTGGATCTAGACAGGCGTCCGGAAGCAAAAAGTGCTTTCTAAACGCGCTTGAAGGGTACCGCGGAGTCGGTAGGCACCCTGGGCATAGTCTCGGAAGACCATGTCCTTGCCCAGTGTGATGGCGCCCACACAGTCGCGCTTGTGCTGGATGTCCATACCGGTGGTGTGCACCTGCGAAGGAGGCAAGGAAGAGTGATAATGAATGACTAGTAAGTAACTACATACCATAAACCCTAAACCCTAAACCCTAAACCCTAAACCCTAAACCCTAAACCCTAAACCCTAAACCCTAACCCTAAGCCCAAGCACCCTAAACCCTAAACCTGCAGCCCAAGATTCTGACCTTCACAATCACTCTTTTCCAAAACCCCCCACCCACCCACTCAAAACACGCATCCTAAGCCCAAAACCCTGAGACGACCCTCAATCCTTCACCCTCGATGTAGGGCTTAGCGTTCACGGTGGGTAAGGCCTTCGGCGCGTAGGAAAGCCGCAGCCCTCAAGCGCCCTCCCCCGCCTAAACCCGAATTACACGATCCCTGAGTTTCGAGATGCATTCCTCAAACCCTCAAACCCTCAAACCCTCAAACCCTCAAACCCTCAAACCCTCAAACCCTCAAACCCCTAACCCCTAAACCCGCCTAAACCCTAAACCCTAAACCCCAGGGGCGCGCCTGGTCGTAGAAGGCGAAGCGGCTCGTGGCCGGGATGCCGCAGTCGGCCAGGTTCAGGACCTCCTGCGTCTGCCTGAGCGGTTGTAGGGTTTAGGGTTTAGTGTTTAGGGTTTAGGGTTTAGGGTTTAGGGTTACAGGGGTTAGGGCTTGGAGTTTCAGGTTGAGGTTGGTGTGGGGCGGAGCTCAGGGGCATGAGGGCTTAGGGCCATGAAGCTTCGGGTATTGTTGGCTTCTGCCTGTACGGGAGATGTTCAGGGTTTAGGGTTTAGGGTTTAGCGTTTAGGGTTTAGGGTTTAGGGTTTAGGGTTTAGGGTTTATGGCTAGGGCTTAGGGCTTAGGGTTTAGGGTTTAGGGTTTAGGGTTTAGGAAGGAGTTGAATCCCCTAAGGATCTGCGGTGGGGTTCACGGGCGTGGGATGGATATGACCGCGGTGCCCCTCTAAAGTGGCTTCAGGGAAAGAGGACGAGGGGGCTTCAGGCTATCCTAAAGTCCAAGCCCCTAAACCCTGAACCCCAAGCCCAAAACACCTCAACCCAAAACTCCTCAACCTCAGCCCTAAACCCAAAACAAACCCTCAACCCTCAACCCAAAACCCCAACCCTCAACCCCTAACCCTAAACCCTCAACCATAGACCCTAAACCCTAAACCCTCAACCCAAAACACCAACGCCCCTCAACCCTAAACCCTGAACCTCGGGATGTTCCCCCTTATACTAACAATCCTCAATAAGGATGATAATCGGGGGCACTATAATCCCTATAAAGGACTGTTAGTATAAGGGGGAATATCCCAACCTTGAACCACCAAACCCTGAACCCTGAACCCTAAACCCTAAACCCTAAACCCTAAACCGGCCTCAAAAGGATCTTCTTGGAGCCCTCGTCGTCGATGAAGACGACGCCCTGGAAGCTGCTGGGCAGCGTGGGGTGCGGCACCTGCTCACTTCTCGAAAGTATGGATCTTTTGGGGGTCCTTTTTATGAGGGTTTAGGGTTTAGGGTTTAGGGTTTAGGGTTTGGGGCTTAGGGCTTAGGGCTTAGGGCTTAGGGCTTAGGGCTTAGGGCTTAGGGTTTAGGGTTTAGGGTTTAGGGTTTAGGGTTTAGGGTTTAGGGTTTAGGGTTTAGGGTTTAGGTTTTAGGGTTTAGGGTTTAGGGTTTAGGGTTTAGGGTTAGGGTTTAGGGTTTAGGGTTTAGGACAATGCGGCCCTTCTTGCAAAGGGTACCCAAAAGGGGACCATCATTTTGAGAAATGACCAACCTGCGCGTTGTCCAGGCCCAAGAGGTACACAGCCACGTCCTGCGGTTTCAGGGCTTACTTAGTAGGAGCTCGGGTGAGGGCATCAGGGTTTAGGGTGTTTGGGTATGAGGGCTTAGGGTGTTAGGGCTTTAGGTTTTGGATGTAGTGCAGCCATTCCTCAAGCCCCTGTTGAAAATGGGACCAGGGTGGCCTAAGGTAGTTGCACTTGACTGGTTTCGGCCGGAACCCCTTCAGGTTCGGGGTTTCGGCTTGAGGTATCAGGGTTTTAGGGTTTAGGGGTTTAGGGTTTAGGGTGTAAAGGCTAAGGAAACACAAAGGGTCCTTGTTTGAGAGGCCGGTGATGAGGGCTCCTGTGTCGATGAGGGCGTGGAAGCCACCTACGGCAATGCGATCGAGGAGGCTGGTCACCGTCCAATCCTCAGCTGCTCAGCCAGCTTAGGGGTGAGGCTGAACTTTAGACCAAGAACCCTGAACACCAAACCCAAAACCCCTAAAACCACACACCCAGAACCCCAAACCCTAAACCCTAAAACCCCAAGCCCCCGAACCCCAAACAAAACCCGAAACCCTAAACCCTAAACCCGCAACCCCAAACCCTAGACCCAAACCCCAAGCCCCAAAACCCTAAACCCCCAAACCCCAAAAGCCCCAAAACCCAAAACCCCAAAACCTCCCAAAACCACAAAACCCCCCCCCCAAAACCCCAAACCCCTTGCGGTGCCCCGGATGGGGCTCCTACAAGCCCAACTAGGATGGCCCTTAGAACCCTCTGAAGAATATTCATAAGTATGACCCTAAACACTAAACCCTAAACCCTAAACCCTAAACCCTAAACCCAGTAATGGCAAGTATGAAATATCCCCAGGGCTTTTACAAGCCCAAGACGCTGCTCCGAAGACCTCGAAGGAGACCACCTGAGGGGATCTTGGGGCTGCCGTTCGCGGGTCGTGGCGCAACAAGGTGGGAAACTCCAGAACCAGGAAAAGGGTTCAGGGTTTGGGGTTTAGGGTTTCGGGTTTAGGGTTTAGGGTTTAGGGTTTAGGGTTTAGGGTTTAGGGTTTAGGGCGTGCCAAACGGAAGCGCGCTTTGGGAGCTCGCGGTGAGCGCAGGGGTTGGGAGCTCCGCTTGGCCACATGTGGGCAAAATCTGGTGAGGGCCGACTGGGTGGATGCTTCCACAAGTGCATGCGACGCCTTAAAAGGTTTGAATCTCTTCCCCCTCATACTCACAGCCCTTCATAGGGATTGTAGTACCCCCAAGTAGAATCCCTACCAAGGACTCTTAGTGTAAGGGGGAACATCCCAACTTGAATCTCTTGACTCCAACTCCAGACCTGGCAACTCCGCGAGCGGACACGAACCGTGAACCCTGCTCCTTCCATATCATGCCCTGCAGCACTGCAATCCCTTCAACACCCCCATGAACCCTGCAAGAACTGAGAAGCCATACACCTCGGAACATTCCCCCTTTATACTGACAGTCCTTAGTAGGGATTATAGTAAGGGGAACTAGAATCCCCATTAGGGACTGTCAGCTATAAGTGGGAACATCCCAAAACAGCATACCCAAACCCTCGAAGGACCAACTAACCCCTGAACCCCCGCAACGTCCCCCACCCCTCCCTCCCAACTCACCCTGAGCATGGAACCAACCCGCCATCCCTATACCCAAAGCCCTACACCCGAAACCGCTGAAACCCTAAACCGCCCAAACCCTCAGCCCCAAACCCTAAACCCTACTCACCATCCCCCCAGCCCGCAGCCCCCCCCCAAAAAAAAGGTAATAACAATAGCAATAATGTATATAACAGTATATGTATATATACATATACATATACATATACATATACATATACATATACACATACATATACATATACATATACATATACATATACATATACATATACATATACATATACATATACATATACATATACATATACATATACATATACATATACATATACATATACATATACATATACAAAAACATATACATATACATAAACAAAAACATATACATATACATATACATATACATATACATATACATATACATATACATACATACATTACATATACATATACATATACATATACATATACATATACATATACATATACATATACATATACATATACATATACATATACATATACATATACATACATGCATACATACATGTATACTATACATGTAACCCCCCCGCCCCTCTCTTTCTCTTCTAAACAGAAGGGTTTAGGGTTTAGGGTTTAGGGTTTAGGGTTTAGGGTTTAGGGTTTAGGGTTTAGGGAAGAGCCCCGGGAGCCGCGCCTCGGGGTTGGTCAGCGTGTGGACGATGCTTCCCTCGCTCCCCGGCTCGAAGTCGCAGGAGCCGAGCTCCCGGGGCATGAGGTCCTGAGGAGGGCGAGGAGGGCTAGGAGGGTTTAGAGTTTAGGGTTTAGGGTTTAGGGTTTAGGGTTTAGGGTTTAGGGTTTGGGGTTTAGGGTTTAGGGTTGAGGGTTGAGGGTTTAGGGCTACCCCCCCGCCCCCTGCGTGACCCAGGCTCGGAGGGAGTCCCGCTGAAGCCGATGCGCTCCTTGAAGAGCAGCGCCCCACCGAGGTCCTCGAGCCCGCAGGCCATCTTTTGGGGGGCTGCATTTCGGGGGTTTAGGGTTTAGGGTTTAGGGTTTAGGGTTTAGGGTTTAGGGCTTAGGGTTTAGGGTTTAGGGTTTAGGGCTTAGGGTGAGGGTTTTCGAGCCTTCGGGTGCTTAAGGCATGGTCCAGGGTTGCTTTAGGGCGCTTCGGGCTTTAGGGTTCACAGGCGCAGGCCTCGGCTCACCCTAAACACTAAACACTAAAACCCTCAGCACTAAACCCCAAACCCTAAACCCTAACCCTAAACCCTACCCCCGGGTAGATCCTGGCCCGAAGACATCAGCTTCACCTCCTGGAATCGCAGGTGCTCGGGGAAGACGATCGACTCCTCCACTGCAACAAACTTTAGGAGGCGCGGTGCAGTTGAGGGTTTAGGGCTTAGGGTTTAGGGTTTGGGGTTTAGGGTTTAGGGTTTGGGGTTTAGGGTTTAGGGTTTGGGGTTTGGGGTTTAGGGTTTAGGGTTTAGGGTTTAGGGTCTAGGGCTTAGGGCTTAGGGTTACGGTATAGGGCTTTGGGTCCGATACATACACGCAACCACAATTGAAGAGCACCACATAGGCACTCGCCCAAGAACAGCAATATAGACAACCTACGGGTTGAGGGCCTAGGGTATGAGCCCTAGGCCCTAAACCCCAACCCCAAACCCTAGGGTGAAGGATCAAAAAAAAACAAATAAGCATCAAAAAAAAAAATAACCCCAAGGGATCAAAAAAAAATAAATAAGCATCAAAAAAAAAATTAACCCATTTTCCTCTTGGATACAGCGGGGGGGGGGGGGTTGGGGGGGGGGGGGGGTTGTTGGGGGGGGGGGGGGGGGGGGGGGTGGGGGGGGGGGGCGCAGCCCCCCCCCATTTGCAAACACAATGCTCGCACGATGGGTAGTAGTGGGTGGTGGTAGTGGTTGGAAAACCTTCTATTTTCTCGATCTTTTAATAGGAAAACCTCTATTTCTTCATATTCCCACAAGAAAACCTCTATTTTCTTCACGTTTTCATAGGAAACCTCTATCATCTCTATGTTTCCATCGGAAAACCTCTATTTGCATGTAGTTTAAGAAAACTTAAACTTTTTGGTATCCCACTGGCTTCAACAAGATTCATAAAGCACGCTTTGCAGTGGCACAGCTTGATAAAAACGCGGCGGGGTTGGGGTTGGCGCAGGCCCCCCCCCCACACCCCCCCACTTGGCTTTGCAGCACGCTTTGCACAGCTTAAAAAAAACCGCGGGGGGGTTGGGGGGGGCGCAGCCCCCCCCATTTGCAAACAATGTTCGCACGATGCGTAGAAGTGGTGGTAGTGGTTGGAAAACCTACTAGTTTCTCGATCTTTCAATGGGAAAACCTCTATTTCTTCATACTCCCACAAGAAAACGTCTACTGTCTTCAGGTTTTCATGAGAAATCCTCTATTATCTCTATGTTTCCATCGGACAAACTCTACTTCTACATGTTTTAAGCAAAAAACTTCCATTTTCTTTGCATTCCAATGGCTTCAAAGAACAATATATAATACATACTACATAATATATAAAATATACTATATAATGAATAATAAATAATAAATTAATTAATAACAAAATTATATATTTTATATATTGTATATTATGTGTACAGTATATCTTATATATTATATACTTTATATTATGCATTATATGCAGTATATAATATGCAAGAAACAATATATGATATGCAATATATGACATATAATATACAATATGCGATATAAATATATATATATATATATATATTTATATATTATTTATATTTATATATATTATTCATATTTATATTTATTATTTATATAATATATAAATGTACGAAATATGAAAATAATAAATATAAATATAAATGATATATATATTATATAAGTATAATATATATATATATATATACACATGATATAATGTTAATATAAATATAAATATATAATATAATATATATATATATAAAATATAATATAATATATTATATATAATATAATAATAATATATAATATTATATAATATAATATAAAATATTAAATAGTAATATGATAATATATAATATATAATATATATATATATAATATATATAATACAAAATACATATTACATACGACATATAAATATATCATCATACATATACATAATACATATAATACATAATAATACATATATAAAACATATAATAGATATTAACATAAAACATAATATAGAATTCATCATAATAATACATAATACATAATATTAATTCATATACATATATTACATATAATAAAAAACATAAAACATAAAAATACATAAGACATAATTAATACCTAATACATAATACATAATACAAATACAGAATACGTAATACATTATACATAATAAATAATATAACTATATTAAATATATATATATATAATATATAATATATAATGTATAATGTATAGTATATAAAAGGTAATGTGTAATGAATGTGTATTATGTAATATGTATATATATATGCATTACATGCATACATTACAGACATATCATATAATACACACACGTTCACCTTCACTATCGTGTGTAGATAATATTATTTATATATTGATTATTTGTCTAATTTAATTATTTATTTATACGCATAGGACCCGCAGGACCAGGCGGACAGACAAGCAGACCAGAGGCAGAGGACCAGGGGACACACAGACCAGGACAAGGGACCAGAGGACCAGACGGGACCAGAGGACACGGACCAGAGGGACGGGACCACGGGACCAGAGGACCGCAGGGTGGGCAGGAGGGCTATTTTTTTTTGATGCTTATTATTTTTTTTATTGATCCCTATTCATTTTCTTTTGACGTATTATTTTTTTTTGATGCTATGCCCAAACCTAGGGATCTAGGGGTCCGACGGGGTCCCTGAAACACGAAACCCACACCCTAAACCCAAAACACACTAAAAACAGCCAATGAGTAGAAGCCGCCCAAAACCCAAACCCGATAAACCGAATTAGGGGATGAGCGTCTGCTTCTCCCCCTCCACCTCCCCCTCATCTTTTCCCCCCCCCCCCCCTTTGGCGGGGCTCCAGGTACCAGGCCACGACCGGCGTCTTCGGAGAGCTTGACCTTAGGTTCGAAGTGGAGGGTTTAGGGTTCCATGGTTCAGGGTCAGGGTTAGGGTTAGGCTTAGGGTTTTTCGGGTTTAGGAGTTTAGGGTTTAGGGTTTAGTGGCTTAGTTTGTAGGGTAGGGTTTTAGGGTTTTGGGTTTAGGGATTAGGGTTTTTAGGGTTTAGGGTTCAGCGAGGGAGGGATGGTGCTGAGGGCTGAGGGCTGGGGGCCTAGGCTCCCCCATGCCAAAGAACATAAACACTGATGAACCCAAAAAGCAATGGAATTCTTTACAACTCCAAAGGGGCTCGAAGGATGTGTGGCCCTTACCAAGGGACCTCAGGGGTTTTAGGCTTCGGGTTTAGGGTTTAGGGCTTCGGGGCGGCTCTACTAGGGGTAGAGAGGGCTAGCATCATCAGGGGTTATGTAGGGGAAGAAGCTGAAGGGGGCCCTTCTGAGGTGCCTCGGAGCGTTTCCAACCTTTCAGACTTTACCGAAAGTAAAGCAACCAAACGTTTAGCTGCAGCTAGGGCTAGGGTTGAGGGCTTTAGGTTTTAGGGGCTTTGAGGCCGATTAGTGTGTGTCCCACACAAAATCATGAAAGATCGGTCCCAGCGCCCGCCCCCCCCACCCCCCGAGGAGTGAGGAAAACAGCTCGGCATCTGTCGGGCGGGTTTGCTCCGCGCCAGATGTGCGAGGAAGAATGGCACTGGCGCCGCGCAGTCTGAAGAAAGTCTGGGAAAGTAGGATTTTTTAGGGTCGGTTTAGGTATGTTTAGTTTAGGGTTAGAAATCTAAACCTGAAAACCTAATCAGGCTCTCCCTGGGGGAGCCCCTCCCAACCCCCCGGACCCACCTTAGGCCCAATGCGACTTCTTTCCGGCTCTTCTCGCGCACCTCGGCGGGCCGCGGCTGCCGCAGGCTCTCGGGCGTGATGGTCCTGGCGGTTTCTTGCACCTTGCCATCCTTGAATTCAGTTATACCTGCACAGGCCTCAGAGAGGAGAGAGAGGAAAGAGGTGAAGAGGAGAGGGAAAGAGGAAAGAGAGAGGGGGAGAGAGAGAGAGAGACGAGGGGTTAGTGCACACCTGCGCTCTTGCACGCAACGTGCACGCACCACATGCGGGACAGGCGTCTGCGCTCCTGGCGCCGGGTGGCCAGCAGCCGCGAGCCTCGACCCAGCGCTGAAGAGCAGCGCGTGGGCCGCTCCGCGGCCACTCCGGGGCTCGGCCTTTGAGGTTCGCCACGAGGAGGGCCAGAACAGCGTCGAAGTCCGACATCCGCCGGCCCTCGTAGCGGAGCCAGGACGTCAGGCCGATGGTGATATCCGGGTGGCGAACGCCGAGGAAGAGAGGCCACGTCCTTGCCGATGAAGGGGATGGACAGCTTCGCCCCGCGGGTCATGGGCATGCCGGGCTGCTGCAACAGGGCCTGCTCCACCTGGTGTCCGTCATGACCCGAAACCCCAAACCCCCAAACCCTAAACCCTAACCCTAACTGCTCCACCTCGTTGTCCGTCATGATCCCGTAGGTCACGCGGTTGATCTTATGGAGCCAAGTGGGGCAGGAAGCTGGACAGCAATCGGCCGACAGGTCAGCAGCTGCACGTCCCGCTTGGAAGCATTCTCCACCGCTTGGCAAGGGAGAACGGGGGCCCGCCCCTGGGGGAGTAGTCCCTCACTATGACCAGGAGATGCCCCCCCCCTCCTTTTCAAGCAACCCATCACAGAAGAGGAGTCCTGTGACCAGCAGTAGAATCTTGCATCGGGTGTCTTGGAGGGGTCTGCAGGTCAGGACGGGAGTTTACAGTGATTCAAATGCCCCCTTCAACTCTTTCACCCCACGAACCCCCGCCCTCTTGATCCGAGAGGCCCCCGTCGACGATGGTGCCCTCGCGCCTAGTGCGCGAAGCTGCGGCCACCGTGCTCCGAGGAGGCCAGAGCGCCTCCAGGAGCACAGGACCTCCTTCAGCTGTCTGCTCTAGTTTTTTTTTTTAACGTAGGGTTTTAGGGTTGGGTTAGGGTTCAGGGTTCAGGGTTTAGGTTAGGTTTAGGGTTTCGGGTTAGGGTTAGGGTTTTCACACACGCTTAGGCTTTAGGAGTTGTTAAGGGCCGGGGTGTTAAGGTTCAGCTTAAGCTCGGTGTTGGGAACAGGGGGTAAGCCTGAGCCCATGAAAGAACACGCCGAGCGGTTCTCCGCATAGGAGAACTCGGAGGTTCAGAAGCACCAGATGTGGGTCTGATGCTGCATCTTCAGCTACGCGCTGTGCATCGACGACACAGTCTTGGCGATCTGCTCAGGTATCCTCCCCCGCTGTTCTCAAATGACGGTAATCCTATGAGGAAGCAGGAGCCTTACATGGCCACCCAAAGGGCGTATGACTTTTGGATCCCCAACCTAACCCCGAACCTAAACCTGAACCTAAACCTAACCTGAAACCTAAACACTAAAACCCTAAACCATGAACTCCACCATAAACCCTGGAAACCTGAAAGCCGAACACCCAGATCCAAGTCGGGGGAAGGCAGTCGGCCTTAGGGACCGGCAGGGGTGTGAGGATGGTCCAGCATTCTTGCGGTTCGAGGTCCAGGAGTTTAGGGCAGCAGGGTATTCGGGTATATATATATATATATATATGAAAATTATATTATATATATATAATAATATTTATATATATTATTATATTATATATATGAGGGTTTAGGGGGTTAGGGTTAGGGTTTAGGTTTACGGGCACAGGGCTTGGGGGGCGCGTATCAGGGGGTATGGGGGCAGGGTTTTACGATTGGGGCCAACTAGTGGATGAGAAATCTCAGATTCTCAGACCACACCGACATCAACTACAAAAAAAAAAGTGCACGGTTCAAAAATCTTCCTAGACTCGAACCCCCTAAGCCCTTTGAAGAGTTGGACGCTCAATCTAGAAAACTATAGTCTTAAAACCTAACACTAACCCGCACCCAGCGAGACACCGGGGTCCTTCGCCAGGGCACTGTCCGCCAAAGCGCTCAGGTGGGTTAGCTCCCGTCTTGCCCCGCTGGCGAGTTTTTGGTTAGGGTTAAGGTTGAGGGTTGAGGGTTTAGGGGTTTAGGGTTAGGGTTTAGGGTTAGGTTTAGGGTTTTGGGGTCCAGGGGAAGCGGGCAGCAGGGATTTGCAGTTTGGCGGGGAAGGGCTCGTGGCCTGCAGCTCGCTATGAGAGGCCTCCCACCTCAGATGAGGGGGTTTTAGGGTTTAGGGTTAGGGCTTAGGGCTTAGGGTTTAGGGTTAGGGTTTTGGTTTAGGGTTTAGGGTTAGGGTTTAGGGCGTTCGGGCTTTGCGGTAGAGGGCCAGGAGGTCAGCTGCAATGCAGCGTGCGGCAAGGGCACGGATCTGCCACCCGGTGCCTCAACCACCTACCCCTAAACCCAAATCCTAAACCTAACCCTAAACCCCAAAACCGGAAACCCTAAAACCTAAAACCCTACTAAACCCTAACCATTCCCCCTAGCGGAAAAAAAAGTGAGGGCTTATTGACCTGAAACGGACCCCCGCAAAGCCCGGACCCTTGCAAAACCGCAGGTTTAGGGTTTTAGGGAGTTGGGGAGTTTAGGGAGTTTGGCGGAGTTTAGGGAGTTTTAAGGGGCTGGGAACCTGAGGACTCCGAAACCCCTAAACCGAAACACTAAACCCGAAACCCTCAACCCTAAGCCCTAACAACCCTAAACCCTACGCCCGAGAGGCAACGCTTCTGCCAATCAGGGCCCTCGTTGCGGAGCGAAGTCGATCAGGTTCTTGGGCCAATGGGAAGTGAGCTCACTGCGCCGCGGTGTGCAGCACCAGATCTACCTCGGTTAGGGGGGTTTAGGGTTTAGGGTTTAGGGTTTAGGGTTTAGGGTTTAGGGTTTTGGGTTAGGTCTTTAGGGGGTTTACGGCAACGAGATCCACCTGTTGGGCGGAGTGTAGGGGGCGTTTAGGGATCTTATGGGTTAGGGTTGAGGGTTTGGGTTCAGGGCTCAGGACCTTTTGGGGAATGTAGGGGTTGAGGATTAGGGTGTTTCAGGGGTTAGGCAAAAGGGTTCAAGGAGCTAGGGTTTAGGACTTTGGGGTTTGGAAATTGAGAGAGAGATTTTCGGGCCAAAAGCCCCCCCCCAAAAAAAAAAAAAAAAAAAAATTTTTTCCCTAAGCACTAACCCCAAACCCTAAACCCTAAAGCACCAAAACCCCAAACATAAACCCAAAACCCCAAACCCTAAACCCCCAAAACCCAAAGCCGACACACCAGAAGTTGCGCAACCCCCCCCCCCCCCAAACACTCGTCGATCCTGCAGGACGCCCTTGGGGGAAGACCTCGAGTGGCGTGGTGGCTGACAGGCTTATATAGAAATAGGGTGTAGAGGTTAGGTGTTTGAGGGTTTTGGGCAGTTTTGTCTAGGGCTTAGGTGATTAGGGTCTTAGGGTGTGAAGGGTCAGGATCGAGTTGGGGTGTGCAAGCTTGAGCGTTTTAGGGGTTAGGGGCATAGGGCTGCAGGTTCAGGGGGGTCAGGGGTTCAGCGGTTTAGGGCGTGCTAGTTAGCACGGGTTTGAGGACTACGTTTCAGAGTCAAACCCCCCTAAACTCTAAACCCAACCTAAACAGCCTCCAGCACTCTCCCCAACTCGATCGTCTCCTTCTGCAGCGCTGCGGTGTTGCGGGTTGGCGCGGCGGTGTTGCCAGATGTCCAGGTTCCTGGGTTTAGGGTTTAGGGTTTTTAGGGCTTAGGGTTTTTAGGCTTTAGGATGAGGGTCTAACCTAAACCTAAAAACCTGTGAGCATCGAGGCACAGTGCCCCAGAGAGTAGAGATGGGCTTGCCTGACACAGGTTTGGGGTGTAGATTTGGTGAGGTTTAGGATTTCCCAAGGCGGTAAAACCCCACACCCTAAATACCCTAAATTACCCTACATACCCTAACTACCCTAATACCTAAATACCCTAAATACCCTAAATACCCTAAATACCATAAATATCCCCTCATAATACCTAAAAAAAACCCTAAATACCCTAAATCCTCAGGCCGAGACTCTCCACAAAGCGTTGGATCAAACTCTTCACCGTCGTCGCTTGGTCAGGGAGTATGTGGCCTCGTTGCGGACCGCCTGAAGGGCCCAAAAGAGTTTGGGGGCTTTACCAAAACGCCCAAGCAGCTCGCACACTGGGTGCTGGGAATGCTCGCAGGTTTAAATGTCTATAAAACAACTCCCTCAAAATCCCAAAATCCCTTAGACCCTCAACCCGAAACCCCCCTCAATACGAAAACACCCCCGAAACACCGGCCGGGGATTTGTTTACCGTATTTTCCCGTGTGTTTCTTATTTTGTGTTCGTTTTTTTTGGTCGGTTAGGGTCTTAGGGTTTAGGGTTAGGGTTTATTTTTTTTGTGGGCAGGGTTTAGGGATTGGGTTGCTTGGCTGCTGCTCGCTTGCTTGCTTGTAGGAAACACGGCCAAAAAAAAAAGAGATAAAAAACACTAAGAAAAATAAGCAAAAAACCCGCCACCTAAAACACCAAGGCCGAGCTGAACCAGAATCAAATTATCTGTTTTTACACCCCCTTGGGGTTAGATAAGCAAAGGGGCAACAAAAAGTCAGAATTTCCTTACAGGGAACTATTAGGATTTCAAGCTTACAGCCCCAGAGGCGCCCTACGAGGGTATGTCTATACATTTAGGGCCACGTCTCGGAGTGCCCGTGTAGAAACACCCGAAACCCTATCCCCAAACCTAAACCCTAAACCCTAACCCTAAACCCTAAACCCTAAACCCGAAACCACACCAATCCACCAAAAGTTTAGGGACTTTTACCCCAAATGCCGGCCTCGATCCTGGTCGCAGCTCGCGATGTCAAGTCCTCCGACCGATCGCAGGGGAAACATGAGATGCGCTTCTCGCTGCGTTGTCTGGGGTTAGGGGGTTTAGGGGTTTAGGGGTTTAGGGGTTTAGGGGTTCAGGGGTTAGGGTTTAGGGGTTTACGGGGTTTAGGGGTTAGGGGCTTAGGGGCTTAGGGGTTTAGGGGGGGGGTGGCGGGGGTTTAGGGGTTAGGGGATTAGGGGCTTAGGGGTTAGAGGCTAGGGCGTAGGGGTTTAGGGCTGGAACTCGTGGGGTTCTAGCGTTAAGGTTGGGCTTTGGCCCGACGACGCCTAACGCGACTAAAAACATTTCAGAAATTCTTGCACAAGTGATACCGGTTAGGGATTCAGGCCAAGCAGACCTCAAACTGACTTGCGCCCACCAACGATTTTTTAAGGTCAAAAGTTAGGGGTTTGGGGTTAGGGCTTCGGGTTTGGGTGGATTAAGATACAGGGGGGTTAGGGATTGGTAAGTATAGCAACCAATGAAAAGTTGTTCAAGAAACGGTCTGCAAGGAGCGGATTGGATGGAGAGAAGACCTGAGTAGCCCAGCCACCATACTGCAAGAAGGCTACCCTTTTGGGCGCTCGTTACTTTGATAAAGGCACCCTAAACCAAAAACCCTGAACCCTAAACCCAAAAAACCCTAAACCCTAAACCCTAGACCCTAAACCCTAAACCCTAACCCTAAACCCTAAACCCTAAACCCTAAACCCCTAAACCCTAAACCCTAAACCCTAAACCCTACCACTGGGCCCCCCCAAGGGGCCGCCATGAGCACGCCGCGGCAGAACTCCAGCAAGGCGCTGGGCACCACCAGGCTGACCAAGCGCTTGCCATTGGCCAGGAGCCTAAGAGGGCGCTTTTTGGGGGTTTATGGGGTTTAGGGTTTAGGGCTTGGGGTTTAGGGTTTAGGGTTTAGGGTTTAGGGTTTAGGGTTTAGGGTTTCGGGTTTAGGGTTTAGGGTTTAGGGTTTAGGGTTTGGGGTTTGGGGCTTAGGGCTTAGGGTTTCGGGTTTAGGGTTTAGGGTTTGGGGTTTGGGGTTTGGGGTTTCGGGATTCGGGTTTCGGGTTTCGGGTTTAGGTGGTAAGGAAGCAGGAAAGTAAGGGCCCAAAAGAACCCTTCGGGCCCTCAAAGGGTCGTATTCTGGTATTCCTTGATTCGGAACTGGCAAGTAAACCCTTTTCAAGGTTTTAGGGCTTAGGGAAGACGAGCGCGTGGTACGAACAGACGAGCGGAGTATGAAGATAGCGAAAGAGGAGGTGCGAGGGTTCGACAGCTTGGCAAGGGGGAACAAGGATCCCTAAACCCTAAACCCTAAACGCAAAACCCTAAACCCTAAACCCTGAACGCTAGGTGGGCGCATTCTGTTCCTTCGATGAAGTTAGGGTTTGACTGCTTTTCATATTCCAGGATGGCCCATAGAACCCTCCGAACAATACTCCGGAACATGATCCTCCTAAACCCAACCAGGCAATATTCCTGAATATGATCCCCTTAAAACCCAAGAAGGGAAATTGTATCATTGGTCCCTCTGAACGATGTTCCTGAATATGACCCTCTTAAACCCAAGAAAGGGAAACGGTATTGGTTTAGGGGATATTCCTGAATATGATCCTCTTGACCCTCATAAGAATAGGGGAAATAGTATTGTGGGGTTTAGGGTACTGCATGCCCAGCGGCATCGACAGGAGCGGGCTGACGACCGTCGTCTTTCCTGCTCCCATGATCCTTAGCTGAGGCAGAGAGAGAGAGATCCTATTTAATGCGAAAGGGTATTTGGAGTGATAAGGCGATATAGATCGTATTTAGTAATATATTTGAGAAAGGGTATGGGGAGTAGTAAGCATGTATTTGTGCTTGAATTCTGATGATTAGGGAGTAGTAGTGGCAACTATCTTGCCTGTCGTGTTGCGGAGGTAGGGCTTAGAGCTTAGAGCCTGCGAGCGTCATCTGCTTCACGCCGCTCTCGCCACCTTCGACGGTCTTTTGGAAGTCCGAGATGATGGCTACCTGCCTTCCGTGGAGCATCTTGTTGTCCGAAAACCTGGGGTCCAGCCGCTTACTTGGAGGTTCATGGGTACTTAGAACCAGACTTAGGGTACTTGTGACCCTACTTATGACGACCCATGAACCTCCAAGTACTTGTTCTTAGCAGGGAAGTTCGGGAATCAGGGTCCCTATATCATCCCATACAGATGCATGTGGGGTCAAGGGGGAGGGGTGTAGGGCACCCTGATGCCCTCATTTCCTGCTAAGGAAGGTCTAGGGCTTGGGCCTCACAGCGCCCGAAGCGGCCGGAAGTGGGTTTAGGGCTTAGGGCTTAGGGGCTCAACATTGGTAAACACAAAAAAAACTATGGAGGTCTAATAGAGGCTTCAGGAGCTCGAAGACGAGGAAGTGCGGGTCGTAAGACAGCGTCTCCGACACGTAGTGGCGCCGCGCGTCGATGCGCCGCGCCAAGACCTCACCTTTCTCCGCCAGGCCCACTCGGACATCGTTCGGAAGCCTTTGCTGGTGGCTTTCCCTCGCTCCACTCTAGGCTTCCAGGGGCCCCTAACAGCGCCTCCGATTTGGCAAATGGTTGCTAGCAGAATCTGAGACGATTCGCAACACGTCGCGCTTCGGGTCTTGGGATAAAACAAGAAACCCACGAACACCAAACCGAGCCAACGAAAGGAATGCAGAAAATCCGGATCCAAGGAGCTTTCCGGTCTCCCGGACGGTGCTGATGGCCTTGGTCAGCATCTTGTGCAGGTCCCGCGCCTCCGCCAGGGAGCCGTTGGCCAGCACCACCCGGACGGCGCGGAGCATCGCGTGGGATGTCAGCTGCAGGATGTCCTTCACCTGAAGGGTTTTAAGGATAGTAGGGGGTGCTGTGCCTTTCATGGGGGTCCTTTTTTTGTAAGGGGATCCTAGTATTTGGGGGAGTCTAGATTAGGGTATTCCCTCTTCTCGTAAGCTCCCCACCTCGTTGTCCGTGAGGAAGGGGTTGATGCGCTGCCAGTCTGTCGTCGCCGACGAGGACAGCAGGGACCGGCAGGCCCGCTGCAGCCAGGCTTCCGACTCGTGGCCCGAGACTCGGAGCAGCCAGTGCTTCACCCGCGCAAGGTTGGCATCCGTGGCCGCCCGCGCGCCCCCGTTCGAGGCCTTGGCCACGCCCTCGTCGGAGATGTCGATGGTGTTGCCCCGCTTCAGGACCTCCTTGAAGGCCGAGTCCACGAAGGCCGCGTCCGCGGCCTTCATGTCGGAGATGCACGTGATGATGTTCTCCAGCGCCTTCTCCGCGGCCTCCGCCGCCTCCCGGTTGCCGTCGCCCAGCTTCCGCAGCTCGGCCTCGCTGAGCTCGCGCACGCGGGGGGCCGGGGTGGCCTTCTGCATCTCCGCGAAGCGGGCCATCTCCGCCTGCATGCGGTCCAGGAGCCGCTTGGCCACCGTGTGGCGCACGGCGGGGTGGCCGGCGATGTCGAAGGGCAGGCTGCCCGTGGGCAGGTTGGCGGGCACCTCCCGCGCGATGTGGCCCAGATCCAGGACCGCCTGCATCGGCTGCGTGGCCAGCGCCTGGAGGTCCTGATCCGACGTGCGCAGGGGCCCATCGCTGGAGATGGCCTGAGGGCAGCCCATGGTTTTTGTGGATGCACGCCACTTCTTCAACCTGAAATCTCAAAGTCACAGAAACAGCCCTTTGCTTTGCGTCTTCAAGAACTGCTGCCAAAGACCCCCCTCCCCCAATGAGGAAGCCCCATAAGGTACCCTCCAAGACGGAAGCAACCCCTCATCCAGGGAATTTAACCCAGCAGCCCTCTAAAGCCGAAAGATTGACCCCTGAAGCCCTCTCAATTCTGAACCCTCCACTCCCGAAGCCTAAGACCCCGCCCCCCCCCCCCCCCCCCAACCTTGAGCGCGGCGCTTCCTCCCCAGCCCCAGCCGGAACTGGAGGCCTGCGAGCAGCTGAGGCTTTCAAAAGACCGAGGGCCGAAGGTTTGGAGTTTAGGGTTTAGGGGGTTTAGGGTTGAGGGTTCAGGGGCCTTCGAAGAAAACCTAAGGGTTTAGGGCTGAGGGTTCAAGGGCCTTTGATGAAACGAGCAGCTCTTTAGGGGGCCGCTGCCGGGATTAAGGTTCTAGGGTGGTGGCTCTGCCTTATGGCTCCCAAATAACCTTTGATGAGATCTGTCCTCTCTCGCACTCTTCCCTGGGGTTGATTTTGTTCTAACGTTACAGGGCTCTGGGTGTATGGCTTAGGGTTTAGGGTTCATGGCTTTGGGTGCCCCCACACATTCCCCATGCTCGCACACAATCCCTGCTCTTGGATCCTGTGATAAACCCCTCCTTGGGGTGGGGGGGGGGCATCCGCCCTTCCGGATAGGCCTTGCCGCCGCTGGGCGCGTCGGGGTCTGGGCTCAAGGGGCTCTACGGCTTTCAGGGCTCAGGGGTGTAGGGTTGAGGGTTTACAGTTTAGGGCTTAGGGTTTAGGGTTTAGGGTTTAGGGTTCAGGGTTCAGGGTTCAGGGTTGAGGGTTCAGGGATCCTGGCTTTCGGTTGGGCACTGAGCACTCGAACTCAGGGGTTGACAGGGCTTCAAGAGCTCGACGGGGGCTTAGGGATTCGGGATCTTCGTTCATGTCGAATCTCGAGTACCAGGGCCTTACACCGAGTAAACGGGAGATGGTGCGGGCTCCGTTTGCCGATGGCCCTAAACCCCTAAACCCCTAAACCCCTAAACCCCTAAACCCCTAAACCCCTAAACCCCTAAACCCCTAAACCCCTAAACCCCTAAACCCCTAAACCCCTAAACCCCTAAACCCCTAACCCCTAAACCCCTAAACCCCTAAACCCCTAAACCCCTAAACCCCTAAACCCCTAAACCCCTAAACCCCTAAACCCCTAAACCCCAAACCCTAAACCCTAAACCCTAAACCCTAGGTCAGGGCCTTTAAGAACCATCACTGGAGGCCTTAGACCTACACACTCTAAACTTCGTCACCTCTAAGCACCCCAAAGCAGAAGCTCACTGCTTATGGCAACTCCATTTCTAGTGCAAGGAACTTAGGGAACAGGGTAAAGGGTTTAGGGTTTAGGTTACATCAAGACAGACCCAAAACCCTAAACCCTAAACCGTAAACCCTGAACCCTAAGCCCTAACCTCTAAACCCTAAACCCAATAAGACAGACCCTCCGAAACCCTAAACCTGACACGCTAAAGAGAAGGCTAATAGGGGCCTTAATAATTCTCATAGTATAATTTTGTAGGGACCATCACCCTAAACTCTAAACCCTAAACCCTCAAGACAAAGTAAATAGAAATTGTATGTGGTATCATTCTGAATTTCCCCAGTTATTTGTCGAAACATCTGACAAGCAGATGTTAAGCAAATTCAATTTTAAGTAAATTCATCCAAAGCGCCTGATGGTACCATTCGGAATTTCCTAAGTTATCTAGCTAAGCAGCTGACGAGCCGAGTTAGAGTAGGTTTACTCAAACGCGTTTGTTCATAGCGCCCCAGCCGCCCCCCAACCCCAGCCCCCGGCCCCCCTAACCCCAGCCGCCAGCCCCCCCCCCCCCCCCCCCCAGGCAGCCCAGCCCCAGCGCCCCAGATCCAGCCCCACCTAGTCTAAAATAGAAATGAAATATCATTTCCAAAAAAAGGAACGTTTCGGTCAAAACCCGGTCAAAACCCGGTCAAAACCCGGTCAAAACCCGGTCAAAACATTCAAGGGACCCAACCCCTATACTATATAGGGACCATCACCTAAACCCTAACCCTGAACCCTAAACCCTAAACCCTAAACCCTAAACCCTAAACCCTAAACCCTAAACCCTAAACCTCCAAAAGCCCAGCCAGCCCAGGGCCGGGGCTTGCCAGCGCCAGCAGCACGCGCTCGCCACACTGAAGGTCCTGTGCTCCCCTACTAATGCCTTTCAGGGTTTAGGGTTTAGGGTTTAGGGTTTAAGGTTTAGGGTTTGGGGTTTAGGGTTTAGGGTTTAGGGTTTAGGGTTTAGGGTTTAGGGTTTAGGGTTTAGGGTTTGGGGTTTAGGGTTTAGGGTTTAGGGTTTAGGGTTTGGGGTTTAGGGTTTGGGGGGGTTTAGGGTTGGGGTTTAGGTTTGTTTAGGGTTTAGGGTTTAGGGTTTAGGGTTTTTTGGGGGTTTAGGGTTAGGTTTAGGGTTTAGGGTTAGGGTTTGGGTTAGGGTTTAGGGTTTAGGGTAGGGCTTAGGGCTTTTAGGGTTTAGGGTTTACGTTTAGGGTTTAGGGTTTAGGGTTTAGGGTTTAGGGTTTAGGGTTTAGGGTTTAGGGTTTAGGGTTTAGGGTTTAGGGTTTAGGGTTTAGGGTTTAGGGTTTAGGGTTTAGGGTTTAGGGTTTAGGGTTTAGGGTTTAGGGTTCAGGTTTAGGGTTTAGGGTGCTTGGAGCTTGGGGCTGTGGGGCTGAAGCTTGCTTTGGGTTGGGAGCAGAGCCCCAACGGGAAAATCCCCCAAAGAGGCCCTTGGTCTCGGAAGCTCCCTAAACCCCCCTAAACCCTAAACCCTAAACCCTCAACCCTAAACCCTAAAGCCTAAACCAAAGAGAAGACAGGGGCCAAAACCCTAAACCCCTAAACTCCCGAATCCTGAACCTCTGAACTTAAACTCCTGAACTGAACAAACTCCCAAGCTCCGAAACCCTAAACTCCTAAAAGCCCTCAACCTTAGAACCCCAGTGTCACTCGTGGCTGCGGTGGAATTTGTTTTGTGGGCGGGGAGGGCAGGGTAGATCCTACGCGCGAAGCTCTGTGCCTTAAACCCTCAGCCCCGAACCGCTAAACCCACAACCCTCAACCCCTAAACCCGAGGTAAACCCTCAACCCTCAACCCTAAACCCCAAACCCTAAACCCTAAACCCCAAACCGCTCCGTGTGCTCCGGGGTTTCGAAGAGGGGCCTCGGATTCGCTTTGTCGGGATGTCTTGATGTGAGGGGTTTAGGGGTTTAGGGGTTCAGGGAGGGTTTTAAGGGTATAGGGCTTTCGGGTTTTGGGGTTTTAGGGCTTAGGGTTTAGGGCTTTTTTAAGGGTTCAGGGTTTAGGGGGGATTTAGGGTTTTGGGTTTCGGTGGTTTAGAGGGGTAGAATTAGGGTCCTTTGGGGGGTTTAAACCTTTTGTGGAGGGGGGCGGGGGGATTCGGGGCTTTTGGGAAGTTTAGGGGCTGAGTTTAGGGCCCTTTGGGGCTTTGGGGGTGACGACCCCCACGCCTGTGGCTCACGGGTAACCTGCGTTTAGGGTTTAGGGTTTAGGGTTTAGGGTCTAGGGTCTAGGGTCTAGGGTCTAGGGTCTAGGGTCTAGGGTCTAGGGTCTAGGGTTTAGGGTTTAGGGTTTCGGGCTTAGGGCTTAGGGCTTAGGGCTTAGGGCTTAGGGTTCAGGATCTAGGGTTTAGGGCTTAGGGGGTAGGGTTCTGGGCTTCGGGGTCCCAAAATCGCGAGGAAAGTACACGCAAAGACCCCCAAGACTGCAAATTCCTTCCAAAAATGCTGTGCAAGGCTCCGGAAATCCTCAACTCCTTCTGTTAAGGGATACAAGCCTTATATATATATATATATATATAGTCCCTATATTCCTAAGTAGCCCCTGCATTAGCCTAAGGTCCCTGATAAGCCCTAAGGTCCGGCCTTCTGATAACGACTATTCGCTTAAGAACCTCCCAAAAAATGTAAAGAATTCTTCTTTTCAGGGCAATGTAGGGATCATTATCTTTCATCTTTTTGGGGGGTTCTTAAGCAACTATAGTAGATAACTTGCTGGCCCTAGCCACGGGCCCAGGGGGAACTCACCGCGCCGGATCTCCTTCCCTTCCTGCGGCAGGGCACGCTGTCATCTAGGATCCTAAGGGGCGGATGCTGCCTCGGAACACCATAGCTAACTGCCCAAAAGCAACTGGCATGAGAACTTGGTACCTAAGGGTACTCTACATGGTCTCTTAATATGGGCCCTTAGAAGCTGACCTCTCATATACCCCCTAAACCCTAGGCCCACAATGCTGGGCCCCTAACCCCCTAAGCGCAAAAAATGCAGGGGGAACCCTAAACCCTAAACCCTAAACCCTAAACCCTAAACCCTAAACAGCCAAGCCCCAGGAGCCCTAATCAGCCCTGAAGACGATCTCTCCTCGTCGCTGCCCAGCGACGGGCAGAAGACCAGATGTGGACAAAGACCGCCTGAGGAGGCAGAGGCCGCTTCCGGGTTGCCTAAGGGTTTAGGGGTTTAGGGTTTAGGGTTTAGGGTTTAGGGTTTAGGGTTTAGGGTTTAGGGTTTAGGGTTTAGGGTTTAGGGTTTAGGGTTTAGGGTTTAGGGTTTAGGGTTTAGGATGTAGGGGTTGCGGGGTGAGGGCTTAGGGTTAATTAAGGGTTGAGGGGTTGAGGCGTCGAGGGTTTCAGGGTTTAACGGTTTAAGGGTTCAGGGCTGAGAGTTTCGAAGCTCAGGGTGGCGCGCTTTCGACCGAGGCGCTTTGCTACTGTCTTCTGCGTTGCTGATGGAGTTTCTAGGCCGCGCCTGTTGTGCTGTGTCAGGCAATTGAAACTCGGTGTGTTTCCGTGTGGTTTGACTCGCCATTGAGGGACTCCGGGCATGGTTTCATTGTTTTGGGTTCAAAAGTTGGGAGGTTCCCCTTCATACTGACAGTCCTTAAATGGGGATTATAGTACCCCCCTATTACAATCCCTATTAAGGACTGCTAGTATAACATGGGAACATCCCAAGTTTTGGAGTTCAGCTTGGGGTTCCAGATTCCTCCAGGCCTTTCTCGCAAGACAGACATGGAATTGCTCTGGCCCCTCAACCCTAAACCCTAAACCCTAAACCCCAAACCCTACACCCTACACCCTAAACCCTAAACCCTAAACCCTAAACCAACTGAACTCAAAGACTCCAGGGAATCCGTCCCTGATTGCCTGGCCCACCCGAATGCAGAGGGAACTTTTTTTTGGGTCAACCCCCATCCTACCTCCTAAACGCCTGAAGCCCTGCACCCCTCAAACCCTCCGGACCCCTAAACCCCGAAACCCCCTAAACCCTAAGCCCCTAAACCCCTAGACCTCAACCCCCCCGCCCCCCCCCCCAAAAAAAAAAAAAAAAACTTTGGGTTCACCCGTGTCCCGAGGCATCCGCCGTGGTCCTCCCCAACACTCATCAGCACTGGCACCTCCTGCGCTAGTGGGGCGCGCTCGGGCTTACGGGGTTTAGGGTTTAGGGTTTGGGGTTTGGGGTTTAGGGTTTAGGGTTTTGGGCAGTTTTGGGTTTAGGGTTTAGGAATTAGGGTTTAGGGCTGAGGGTTTAGGGCTTGGGGTGTCGGGTTTGAGGTTCAGGGTCTCTTTTGACTGGAATCCCTCGATGTGGTCAACCCAAACCCGTAAACCTTTACGCTCTTGGAAAGGGCCTTGAGTTCAAAATCCCACGTGAAGGGATAGCAGACTCCCCTCCCCCCCAAAGAAAGGAATCGCATTCCTACAAAAAAACCGAAACCATGCATGGTCCCGGTCAGACCTACGTAGCCCCGTAAACCCCAAACTTTGCATGACCCTAAACCCTAAACCCCAAACTCTAAAAACCCCGAAACCCCTAAACCCCTAAACCCCTTGTAAGCGTCCATCCCTAAGCCCTCAACCCTAACCCCTAAACCCTAAACCCTGAACCCTAAACCCTCCCACAAAGACACGCGCCCAGGCGCCTCCTCATCGGGGGCAACGCCGAAGGCCTCCTCGCCAGCCTCCTTGCCCTCCTGACCATATGGCGGGCCCTTCTCCAATTTATGGGGGTTTGGGGTTTAGGGTTTAGGGTTTAGGGTTTGGGGTTTGGGGTTTGGGGTTTGGGGTTTGGGGTTTGGGGTTTGGGGTTTGGGGTTTGGGGTTTGGGGTTTGGGGTTTGGGGTTTGGGGTTTGGGGTTGCAAGTCTATAGCCCCTGTTGGGTTTCCTACCATCAAAACAGAATCCTGGCCCTGTAGGTCCTGGCAGTCATAAACAATTCTGTTGTCATTTGATTGTCACTTTGTTGTCATTCGATCTTGTCGCTTTGTTCCATTCTTCTTGTCATGCTTCTCTCATCTTGCTTTCGGCTTCTCCTATGTCGGTATCGTTTTTGTCGTCTTGCTTTCGCCTTCTACGCACCGCCCCAAACCCTAAACCCTAAAAAGGGGAGCTGGACGAGAATATGAATCCTCCAACCTAAGCCTAAGGCGCGAACCCTAACCCCTAACCCTAAACCCTAAACCCTCAGCCCTAAACCCTAAACCCTAAACCCTAAACCCTAAACCCTAAACCCCCGAATTACGCAGCTGGGGCCCCGAGCTGCAGTGGCCAGCTGGATTTCCGGCTGTTGGGCCAGGGCCATCAGCTTCCTGGATTGAGGGTTTAGGGTTTAGGGTTTAGGGTTTAGGGTTTAGGGTTTAGGGTTTAGGGTTTAGGGATTAGGCCGACGGGGTTGGGACTTAGGGCTTGCAGTTTAGGGTTGAGGGTTTGGGGTGCGGAGCTAGGGTTTTGGGTTTGGGGTTGAGGGATTAGGGACTAGGGACTGGGGCTTAGGTTTAGGGTTTAGGTTTAAGGTTTGGGGTGTCGTGTGCAGAGGTTGGGGCTTAGGCGCAGAGGTGGTCAGGCATCACCTGTTCAGAACCCAGCATCCAGCACCCGATGTTGCCTGGTAGGTGACCAAGGAAGTCAGCGTTTAACCCTAAACCCTAAGCCCTAAACCCTAAACCCTATATCAACCCCTACCCCTAAACCCTAAACGCTTGAAAGGAAAAGATAAGGGGTTACTTCAGCACGCCTCCTTAACTCGGGAACTCCCAGCTCCAGCTGGGGTTTTAGGGCTTCTGGGGGGGTTTAAAGTTTAGGGTTTAGGGTTTAGGGTTTTGGGTTCAGGGTTCAGGGTTTAGGGTTCAGGGTTCAGGGTTCAGGGTTTAGGGTTTAGGGTTTAGGGTTTAGGGTTTAGGGTTTAGGGTTTAGGGTTTAGGGTTTAGGGTTTAGGGTTTAGGGTTTAGGGTTTTTTGGGCTTGTAGGGGTGTGGAGGTTTGGATTTGGGGGTTTGGGATTTCGGGGTTTTAGGTTAGGGGTTCAGTAGGGGGTTGGGGACTTTGGGGTTTTGGGGTTTTAGGGCTTTGGGGTTTGAAGGTTTAGGGCTTTGGGGCTTTGGGGGCTTTAGGGTTTGAGGATTCATGAATCTTTCAGGCTTCGAAATTTCCGAAACCCTCGAAACCCCAAACTCTAAAACCTAAACCCCAAACCCTAAACCCCAAACCCTAAACCCCAAACCCTAAACCCTAAAGGGGGCGGTCCTGTGCATGGCGATGAGCTTCGCCTTCCACTGCCGGACGAAGACCACCCGGCGCGGCCGATCGAGCCGCGGCAGGCACTCGCACACCTGCCCAAAAACGCAACACCCAGGAGCCCAGGGCTTCGGGTTTAGGGTTTGGGGTGTGGAGTTTGGGGTTTGGGGTTTAGGGTTTAGGGCTTAGGGCTTAGGGCTTAGGGTTTAGGGCTTCACAAGAATCATGCGAAGCAAGAGAGTAGGAGTAGTAACATGGTAGCAGTACGAGAAGAAGCAAGGCAAGGCAAATCAAGGCAAAAACCCTGCACCAAGCCCCAAAGCCCACTCCTCCACCCAAAAGCTCCCAAACCCCAACCCCAAACCCCAAACCCCAAACCCCAAACTCTAAACCCTTGTTTTGGGCTTGGGGGGATTTGCAAACCCCCCCCCTTCCCCAATTCCGAATCCCTAAGCCAGCCTTGCGGCTGCGCCTGCAGATGTGGAGCCTCAAGGGTTTAGGGTTTAGGGTTTAGGGTTTAGGGTTTAGGGTTTAGGGTTTAGGGGCTAGGGGTTAGGGGTTAGGGGGTAGGGGTTGAGGGTGTAGGGGTTTAGGATTTAGGGTGTTTAGGGTTTAGGGCATCGTCTAGGCCCTGTACCCCCACGGGTCTTCGGGTTTTGAGGGCGGGACATTGGGGTTGTTTGCGGCGCGTTAAAGTTTAGCTGGCTTGACGAAGCCCCCCACCCTAGGCCTCAAGCCCCAAAACGGACGAAAACCCTTCCGAACCCGAAACCCCCAAACCTTAGAAGGGTCCCTCTACAAACCCTAAACCCCTCACACCACCCCACAAAACCCGGTCGCCGAGGCCCCGTGCAGGGACTGAAGCATGCCGTGGTTTTGGCTCGCACCCGCCAGCGCCAGCGACAGGGTGGCGAAGGTGTGCTGATGGACAGGGTTCACCTCAGGCCCCCAACCCCTCAACCCCTCAACCCTTAACCCTCAACCCTCAACCCTAAACCCTAAACCCTAAACCCTAAACCCTAACCCTAAACCCTGAACCCTAAAACCCATCTGCGGCTCAGAGGACCTCAGGCGGTTCAAGCCTCAGGGGTTCATGGGTATTTGGGTTGTGCTAGGGCGTTTGGGGTTTTGTCTTGGGTGGGTTAGCACCCATGTTCTGCAAATCCCGGTCAATCGGCGCCCATGTGCGGCAAACCCCGGTCAATGGGCACCCGCGTTCTCATCACCAGTGCAGGTTTAAGGCTTAGGGTTCAGGGCCTATTACCTAAACCCTAAACCCTAAACCCTAAACCCTAAACTCTAAACCCTAAACCCTAAACCCCAAACCCTAAACCCTAAACCCTAAACCTTACTGGGCCCTGGGCTCTTTCAAGATCCGCAGGACTTAAGCGGGCTTGAGGAAGCCCATGCAATGTAAAGAATCATGTGGACCTTTATGCCTTCTTAGCTTGGCAGACTTCTGAACCCCACCTAGAAGTTAAACTTTTAGCCCCCTTATTGTAGTTATAAGGAAACCTAAAAAGTTAAAGTCCTAGAAGACAGCCAAGTTAGTGCTACGGGATTCTTTAGGCGGGTGGGGTACAGCATTCTGGGGTTTGAAAGGGCCGAACAAGAAGCCCTTATAAGCGCCCCTTTCAACATGAGCGTGTGAACGAGTCTCTGCTTTTTTCAGAAGTGCGGGCACTAGTATAATAAATGAAGTGAGTGCATGCACGTTCCTTTACTGTTTTTAGGTGAACGAAGTGAATGTATGAACGTGTTCGTTCAAAGTCGCTGCGTACACACTAAATAAGTGGCCTTTTATTTTTTTGCACACGGGCACACATTATATTCGTTTACGTGCCCGTTATAACAGTTGAATGTGTGAACGCAGTGAGCCCCGTTAACAGTATGATAAACTGGTGCATGAATATTATTAACGGGCAAGTGAATACAGTAAATGAAGTGCATTTACTGAATATTCTTTTCCCTCAATAAACTGGCTAACCAGCGAATGCTTGGACTTGAGATGCTGAACCCTAAATCCCAGACCCCTAAACCCTAAGCCCTTAACCCTAAACCCTACACCCTAAACCCTAAACCCTAAACCTAAACCCTCCGGGGTCAAGGCTTTACAGGAAAGTTTGGGGCTCTGGGATGGACCACCTACTCCTCGGCAATTTTCGGTTTGGGGTTTGGGGTTTAGGGTTTAGGATTTGGGGTTTAGGGTTTAGGGTTTAGGATTTAGGGTTTAGGGGTTTTGGGGTTTAAGGTTTAGGGCGTTAGGGCTTGCGGGCTGCAGGGTTTAGAGAGTCAGGGCTCACTCAGGATTTAAGCTGCTTAAGCAGTGGAAAGATGAGGCGTGGACCGCACGAGGCAGCTTGACACCCAGGGACCTTGGCGACTGTCGTTGCATGACTTTGAGGTTTAGGGTTTCGGGTTTAGGGTTCAGGGTTTAGGGTTTAGGGTTTAGGGTTTAGGGTTTAGGGTTTAGGGTTTAGGGTTTAGGGTTTAGGGTTTAGGGTTTAGGGTTTAGGGTTTAGGGTTTAGGGTTTAGGGTTTAGGGTTTAGGGTTTAGGGTTTAGGGTTTAGGGGTTATGGTTTAGGGTTTAGGGTTTAGGGTTTAGGGTTTAGGGTTTAGGGTTTAGGGTTTAGGGTTTAGGGTTTAGGGTTTAGGGTTTAGGGTTTAGGGTTTAGGGTTTAGGGTTTAGGGGGTGTCCGAAAATAGGGGTACCCTTTTGGGGGTTCCAACAATAAGGATTCTACCATTTTAGGGTATATGATGGGTTACCCCTATTGCCCCGTATGACTTTCAGGACTTCTTTGGCCGAGAACTTCAGGGTATCAAAGGTGGCGCTCAGATATCCCGAGACGCGAGTAGCTGGGGGCAGGACTGCGTGAACAAGGAGTACAGCTTGATGAAAAGGGCGACGGCATTCTCTCCCGTGAACGACCTGTGCCATGAAGAGCAGGAGCTGCCATGGGTGGTTTAGGGATTAGGGTTTAGGGCTTAGGGTTTAGGGTTTAGGGTTTAGGGTTTAGGGTTTAGGGTGTAGGGTTTAGGGTGTAGGGTCATTAGAAGAGGGTTTTGGGGGTTATTATAGTAAAAATTTGAGGGGACCGCAAGGGAATACTATTAGCAATTCTTCCGGCCCCTATATTCGGATTTGGGCTAAGGGCGCTTGGCGCTTAGGGAAGCTTTGAGGTTTGTGAGATCGGCTGGTGTTGCCGACCTGAACCCCCTGAATATCTTGCGCCCTGTGTGCAACTTGGAAGCATCTCCGGATCGTTGACGATCTCAGTGATGTGCTCCACCTGCTGGCACCGAGCTTTCTGCCAAAAACCCCGGTGACCCCCAAACCCTAAGCATCCGCAGAAGGGCTTATGGGGTTGCACGATTGGTTCTATTGGAGGCCTTGTAGGGTTTTAAGGAGAACGGGCACACACACACAGAGACACACACCCTTCAAGCCGCTGCAAGAGCGGCGTGTCCCGAATTGCTGCCAAGCAGCGGCCATGACGTAAGGCATGTTCCGCATGGTGGGGACCTGCCAGGCGACCCCCTAAACCGCGAAACCGAAACGCCCAAGCCCTGAACCCTAGACACCAAAATATTAAAGCACCCTAAACAACCTAAACCCCAAACCCTCAACCCGAAACCCCCAACACGCTGGACCCTAAACTCCCAAAACACATCAACACTTTGGGAGGGGGGAGGGAAGTTAACCTAAACTGCTACATAAACCCTAAACCCCAGGCCCTAAACCCTAAACCCTCAACCCTAAACCCTAAACCCTAAACCCTAAACCCCAAACCCTAAACCCTAAACCCTAAACCCTAACCCTAAACCCTGAACCCGAATCTAAACCCTAAACCCGCTGTGAGGGAGACCTCCGGTCCGGTGTCGTAGATGGAATCCCGCCTCGGGTTTTGGGCCAGGGGGGCCTTAGGGGGGCTGAGGGGGCTCAGGAGTGAGGCGTGGAGGGTGGAGGGAGACGGGACGGGAGGGGGTTAGGGGGTTTAGGGTTTAGGGTTTAGGGTTTCGGGTCGAGGGCTTAGGGCTTTGGATGTAGACCGTCTACTGGCCCTGAACTCTTACGGGGCCCTGGGTCAGCTGAGAAGCATCGCCCCAAGTGCTGCAGATCCCCCCCTTGCCACTCTCCCGCGCCAAGGGACTGCGCGTTTTCCCCGAGGATGCGCTGCATGAGGTCGAAGGGTGAAGACAGGAGGGCATTGATGTCCTTGCGGTCAACACAAGCAACCCGCATCAACCAGGCACATTCTCAGTGCTCAATGCTCCAGGCCGTGGACCCTGCACCCCGAAAGGAAAAGGATGATATGACATGAATGCTGACAATAACAAAACTTCAACAAAAATATGCATACAAATATATATATATATATATATATATATATATATATATATATACACACCTATCCATACATGTGTATATGTATACACTCTCTCTCTCTTCTATATATATTCTATAGATATATATATATCTATATTATTATAGATATTATATATATATATATATATTATAGATATATATAGATATATATAGATATATATAGATATATATAGATATATAGATAGATAGATAGATAGATAGATAGATAGATACACATACATACCCACATGTATGCACATATACGTATATAACATGTACACATGTACACATATACAAATATGCGCATATACGCAATGACGTATATACAGTAAATACATGCATACCTACATACCTACATGCCTGGCTACCTACACACACATACATGCATACATACATACATACATACATACATACATACATACATACAGACAGACAGAGAGACAGACATACATACATACACACACAGACATACATACATACAGACAGCCATAGACAGATACAAAAAACACAAACACACATACACACACACACACACACACACACACACACACACCCGCGCGCGCGCACGCACAAATACACATCATCTTTAGATTTCTGTACAAAAGTGTACATACATGTGTCTGTAGAAACAACACAAGTATTTGTACATACACATATGTAGGCGTCGGCTCGCGCAACCTGCTGAGCTCCCGGCCGTGTGTTGTATCCAGCGACTTGCCCTGGGCATCGGCATCATACTCAGCATCACGGAGCTCCGCTTCTCCTTGCGGGGCTCATGGAACTGAGCTCAGTCACTTCGGCCGAAATAGTTGTCCATACACACCCGGAAGATGAGGGTATCTACTCCTATCTTCCGGTTTTTAAGAAGGCGGGAAGATCTGGAAGCCCTGCAAACGAACAGCTGAAGGTACCCCCGAAATTCGCAAACCCCCAAATCTCTCAAATCTCTGCTGTCCTCCATTGCCTCCATATACTTCTCGCGGTTCTGAAGCATCAGAACGTCCTGGCACGGTCTGACAGCTGCGCGAGTACTATAGGGGTCAGAATAGTTACTAACAATATATTTCTTCTGGTTCCTTTATAGTTATACTATAAGCAAAACCCAAAAAATCCTATTCTAATTATTCAGGCCCCTATAGTAGTGCGAGTAGCAACGACCACAAGTAGCTCACTGATGTGAATCAGTGACATGCAGGATGCTCCAGGAACCCTAAACCCTAAACCCTTAACCCTAAACCCTAAACCGGGAGGTGGTGCCACAGGCCATTATCTTGGACGTTTTTCGTATTGAGGAGGGGAGGGGAATTCGTTCTCTGCGTGACCCTGAAAACACAGTCGCACTCTAGACTCTACACTCTACACCCCGAACCCTAAGCCCTAAACCCCAAACCCCAAACCCTAAGCCCTAAACCCCAAACCCCAAACCCCAAACCCTAAACCCCAAACCCTAAACCCTAAACCCCAAACCCTACATGCGACAATGCAAGGGTCCAAGGGATCCAATCGAACGCCCCGCAGCGCCGCCAGGATCAGTGCCACCAGCTCCTCGAAGGGCGGTGGATCTGGGGTTCAGGGTTTAGGGTTAGGGTTTAGGGGTCAGGGGTTAGGGGTTAGGGGTTAGGGCTTAGGGCTTAGGGCTTAGGGTTTAGGGTTTAGGGTTTAGGGTTTAGGCTTCAGGGCTTAGGGGCTTCAGGGTTTAGGGTTTAGGGTTTAGGGCTTAGCCCTAAACCCTCCAGGGCCTAATTGTCTTTTTTCATCATCTTTAACGGACTAAAGAGAGACCCACAAAGGGCCCAGGCTTGTGAGCTGAAGGCCCACGGATCAGCCCCAAACCCTAAACCCTAAACCCCGAACCCCGAACCCTAAACCCTAAACCCTAAACCCTAAACCCTAAACCCTAAACCCTAAACCCTAACCCTAAACCCTAAACCCTAAACCCTAAACCCTAAACCCTAAACCCTAAACCCTAAACCCTAAACCCGAACTGAAGACTGAGGGTTCACGTTGGTAAGGGGCCTTAGAGGGGCTCCAGGGGCTTCCTTTAGGGGCTCTTGGGCTTTAGGGGTTTAAGTTTAGGGCTCAGTTAGGTACGGTTTAGGGTTTAGGGGTTTAGGGGTTTAGGGGTTTAGGGGTTTAGGGGTTTAGGGGTTTAGGGGTTTAGGGGTTTAGGGGTTTAGGGGTTTAGGGGTTTAGGGGTTTAGGGGTTAGGGGTTTAAGGGTTTAGGGGTTTAGGGGTTTAGGGTTTTTTAGGGGTTTAGGGGTTTAGGGGGTTTAGGGGTTAGGGGTTTAGGGGTTTAGGGGTTTAGGTTTAGGGTTTAGGGGTTTAGGGGCTTAGGGGCTTAGGGGCTTAGGGGTTTAGGGGTTTAGGGGTTTAGGGGTTTAGGGGTTTAGGGGTTTAGGGGTTTAGGGGTTTAGGGGTTTAGGGTTTAGGGTTCAGGGTTTAGGGTTTAGGGTTTAGGGCTCAGGGTTTAGGAGGCTGAGGGGGCTTTAGGGGCTTAAGCGCTTCTGGGGTCAAGATGGTTGGGACGCGAAACCCTAAACGCACATACACTCCTCCGCATTATGATTATGATGATGACGACTGTCACTATAGCTATTCGCTACTAGTATCACGATGATGATTTCTACGACTCCTATCGGCCTTGTCGCCGGTGCCGAGGCGTTCGGCTCGCAAGCGGCGCACAATGCGGTCCTGCAGATCTTTAACCCAAAACCCTAAACCCGAAACCCTAAACCCTGAAGCCTAAGGGCTTTTGGACTTCTCGACTTTTGAGTGAGAAAGCTTCGCCCCCAAATGCTCTAGGGAAACGAACTCGAGATCGCTCAGGGGCGTTGCGGATATTCTGTACTGCGGTGGGAGCCCTAGCACTTTAGGGTTTAGGGTTTAGGGTTTGGGGTTTGGGGTTTGGGGTTTGGGGTTTACTTAAAGCTTAAAACCCCGCGTCAGATTGTAGCAGGCAATCGCGGAGGATGGCTCAGGGCGGCAAACCGGTTGCGACGAAGTTCTTCCAGCGAGCGGAGACCCCAAAAACACAGAAGCCATATTCTCCCAGTCTCCCATTCTGCCATTCTAGTTCAAATGACCTACTCAACTCAAGAAAACATATCAGCTACACTGGCCCCTATGTTAAGGTGCAGGGTTTAGAGACCCGAAGTCTGTACAGGGTCCCTGGATTCAGGAACAGCGCGAAACTTCTGACCCTCGACCCTAAAGCTTAAAAGCCCTAAACCCCAGACCTCAAACATGAAACGTTAAGAAGAACAATGGTAGCAGTACACCCCAACCTGAAAACCCAAAAATACTCAAGTCAAACCCTGAACCCTAAACCCCAAACCTTCACCCAAGCCCGTAAGCCTCAGCCCACGGAAACCCAGCAACTCCCAAGCCCTTGGTCCTGAAACAGCTGGGAGGGAGGGTTAGGGTTGTAACTTGCGGGTTTAGGGTTCAAGGTTTAGGGTTGAGGGAGGTTGAGGTTTTGGGGTTTCGGGTTTCGGGTTTCGTTCTTTGAAGGGTTCTGAAGTATACAAGGGGTATGTGAGGGTTGCCCAATTCTGGGCCCACATGAAGGGACCATGAAAAGTACCCCAAACCCGAGACCCTACACCAAACCCTAAACCCTAAACCCTAAACCCTAAGCCCTAAACCCTAAACCCTAAACCCTAAACCCTAAACCCTAAACCCTAAACCCCGCTTCCCGGGGCCTTCCACTTCTTCAGCGACTTCGCATGCTCGCCAGAGGCCGAGAGCATCTCGCCCTCATCCTGCGCAAGATCTGGGTGAAGTTGCAAGCCGGGAAACCCTCAACTCTGAGCCCTCAACCCTAAACCCTAGCCCTAAACCCTAGCCCTAAACCCTAAACCCCTATAGACCCCAAACCCTAAACTCTAAACGAGACGGACCGAATCTACCCCTAACCCTAAACCCTAAACCCTAAGCCCTAAACCCTAAACCCTGAATCCTAAACCCTAACCCTGAACCCTGAACCCCTGAACGGCTTGCTGGGCTTGGCAGCCCCGCGCCTCCAACATGGACTTGAACTTCTTCAGCATCTGCCCCTGACGGCAGTTCTGGGTGCAGAGTTTAGGGTTTAGGGTTTAGGGTTTAGCGTTTAGGGTTTCGGGGTTAGGGTTTAGGGTTTAGGGTTTCGGGTTTAGGGTTTAGGGTTTAGGGCTTAGGGTTTTAGGCTTTAGGTTTTTTTGACAGCCCCAAACCCTCATGCCTCCTTGGTACCGGCTAGCCGGCTTGCCGGCTTTAGCCCCAGACCCTATTCCATCTATTCAGGCCCCCATAGTATATACTTGATCAACAGAGGCCTCGAGGGGAGAAGGAGCCCTCAAACCCTAAACCCTAAACCCCAAACCCTAAACCCTAAACCCCAAACCCTAAACCCCAAACCCTAAACCCCAAACCCTAAAACCCCAAACCCTAAACCCTAAACCCCTAAACCCTAAACCCCAAACCCTAAACCCTCAAACCCATCAAGGCAGGGCCTGGTCGCGACGGAGCGCGTCGACCTCCCGCGCGACCTGGGCTCGTGGTCTTGCGACCACTTGAAAAGGGGGTTTGGGGTTTAGGGTTTAGGGTTCAGGGTTCAGGGTTTAGGGTTTAGGGTTTAGGGTTTAAAGGTTTAGGGTTTAGGGTTTAGGGTTTAGGATTTAGTGTTGAGGGGATATGCCGAAAAGAAGGGCCCTCATGAACCCAGTTAAGCGAGACATTGCTACAGAAGGCCTTCTTAAGCCCAGGGCCTGCCTCGAGCTTGTACAAGCCGACTGGCGGCAGGCAAATCCCAGCCAACTAACCCTAAACCCTAAACCCTAAGCCCTAAAACCTAAACCCTAAACCCTAAACCCTAAACCCTACCAAATAGCGGGGTGCTTGGGCGACTCTGCATCGACATGCCACAGGCCCCCCAAGCTCTACCTAAACCATCCTAAATCCTAAGCCCTAAGCCTTAAACCCTAAACCCTAAACCCTAAACCCTAAGCCCTAAACCCTAAACCCTAAGCCCTAAACCCTAAACCCTAAACCCTAAACCCTAAACCCTAAACCCTAAACCCTAAACCCTACCCAAGGAGGCGGCCAGGAGCAGCTTCTCACGGTAGTGCCGGCACATGGTGAGGACCTGGGCGCGTGGTCCCTTGCTGCGCTTCCGGTTCAGAGTGGTTTAGGGTTTAGGGTTTAGGGTTTGGGGTTTAGGGTTTGGGGTTGAGGGTTGAGGGTTGAGGGTTGAGGGTTGAGGGTTGAGGGTTGAGGGTTTAGGGTTTAGGGTTTAGGGGGCTTAGTGCTTCGGGCTTCGGGTTTAGGGTTTAGGATTGTGGGGCTTAGGGTCTCCTTTGACAGAAAGCCACTGAAGAGCCCCTTGAAAGCCTCGAAAACGCCCCTTGAAGCCCCCTAACAAGCCCCTGAAAAGGCCTCAAAGCCCCTTCAAGCCCCTTCAAGCCTTCATCCTAAACCCTAAACCCACCCTAAATTCCTAAACCCTAAAACCCTAAACCCCATACCCTCAACCCTAAACCCTAAACTCCATACCCTCAACCCTAAACCCTAAACCCTAAACCCTAAACCCTAAGCCATCCAAAGCCCTAAACGGTGCCTGCATCTCCTCCTCAAAGCTGAGCCGGCACTCGCCGGTGACGTGGATCACCTCTGAGCTGCCCGTTTGGGGTTTAGGGTTTAGGGTTTAGGTTTAAGGTTTACGGGTTAGGGTTTAGGGTTTGGGGTTTGGGGTTTGGGGTTTAGGGTTTAGGGTTTTTATGGTTTAGGGTTTGGGGTTTAGGGTTTGGGGTTTACGGTTTAGGGTTTGGGGTTTAGGGCTTGAGTCTTCTTATCGTTCAAAGTGTTTAGGGACGCCAGGGCTTAGGGGTCTAAGCCCTAAGCCCCAAGCCCGGGTTCAGGGACGTGTACAGGCTCAAGGGCGGAAGGGAATAGGGTTTAGGGTTTAGGGTTTAGGGTTTAGGGTTTAGGGTTTAGGGTTTAGGGTTTAGGGTTTAGGGTTTAGGGTTTAGGGTTTAGGGTTAGGTTTAGGGTTTAGGGTTTAGGGTTTAGGGTTTAGGGTTTAGGGTTTAGGGTTTAGGGTTTAGGGTTTAGGGTTTAGGGTTTAGGGTTTAGGGTTTAGGGTTTAGGGTTTAGGGTTTAGGGTTTAGGGTTTAGGGTTTAGGATTGGGGCCTAAGGATTCTTAGCGTACCCCAGAACCCTGCGCCCTGTTAGGGTTTGGGGTTTAAGGGTTAAGGGTTAAGGGTTTAGGGTTTAGGGTTTAGGTTTTAAGGGTTTAAGGGTTTAAGGGTCTAAGGGTCTAAAGGTGTAAGGGTGTAAGGGTCTAAGGGTGTAAGGGTTTAAGGGTTTAAGGGCTTAAGGGTTTGGGGGTTTCAGGCTTCAAGGGTGTAAGGGTTTAAGGGTGTAATGGTTTCAGGGTGGAAGGTTTAAGGGCCTAAGGGTTTACAGGCTTGGGGTTTAGGGGCTTGGGTTAGGGTTCAAGGCCTTTTGGGCTTCGGGATACTCGTGACTACGAGTGTATTCCTAAACCCTGAACCCTTAAACCTAACACCTCAAGCCTAAACCCCAACCCTAAACCCTAAACCCTTCACCCTAAACCCTAAACCCTAAACCCTACAACCTAAAGCCTACACCCCAACCCTAACCCGCTCTGCCAGGGGGCCCTCCTCACATGCTCTGCACCTGGCGGTTCATTGATTGGGCAGGCCCTAAATCCTGAAGCCCCGAACCAAAACCCTAAACCTTAAACCAAACCCCAAAACCTTAAACCTTCACCTCTAGCAAGTGGAGTGTGCTCCAGGGCTTCGGGCTTTGGGAGGCTGAGGGGCTTCAGGGATTTCGGGGCTTCAGAGGCTTTAGGGGCTTTGGGGGGGTTTAGGGCTGTGAGGTCTGGGGGCTAGGGTTTATGGGCTTAGGGCCGCCCGGTGTAGGGCTTAGGGGTTCAGGTTGCCAGGCTTAGAGCTTACGGGGCTAAGGGTTTGGGGTTTAGTATTTTGAAACCCAATGTGGGATCCCTTCGGTAGGTCAAGGATCTGTAACGGAACCGGTTGTGGGCAAAGCCTGTGAATGGCGCCCCCCATTTACAGCATCCATTGTTGAGGTTTGGAGGTGTAGAGTTTATGGTCCCTGAACCCCCAAACCCCAAACCCTAAACCAAACCCTAACTAAACCCTAAACACTAAACCCTAAACCCTAAAACCCTCAACCCCAAGCCCTAAAACCTAATCCCCAAAACCCTAAGCACCGATACCCTAAACCCTCAACCCTAGATCCTAAACCCACAACCCTAGACCCTAAACCCTCAACATAAACCCTAAAACCCTAAACGCTAAACCCTAAAACCCTCGAACCCTAAACTCTGAACCCCAAAACCCTAAACCCCAAACCCTAAACCCTAAATCCTAAACCCTAAAACCCCAACACCCTAACACCCTAACACCCTAACACCCTAAAACCCTAAAACCCTAAAACCCTAAAACCCTAAAACCCTAAAACCCTAAAACCCTAAAACCCTAAAACCTTAAAACCCTAAAACCCTAAAACCCTAAAACCCTAAAACCCTAAAACCCTAAAACCCTAAAACCCTAAAACCCTAAAACACTAAAACCCTAAAACCCTAAAACCCTAAAACCCTAAAACCCTAAAACCCTAAAACCCTAAAACCCTAAAACCCTAAAACCCTAAACCCTGAACCCTAAACCCCTAAAACCCTAAGTCCTACATCCTAAACCCTAAACCCTTAAACCCTAAACCCGATACCCCAAACCCTAAACTTTGGCCCTAAACCCTACGTGCAGCAGCTCTAAGCTCAGCTTTGCTTCGCCCGGCTTTGCCTTCTTCGTAGAGAGGCCAGGGCAGTGGCATCCGCGAGTGCTGCACCTCAAAGGAGAACCAAGCTTAGGGTCTAGGGTTTAGGGTTTAGGGTCTAGGGTCTAGGGTCTAGGGTCTAGGGTCTAGGGTCAAGGGTCAAGGGTTTAGGGTTTAGGGTTTAGGGCTTAGGGCTTAGGGTTTAGGGTTTAGGGTTTAGGGTTTAGGGTTTAGGGTTTAGGGTTTAGGGTTTAGGGTTTAGGGTTTAGGGTTTAGGTTTAGGGTTTAGGGCTACGGTCAGTCCGGGCACGGCCAGCGCAAGCTTGCACCGCAAGGCTGTCGCATTTGGATGCCTCATACACACACGACACTCCAGGAGGCTTTCGGGTTTACTACGTTTAGGGTTAGGGTTTAGGCTTTAAGCTTTAAGGTTTAGGGTTTAGGGTTTAAGGTTTAGGGTTTAGGGTTTAGGGCTGAGATTCGGGGGAGGGAAGGGCCTTTTCAGATGTCAATTCTTCTCAAAGTTGCCTTGTTGATAAGGTTTCTACGGTTGAGGCCTTGGAGCTTGGTTGGAGTTCGGCATCCAGGCCCGAACCTCGGGTGATTCAAAGGGATGCTAACCGACAGCCAACTGAGCGAATCGCCTGAAGCTCTGATACGAATCGGTCAAAGGCACAGGCCCTTTTATGGTGTCCACGACGAGCGGTTTAGGGTGTAGGGTTTAGGGCTTAGGGTTTAGGGTTGAGGGTTAAGGACATAGGGTTGAACAGGGCCCTGCAACTTCTCAATCCCCACACGATCTGAAGATTAAGCCGCCTGTCATCGATGCTCTCGAAATGCTCAAAGCAAACGGCATCTTCACCTGAGAACTTGCAGTGGTCATCGGCCAAGCTGACCTGCTCCCCTCAAGAGCCAAAACTGTGTCTCAGCTTCTCCCTCCTGCCTCCACGAACCCTAAACCCTATCTCCCTCCAAACCTCTAAGCTGTCGCATGTAGAAGCAAAAACGGCCCGAGCCCCGCGCTTGTGTACGGAGAGTCCGTGGCCACAGAGTTTACCAGCTGAGAGACCAGGTGATAGTCCTGATTGAGGAACCTACTGGTACTTAACCTGTCGGGCTCTCAACGGGAAATTCGGAAAATAATAAAATCCGTCAAAGGCTGTAAAATTCCCTCTGGAGAAGTAGTAAGTCACGGGAGCCTGGGGAAGGAACCCCTACACCCCTCCCCCACAACCCTACAACCCCCAAACCCCACAACCCCCAAACCCCACAACCCTACAACCTTGAGACAACCCCAAAACCCTATCACCCCTACACCCCATAACCTTGAGCCCAGGGGCGCGGTGGAGGAAGAAGAGGAGCATCAAGTAGAGTGCCGATCCTCGCAGTGATGGGCGTTGATTTTGGCTTTGGACTTGGACGAGGGGGTTAAGGATTTGGGTTTAGGGTTTAGGCATCATTGGGGCTTGGGGTTTAGGGATGATTCGAGCTCATGCTTTAGGGATGATTTGGGATTGGGTCCCTGTGCTCTCCAGAAAGTGCCTGAGACTCGGGATACTCACCATAAACATTCATCAGAAGTGCTAGCTCGATGCTTAAGAACTCTACCCAGCGCGCCCCCCCATACTTGGAGGTTCATGGGTAGCTATAAGTCGGGTTACAAGTACCCGACGCGGGGCCCTACTGATAACTATCCATGAACCTCCAACAATCCCTAAACCCTAAACCCAAAACCCTAAACCCTAAACCCCAAGCCCTAGGCCCTAAGCCCTAAGCCCTAAACCCCAGCCACCCCCCCACATGTTGAAGGACATGCCATGCTTGAACCCCAGCACCTGTAGTTGGCGGCTGCAGGAAGGAGGCGGACACGTGCACCGGGTACCTGCGCGCAGCTCGCTCTTGGGGGGGAGATGCGGGTTGGTTGCCCTAAACCCTAAACCCTAAACCCTAAACCCTAAACCCTAAACCCTAAACCCTGGGATTCCTGGTAGAGGGGCCCAGACCTCAAGGACCGGAACCGAATCCCCGAAACCCCAAGACCGAAACCTCAAACCCCTAAACCCCAAACCCTAAACCCTAAACCCTAAACCTACACACATTGGGGCACAGGTAGTGCTTGGTAGCACCCTGGCTCCACACCTGCAGATGGCAGTTGAAGAGAAGCAGAAGGATTCGGGGTTTAGGGTGTAGGGTTTAGGGTTTAGGGTTTAGGGTTTGGGGAAAGAGCCTCACTCAACCCGAAGCCATAGATGGTTTAAAGGGAGAGTTTAGCGGCTAAATGCCTGAATCTGCAAACCTTTATCACTGCGGTTACAATAGCATGAAGACTGTCAAACAAAAATGTTCAAACCTGAACATGATAACCCCTGAGTTTTTAACCCTAAACCCGACCTAAACCCCAACCCCCGGACCCTGGAAGCTGGGCCCTGAACCTAAACCCTAAACCCTGAACCCTAAACCCCAAACCCCATACCCCAAACCTATCCTGAAAAAAAAGGAGGCCCCTCATGGTGGACTGGGCATCGCACGCCGTGCCCACGCTGCAGCACCAGCTCTGTGCTGAAGGGGTTCCTTGGCTCAAGGGGTTTAGGGTTTATTGTTTTGTGTTTAGGGTTTAGGGTTTAGGGTTTAGGGTTTAGGGTTTAGGGTTTAGGGCTTAGGTCAGACTCAGGGTACTTACATGTTCCCTTAGTATGGGCCCTCAATTGGGGAGGCCTTCCCCGTTTATACCCTACAAAACCCAAGGGCCCACTTCAGAAGGAAGGGGGGACCGTATGAAGGGAGCATGTAACTTCCCTTAGAGTGGGTTCAGGTGTTCTTGTGGATTGGTCTTTGTACGTGTTTGCATGTTCTACGACCACATGTGAGCCCTAAACCCCGCTAAGCCACAGACAAATACGCTTGCGAGCACAACCACAGCCGTCCTCAGAGCCGTGCTCAGGCCTCTTCTTCAAGTTCGAACCTTCGCAATCCCTTGAGGGTATGACCTGCAACCCGATAGCCCTCAAACCCCTAGCCCTAGCACCCAAAACTCACTCTAGACCCAGAAACCCGAAAAAACAGGAACCCCCTAGAATAGCTAAAACCCGAATACCCGAAGACAAGCACCCCTCTTCAAACAAGACGAAGACCCGCAAACCCGCCAACTCAGAGTCATTAATTTCGTGAGATGTGTGGAAGAGTCTAAGGGGATGGCCCCCGTGAGAAAAGCTCGAACCCTGACCCCGAAGACCCATACATGTATTCAAGAACCCCAAACCCCTAAACCCCAAACTATAACCCCAAGAGCCCTACACCCTAACACCCCGACAAACCCATAACCAGAACTGAACCCCTCAAACCCCTTTAGACCCTCAAGCCCTAAAACCCTGCAAACCCTCAAACCCTAAAACCCCTATGAATCAATCCTAAACCATGAACCCTAAGCCCTAAACCCTAAACCCTAGACCCAAAACCCTGAACCCCAACAAAATAAGGTTTGAAGGGAAAGAGTCGATGCGATGTAGATCCGGTGCGCGCAGACGTTGGGCACCTGCGGCTATGTTTGGGCTTCGGGCACTTTGGGGGCTTGGGGGGGTCTTTGAGGCCTAGGGGCTTCTGGGGCTTCTGGGGCTTAGGGCTTAGGGTTTAGGGTTTAGGGTTTAGGGTTTAGGGTTTAGGGTTTAGGGTTTAGGGTTTAGGGTTTAGGGCCTTCGAGTGGCTTGGGGTTTAGGGATTGGGGTTTGGGGAGTGGGGCTTGAGTGGCTTTCTGGGTCTTCTTGGCACCGGCAGCCCCCGCTTATGTTCGCGGATAACATCGAGGAATCCTCCAAAAACCTCGGAAAAAAAAGAAAAAGAAAAAAAAACGAAATCCTCTAAACACACCCTCTAAACAACTCTCTTTAAAAAATACTCTAGAACCGTATTGAGCCCCAAGAAGCGCAATGAACCCAATAAGCCCTACCCCTCCACCCGCCCCCCCGGTTCAGGTACTGAGCACCACACGCATGCAAAGAGCTCCTGCAAGGCAGGCGGGGCGACGGGAGGTGGGTGTTTGTTCTTAAGGCTTTAGGGACTGTAGGGTTCTTGGTCTAGAGTTTGGGGCTTTTGGGGGCATTGGGGTTTAGGGCTTGCGGTCTAAACAGTAGGTCCCTTTTGGGGTGGGTTTTGGACTTGCGCCAAAGCTTCCAGATACGAGCAGCTGATCTCTCTTCAGGGCCGAGCCATTTAGGGGTTCGGGGCTTCGGGTTTCGGGTTCAGGGTTTCAGGAGGGTTTAGGGTTCAGGGGTCAGGGCTTAGGGTTCAGGGTTTAGGCAAGCTTGGGCCCTGGAGACTTTCAACCTGAACTCTGTCCTCGTCTTCGCTCTGCAGCAGCAACGAATGGGGCACCGCCTGCACATCCCACACGTAGCCATGGGGGCGCAATTTCGGGATATTTATGGTTGGGTTGGCCCAAAACCCTAAACCCTAAACCCCAAACCCGAAACCCTAAACCCTAGGCCAGATAGGAAAGCGGAAGGGAGGAGAACTGTTGCAGAGACAGCGGAGGAACCCTTTATTGGGAGCGGGAAACCTGAAATCACAGCAACTCACTACTTACTACTTAACGGTTAGGTGCCTTAGATCCCTGTATAACACGTTAAGGGATTACATCTCCCACATGTCCTGTGAAGAACCAGCCAGTATCTTACTGCAAACCCGATAAACTTCATTATAAGCCTATACAGCCCCCTATGAACCCTATATAAACCCTCCTTTATGAATCTTGCAAGACCTACCAACCCTAAAAGCACTAGGAACCCTATAATTCCTGCAAACTCCGATTCCTCTAAACCCTGCAACCCCCTTGAAACACAGAAAAACCCTGACTGACCAAATCCTCCAAACCCTATACAAATCCCCTAAAGCCTAAACCCTAAACCCTAAAGCCTAAAGCCTAAAGCCTAAAGCCTAAACCCTAAACCCTAAACCCTAAACCCCTGCAAAGCCCCCAAAAGCCTCCCGGCCTGGAGCAGCTGTAGCGCCTGCGCCCGGGCACCGAAGGGCGGCTTCGTGGGCATGAAAAGCCTCGGGGGGAGGCTTACAAGGTTTCGAGGGTTTAGGGTTTAGGGTTTAGGGTTTAGGGTTTAGGGTTTAGGGTTTAGGGTTTAGGGTTTAGGGTTTAGGGTTTAGGGTTTAGGGTTTAGGGTTTAGGGTTTAGGGTTTAGGGTGTATTTAGGGTTTACGGTCTAGGGTTTACTTTTAGGGTTTTGGGCTTAGTGTTTAGGGTTTAGGGTTTAGGTACAAATCCAGTGTCTAGACCCGAGGGCGTACACCATCGTGAGGAGACCCCAAACAATACCCAGAGAGCCCAATACCCCTGAGTTAGGGAATATGCAGCACAGCCTCACATCATATTAAGGATCTCTGTATAATTTCAGGTATATTCCTTATTTAAGGTATATTCCTTATTTTTGGTATACTCCTTATTTAAGGCATATTCCTCATTTAAGGCATATCCCTCATTTTAAGGGGGTCTTGGCTGGGACTAGGCTTTGAAAACAGCGGAACAGACCACGAAGGCCAGAAAAAAAAAGCCCTCTTATGGATGGCCCTCCCAGACTTGCCAGAAGTAGGGGTCTCCGAAATTAGGGGTTTAGGGTTTAGGGTTTAGGGTTTAGGGTTTAGGGTTTAGGGTTTAGGGTTTAGGGTTTAGGGTTTAGGGTTTAGGGTCTAGGGTTTAAGGTACCTTATTGAGGTCCTTATTATCATGGAATCCTACTATCTAGGGGTCTCTCTTAGAGGTCTCTTATTTTCGAGAGTCCCAAGTTTGTTTGCGCCGGGGTGCAACCCTCTAAACCCTAAACACAAAACCGCCGGGGAGCGTGGAGTGGTCCACAGAGTAGAGCCTCTGCTCCCCGCGGGGGCCCTTGCGCACGTCCCAGGTGAGCTGCAGGCGCGGCATCTCCACGCGCTCGATCCTGAGGTGCTTGTCCCCGGCCTTTCAGGGGTTGGAGGGGTTTAGGGGTTTAGGGGTTTAGGGGTTTAGGGGTTTAGGGGTTTAGGGGTTTAGGGGTTTAGGGGTTTAGGGGTTTAGGGGTTTAGGGGTTTAGGGTTTAGGGTTTCGGGCTTTTTTAGGGTTGAGGGTTTAGGGCTTAGGGCTTAGGGCTTTAGGGTTTAGGGTTTAGGGTTTAGGGCTTGGGGCTTCGGGCTTCGGGCTTAGGGCTTAGGGTTTAGGGCTTGTCCCCGGCCTCCCAGGGGTTCGAGGAGGTCCAGGCCAGGATGAAGGAGAGGTTCTCGGCACGGGCCAGGGAGTCGGCCAGGTGGTGGAGCGGGGTGCCCGCATTGGTGTGGAGCAGGTCCAGCCTTGCTGTTGGTTCGTAGGGTTCAGGGTTCAGGGTTTAGGGTTTAGGGTTTAGGGTTCAGGGTTTAGGGTTTAGGGTTTAGGGTTTAGGGTTTAGGGTTTAGGGTTTAGGGTTTAGGGTTTAGGGTTTAGGGTTTAGGGTTTAGGGTTTAGGGTTTAGGGTATGGGGTTTAGGGTTTAGGGTTTAGCATTTAGGGTTTAGGGTTTAGGGTTTAGGGGAAATGAAGTACACTATATAATCCCTTGAAGGGTGTATACAGGGTACCTCATTCCCTCATTCCCTACGCTAACCAACAGCAAGCAGCAGGTAAAGGTCGGGACGGCCCATGCCGTCGCGGAAGCGCTTGGTGACCACGGCGCCCCAGCCCCGCATGCCGGTGCAGAGGATCTTCTTGATGCGGACCAGCTTGACGATGAGGATGTGGTCCACCTTCTTGTTGCTGGCATCAGACTCCAGGAGGTCCTCCTCCGACTCGTGGTCCGAGGGCCAGCGGCCCTTGGCGGGGTAGCCTCGGATGACCCGGTGTGGAGGGGCGTTCTCCTGGTAGAAGTTGTAGTCCTCCAGCAAGGCCTCCGGAAGGAGGCCGGAAAGGATGCGGCCCGGCAGGTACTGCTCACCCACCTCCATCATGCGCTCAAAGGGCGACTTCTCGGTGATCATGCGGTCGTGGAAGATCTCGACATCCTTCACGTTCCCGGCCCGACAGTCGAAGCCGATGTGGTCCACGATCTCCGCCGAGCGGTCCGGGAAGTCGAAGTCCGCGACGCGCTCGCCGTTGATGGTGAGCTCGAAGCCCTCGTCGCTCTTCTCGAAGCACACGGTGAAGCTATCGTTCTCGGCTCCCAATGGGCAGCCTCCCGTGCGCACCTCGCTGCCCTTGGAGCCATCGATGACGGAGTTGCGGAGGATGCACTTGCGCTGCGTGCAGGGCGCAAAGGAGAAGATGCAGTCCTGGCCGGCGTAGAAGCAGAAGCGCCAGTCGATCCCGTCCTTCCGGTTGTAGCCGTTGCCCTTGACCTGAAGCCGGTCGCCCTCCTGGAATCTCATGGCCACGCGCTTCGAGAGGTTCCGCTGGCAGGGCTCGCAGAGGTCGTAGTCGCAGTCGCGGCAGCGCCAGGCCGTGCCAGTGCAGCTGCAGAAGTTGCAGCGGTTGGCCTTCTTCTTCTCCGGCTGCAGCTCGTGCGTCTCGCGGCAGTACACGGGCATGGGCTCGGGGGCGCTGCTGCGCACCTGCCTGCGGCGCCGCTGCACGCCGTCCTCCTCCAGCTCCTGCTCGTCCTCCTTGACGGCGCTGCCGGCGTTGCGCTCGGCCCCGGAATCCATCTCGTCCCACTCCTCGGGGTCGTCCATGGGGTCCTTGTCCCCCAACACCTCGCCCCCAAAGCCGCTGAGGCCCTTCACGGCCGTGCGCGACACCGTGGTGGTGTTCTCGTGGTTCTGCAGGTCGCAGCTGGAGCCGCCGGCCGCGTACCTCGCCCAGACGGGCCAGGGCTCGTCGCGCCCGTCCAGCGGGGGCTGCAGCTCGTGCATGCAGAGCCGGGCGTTGCTGGTGTACTCCAGCTGCCGGTACCTGTACTCCCCTTAGAACCTTAATAAAATTATCATTATTATTATTACTATCTTCTTGGGCTGTATATTAACACAAATACAAAATAATCATTCCCAAGAAAGAGATGTAGGTGCAGCTGATGCCCATAGGACTTGATCCCGTAGATGTGGATCATGCGCCGCTCCTTGAAGAGGTGGACCTCCTTCCAGATGCGCGCCTTGGCGTCCTGGTGCACGCCCATGAGGCAGACCACCGTGGCATCGGGCGCCACGGGCTCGTCCTTCATGAAGAAGAGGGGCGGCCGCTTCGGGGGAGGCGGGATGAAGAACATCCGCCGGACCGGCTCGAAGAGCTCCGCGATCCAAAACTCGTCCTCCTCCAGGTCCTCCACGTCATAGAGCCGGTCCCAGTCATCCAGGAAGGGCAGGAAGCTGGCGGGCTTCGAGCTCCAGTGCGTGGCCCGGAAGGGGATGCTCAGGAGCTCGCGCACCGTGGCGTTGGTGGAGGTCAGCAAGGCGGAGCACTGGACCGTGGTCTTCTGCATGGCGCCCTTCTCGCCGAGCTGCACAGGGTCCAGAGGGGTTTGGGGTTTAGGGTTTAGGGTTTAGGGTTTGGGGTTTGGGGTTTAGGGTTTAGGGTGTTACAAAGTTCTTACATTCAGCAAGAAGGGGTCCTCGTTTGCCTCTCCTGTTTCGCGATCCCTCCCTGGGCTATGACTTGGCAAGACTGGCTTTTGGGGTTTTGTGCGGTTTCTCGCAAGTTTGGGGCTTCGGGTGGTTTAGGATATAGGAGCCTTTGGTAAGTACTGTGGGCAATGGGTGGTTTGAGGAGGATGATCTTGGTAGATGTTCGGCCTCCTGTATTCCCTGCAATTCCGATAGGCAGAGGCTAGATTCCCACCTATTTCAAGACTCCACGGGAACAGCAGCTGCTCCCAGCAACAGCTTGCAGGGTTTGACTCGAGCATCCCCGCCCTTTCTCACCACCTTTGTTTGGGGTCTGCGTCGGCAACCATTGTGGCCCTAAAGCCTAAACCCTAAACCCTAAACCCTAAACCCTAAAAACCCTAAACCCCAAACCGGCTACAGGGGCCCCAGCCTCGGACACGAAGACGTGCTTGAAGTCCTCGTCCTGCCAGATGAAGTCCTCCAAGGGCACCAGCGTGCGGCCACGGACCGTGACCTGGAGCAGCTGGACGTTGAGCCTCTGTCTGAACTCTTTAGGGTTTAGGGTTTAGGGTTTAGGGTTTAGGGCTCAGGGTTTAGGGTTTCGGGGTGTCGGGGTTTAGGGGCTTACGGCTTTTGACAAGGGGGTTAGGGTTTAGGGCTAAGGGTTCTTACAAATTCTCGTACCCAAGAAACCCAAGAAATAAAAAAAGTATTCCCAAAAGCATCCCTTAGGAGCTCGATCCAGAAGGCGTCCGAGGCATTCACGGTCTTGACCCCCTTGCCATCCTTGCCCTCCTTGCCCTCCTTGCCCTCTTTGCCTTAGTTGTCCAGCAACCTAGGGGAACTAAAGGTGAGCCTTTGGGAACTTATAGGGATTCTACTACCCCAAGAAAAGGTTAAAGGTTGCCTATACTCTACGACGAAGTTGCCCTCGGCGCCGCCCTGCGCCTCCTTGTCCGGCGCCGCCTCGCTGAGCACGCCGAAGCGGCCCTCGTACTCCGTGTCGTCGCCCACGCAGACCCACTCGAAGCCCGAGGTGTCGGGGGCGCTGGTGTCCCCCAAGGCCGAGAGCTGCTGGTGGCAGCCCCGCAGCACGGAGTTGAAGCCCGTCAGGGAGTTCAGGCGCCGCTGCTCCACCAGCCAGCGAACGATGTAGCGGCGGTGGAGCTGCAGCGTCTCGAAGAGCTCCGTCTCCGGGACCTCCAGCCGCTCCTGGTTGAAGGTGTGGTGGGAAGACAGGTAGGTCAGGGAGGAGAGGAGCCGCTTCACCCGGTCCGAGTCGAAGTCGCTCTGCGGAACGTTGCGGAGCACCAGCACCTGGTGCGCGTGGAGCCGGCAGGCAAGCTGGTTGCACTCGTCCTCCCGGCTGGGCTCCTGCTGTGCCGACTCTGCCAGCTCTTCCAGCCAGCGGTCAAACCAAGGCAAGACCTCTCCCTCGAAGGTGCTCCGCAGCAAGCTGCGGCCCCGCCGGAGCTCTTCCAGGACATTCGCCGTCGTGGTTAACTTTGGCCAGGCCCTGGCCACCTTGCCCTCCGCGTGGTCCATGAGCAGCGCTGCGGCAGACTCCACGCGCACGGCCAGGCGGACGGAGAAGAGGATCGCCGGCACCGTCTCCGAGGTCACGGAGGTGGCAAGGCTGAGGGTCAGGGCCATGAGCTTCCCAACAGCCGTCAGGATCACCGTGGGCCCATGTGACAGCTCCGTCAGGAGCTGGCTGAAGGGGGAGGCGACCAGGTGCTCCTCCTCAGCCGTGGCAGGCACAAACTCCGGGATGTTCTTCATGTCCTCGGGGAAGAGCAGCCGCCCGGGTTCCAGCATGGAGGCCTGGAGGATCCTCTGCAGCGTACCCTGCCGGAGGCAGTTGCTCCTGTCCTGGGTGGTGAAGAAGCTCAGCAGCAGCGGCTGCCGCAGGTACGGGACCTGAACACCATTCCCATAGCAATTACACAGAGAGACAGAGAGATTGTGTGTGTGTGTGTGTCTATTTTCGTGTCTTTCTGGGGCTTCAGGCTTAAAGAGGGGTCTGTCTCTGTCTCTCTCTCTCTCTCTCTCTCTCTCGCTCTCGCTCTCGCTCTCGCTCTCGCCCTCGCTCTCGCTCTCGCTCGCTCGAGGCAGCTTCTGATCGTCAGTCATTATGGCTGCAAGATAAGAAGCCGACGGGAGCGCCTTAAAACCCTCCTTCGGCCAGGTGCCTGAAAACCGCGACATGCACAACCTTCGGCCCAAGCCCCCAAACTAGAGTCTACGATTTAGGGCTTCGGGCTTCTGTACCACTACGCTTCCATGGATTCGGGTTTTATGTACCCCTAAACACCAATAATTTGGGCCTGAAGGGTTTAGGCTATGGGGCTCAGGGCCTGAACTACGACCCCTTTCCAAGCCCTGCTGAACACAATCCCCCCCAGAAAATCCCCCGAAACTCGCTCATACCGGGCTGCCGTCAGGTACGACAGCAGACCCTCGCTATCCGAGGGCCGGAGCATGGGGCGGCCGGTCTTCTCATCCGGGAAGTTGGGCAAAGACCTCTGGACTTCGGGGGCACATAAGAACCCTCGAGCCTTTTCAACTTCTTGAAGCCGGGGCTTATGTTTAGGGTTTAGGGTTTAGAGTTCAGGGTTCAGGGTTTCGGGTTTAGGGTTTAGGGTTTAGGGTTTAGGTTTTAGGTTTTAGGATTTAGGGTTTAGGGTTTATTAGGGTTTAGGGTTTGTTAGGATTTGGGGTTTAGGGTTTAGGGTCTAGGGTTAAGAACTCAATACACTAGTTGTAGAATATCTGGTGTCTCGGGACTTAGGGAGTTGGGCCTCTCTTGCTGCTCGAGCTTTTGGAGCGCGAACTAAAGCCATGAAGCCTAAGAACCTGAGCCTCTGAAACCCTAAAAAAAAGGTTTAGGGTTTAGGGTTTGGGGTTTAGGGTTTAGGGTTTAGGGTTTAGGGTTTAGGGTTTAGGGTTTAGGGTTTAGGGTTTAGGGTTTAGGGTTTAGGGACCCGGAATCCTCAACCCCCAAACCCAGCAACTCCAAACCCGAATGAAGCACTGATGAACCCCGAGCCCTAAACCCCCAACACCCTTAAGCCCCTAAGCCCTAAACCCTAAACCCTAAAACCCTAAACCCTAAACCCCAAACCCCAAACCCCAAACCCCAAACCCTAAACCCTAAACCCTAAACCCTATACCCTACCCTCAAAACTCTCAAAAAACCATCGCGGGAGCCCCCGAATGGGCCAGCCTCTGGTAGAGCAGGTCGTCTTCCGTGCCTCGTGGGCGCGCAGTTCAGGGTCCAGGGTTCAGGGCTTAGGGAATAGGGCTTAGGGCTTAGGGCTTAAGGTTTAGGGTTTAGGGTTTAGGGTTTAGGGCTTCGGGTTTCTCGCGCCCGACCCGCGAGGACCCCAAAGTCAGCCGAGCCACGGACTTCGCCCTTGGTGTGCCTTGGGTTTAGGGTTTAGGGTTTAGGGTTTAGGGTTTAGGGTTTAGGGTTTTAGGGTTTAGGGTTTAGGGTTTAGGGTTTTAGGGTTTAGGGTTTAGGGTTTAGGGTTTAGGGTTTAGGGTTTCGGGTTTCGGGTTTCGGGTTTCGGGTTTCAGGTTTCGGGTTTCGGGTTCACATGAAGCAGCAACAGTCACCGCAATACCCCTATTACAGAGCGTCACTACAGCAAGAGGAGCATCCCAAACCTAAAGCCCCAAAACCCTCAACCCCAAGCCCCAAACCCTAAACCGCAAACCCCAAACCCTAAACCCTAAACCCCAAACCCCAAAAAAGAAGAACGTCGTTCCCAAGGCAACACCCGAGGGTGCATGGCCGGCAGCGCCGGGGAGGGCCACCTGTGGCCAGAGGCCGGCGGCTGCGGCGGCGTGCGGTCGTTGATCCATACCACGTTGTCCTGCGTTTACGAGGGGTTTATGGGGGTTTTAGGGGTTTAGGGGTTTAGGGGTTTAGGGGTTTAGGGTTTAGGGGTTTAGGGGTGTAGGGGGTTTAGGGGTTTAGGGGTTTAGGGGTTTAGGGGTTTAGGGGTTTAGGGGTTTAGGGGTTTAGGGGTTTAGGGGTTTAGGGGTTTAGGGGTTAAGGGGTTTAGGGGTTTAGGGGTTTAGGGGTTTAGGGGTTTAGGGGTTTAGGGGTTTAGGGGTTTAGGGGTTTAGGGGTTTAGGGGTTTAGGGGTTTAGGGTTTAGGGTTTAGGGTTCAGGGTTCAGGGTTCAGGGTTCAGGGTTCAGGGTTTAGGGGAGTTTAGGGTCGAGGGTTTACGGGCTGTCCGGCGTTTAGGGTTGAAGCGGTGGAGGGTTTAGAGATTAGGGTTTTGGATTGAAGGCTTCGGGGAGTGTAGGGTTGAAGCGATTGAGTGTGGAGGGCTCAGTCTAAGCCCGCCCCCTCAAGTAAAAACAAGAGAGCAAATCCCGCGGAACGGCCAGCCCTTTTAAAACAGGTGCCCCCAAGCAAGACGCCCCTCTAAACAACTCTGATTTTCGGTCCTGCCGGAGAGATGGAATCAACCCAGGGGGGACGGTGGGGGTGGGGGGGGTTCTTTAATGGGAAGCGAACATTAACCATAACAGCAACAGTCCATGGCCGTCCTTTGGGATGTTCCCCCTTATACTAACAGTCCTTCATAGGGATTCGGATAGGGGGTATGATAATCCCTACTAGGGACTGTTAGTATAAGGGGGAACAGTCCCAAAGTGAATGGCGGTCCTTGCCAAGGGCCGTGACCTTGAAGTAGGGCCGCCCCTTCTCGTCCACCTGGACGCTCCAGCGCGCGATGGCCTCGGAGGGGTGGAACTTCCGCGCCTCCGGGAACACCCGGATGTCGGTGCACAGGAAGTACTTCCACCAGAAGACCTTGCTGGCTGGCCGAAGTGGGGTAAGAAGGCGGAGTTTGAGAATAAGATGACATAAACAATCCAAAAAATGAATGTAGATTATACACCAGAAGAATGTGAGGATTATGAAAAAAGGAAGGTCTGGTTCAAAGTCTATTCCATGATTATGTTGTTACCTTTCAACATCTTGAGGCCACGCCGCGATGTCCCGGTAGGCCTGGAACTCCGGCCAGATGTGCGGCATCATCACATTGGTGCCTGCACATAACTAAATGTTTTCAAAAAAAAAGTGTATATTTATATATATATATATATATATATATATATATATATAAGAAAATGCATTAAAAAACAAATAGTAAATACAAAAGCATGCCCAAGCTTGCAGGGTTTGGGGCTTTAAGGGGCTTTAAGGGGCTTTTAGGGGCTTTAAGGGGCTTTCAAGGGGGTTTTGGGTTTCAGGGCTTTGGGCGGTTTATGCTTTCCCTGCAGGGCTTAGGGCTGCAGGGCTCTAGGGGGGTTTAGGGATCTGATCTTCGAGGTTACACGACTTAGGGTGCTATGGTACCCCCTAAATCCCTAAACCCTATCTCCTTTGAGAGCTTAGGGTTTGGTGGCATTAGGGCCCTAAACCCTAAACCCTCAACAATAACTATAACCCCTAAACCCTAAACCCTGAACCTTAAACCCCGAAACCCCAAGCCCGTAAGCCCCTCAACCCTTAAACCCTTGAACCCCTGGACCGCCAGGCAAGGAGCCGGCGACCAGGTTGGACGGATTGCCATCCATCAGCCTCGGATGGTCGTTGGGATGACTTGCAATTCTGAGGGCTTTGGGCGTTTAGGGTTTAGGGGTCTAGGGTTGAGGGTTGAGGGTTGAGGGTTGAGGGTTGAGGGTTGAAGGTTGAGGGTTGAGGGTCGAGGGTTGAGGGTTGTACGGCCTTAGGGCTTTAGGTTAGAGGTTCTGGGGCATGGGTCCACGGAGGAGTGCAACAGTATCCCTGAAACTCCAAACCCTCAGACCACCTATCCAACCTCCAAACCCTCAAAACCTTTTGCGAAGTCCTGGACAAACTCGAAAGACTCCAACCCTCGCATTCTCTCCGGATTCGCGCCTCCCAAGAGTTCAGGGAGCCTTGGAAAGCATTAGGGAAACCTTGGGTTACATACCCCGCCTCGCACCCCCGTCCCGTAGGGACAAACCCTAAACCCTAAACCCTCAAAGGACTCCTCCAAGCGGCAACTTGGTGGCGGCCATGCGCTCTGCCAAAGCAATCGTGCCGCGCTCGCCTGGCAACGCATCCAGATAGTGTTTAGGGTTTAGGGCTTTAGAGGGCCCAAGCCCTAAACCATCAACCCTAAACCCTAGAACATTAGGGTTTAGAATGTATAAGGTTCAGCATTTAGGGCTTGGAGATTTCCGGCTCAGGGCGCAAGCCCTCCGACGGTCAGGATTCTCCACTCGCGTCCCCACCACAACATGGCACCATTGTGATAAGGATCCTTCCAAAAAGGACCCCCTATGTTTAGAGAACTGCACTTGCACCCTAAACCCTAAACCCTAAACCCTTTTTTGAAGCCATAACAGAGAGCCAGCAGGGGAGCAGGGCACAAAGGGCTGAAGGAAATGTGGTGAGTTCGCTACCTACGTGCCCCAAAAGGGGCCAACAGTTGGAGAACTGACCGGAGTAGGGTTAAGGGTTCAGGGTCTCGGGTTTAGGGTTTCGGGTTTCGGGTTTCGGGTTTATGGTGTTTAGGCTTGCCGGGGCCTGTGACCCACATGCCCCACTTGTGGGCAGCGTAGTCGAAGATCACCGTTCGCCGGCGATCCAGGTTCACCTCCGCACAATGTGGGATCCAGGAGCCAAGATTCCCTCCAAAAAAACCACAGCAGGTGTACAAGAACCCCTAAACCCTAAACCCCAAACCCCAAACCCCAAACCCTAAACCCCAACAACCTCACAGTCGAGGGTTCCGAGCCTTGCATGCCTCCTACCTGAGAGAAGCCTGGAACCCACTGAACCCACTGAACCCTGCGTCCTCACCTGCGTGCACAAGCACTCAACCCGTTCAGAACCCAAAGCCTTCAGCCCTAAACCCCAAACCCTACAAACCTGAACCCTGAATCCCTAAACCCTAAACCCTAAACCCTAAACCCTACAAACCTGCGCCCTGAATCCCTCTCAACTGCCTTGTAGTGCTGCACAACCTCGTGGAAGTAGGCCATGGTGGCCGCGCGGGTGATGGTGAGCTCCTACAATTTGGGCTTCGAGTTTGCAGGCTACAACTCTACAAGGTTTAGGGTTTAGGGTTTAGGGTTTAGGGCTTAGGGTTTAGGGTTTAAGGTTTAGGGTTTGGGGTTTAGGGTTTAGGGTTTAGGGTTTAGGGTTTAGGGTTTAGGGTTTAGGGTTTAGGGTTTAGGGTTTAGGGTTTAGGGTTTAGGGTTTAGGGTTTAGGGTTTAGGGTTTTGGGCGTCTGTTAGGATTCTTAGGTAACCTACAAAGGAATAGGCTTTTTCAGGCTCGTAAGGTCGGGCCCTGCGGTTTTTAGCAACCCGAAACCCCTTAAACACCTAAGCACCTAAACCCAAGAAGCTCTAAACCCTTAAGCCTCTCAGCCCCTGAACCCTAAACCTAAACTCCAAAACCTGTAAACCCTCAACATCCCAAAACCCTGAAAACCAGGACCAGCTGCCCTTAAATCCCCCAAAAATCTCCGCAAAAACCCACTACACCCGAAAAAAGGGCCCAAAACCCTAAACCCTTAAACCCTTAAACCCTTACACCCTTAAACCCTTAAACCCTTAAACCCTTAAACCCTTAAACCCTTAAACCCTTAAACCCTTAAACCCTTAAACCCTTAAACCCTTAAACCCTTAAACCCTTAAACCCTTAAACCCCAAACCCTAAACCCTAAACCCTTAAACCCTTAAACCCTTAAACCCTTAAACCCTTAAACCCTTAAACCCTAAACCCTAAAACCTCTAACCCCTAACCCCTAAACCCTAAACCCTAAACCCTAAACCCTAAACCCTAAACCCTAAACCCTGACCGGCTCCTGGAAGCACGCCTCCATGGTCTCCGACTGCGTCAGGAAGGCCGTGGCATCCACGGCGAAGCGGCCTCGGGGCGCGTGATGAGGGTCTTAGGGTCTTAGGGTTTAGGGTATAGGGTTTAGGGGGTTTAGGGTCTAGGGGTTAGGGTTTAGGGTTTAGGGTTTAGGGTTTAGGGTTTAGGGTTTAGGGTTAGGGCTTAGGGTTTGGCTCAAGCTAACCCCCCAAACCCTAAATCCCAAACTAGGAAAAAAGTGTGCCCGTCTACCCGAAAGACCGCCAAGCACTACCTGAACACCCCAAACCCTGATTCCTAAGATGCCTCTACTGCCCCTTGTCACCTTAAACCCTAAACACGAAGATCCCCCCAAACCCTAAAACCTAAACCCTGAGGCCCTAAAAAAAAATCCACCCCAAAACTGGAAAGCACGGCATCCCATGCAACTCAAGGGTGCATACTTCAAGAACGGTTGACCCAAGGCAGAGAGGGACCATATCGACCCAGCAGACCCTAAACTTGAAATCCTAAGCCCCAAACCCTAAACCTAAACACTAAACCCTAAACCCTCAACCCTCAACCAACCCTTAGAAAGCCCCAGGCACCCTCGTGCAGGACCTTCGTCAGCTCGGAAGGCTTGTTCTCTGCCTTGAAAAGCCTCAACGTCATCTGGGCGTGGGGGTGGGGGAGGGGAGGGGAGGGAGTGATGGGGGGCCTTCCGAAATTCCGAAGCTCTGTGCTTCGGGCTTAGAGCTTCGGCTTTAGGGGTTTAGGGTTTAGGGATCAAGGCTTAGGGTTTAGGGTTAGGGTTTAGGGTTTAGGGTTTAGGGTTTAGGGTTTAGGGCTTGGGGTCTGCTGTAGGGTGCGTTGGGGTGTTTAGGGCCGTCTTCTTCTCCTCAAGCAGTGTCTACGAGAATGCTTTGGGGTGTTCGTCCTTAGGCTAACAGTCCGTAATCGGGATTAGAGTACCCTAAACCCTAAACCCTAAACCCTATTAGAATCACTCTTAAGGACTGTTAGTATAAGGGGGAACATCCTTGCGGTTTCAACCTTCTACCTGATCGTCGCAGAACCCTAAACCCTAAACCCATCAAGCTGATTCAAGTTCATACCCACCTCTCCTGGGTCAAGGAGGTTCCCGTTGGACCCTACACCCGAAACCTCTAACTCCTAAGTCCCTGAAGCCGTAGCCCCCAAACCCCTCCTAGATCCCAGAAACCCTAGATTTTACCCCAAACCCTAAACCCTAAACCCCAAATTTTACGCAAAACCCCACAAGCCCTAAATTTTACCCCAAAACCCTAAACCCCACTAAACCCCAAACTGGGCCTGTCATCCATCGGCCAGATGCGGATGATGCGGTCGGCCATGGCGGCGGCCGCCGACAGCACCGTGATCTTCACGGCGTCGAAGGTGCGGGCCGTGTGGCTCTTGCACCGCATCTCCTTTTTGGGCGGGTCCTTATAGGGTGCCTCTTCTTTGCGTTTGGGGTGAAGCCCCTCAATCCTTAAGTCCGAAGCCCTGAGCCCTGAGCCCTCAACCCTGAGCCCTAAAAAGCCTGAGCCCCTGAACGTCAAACCCAAGCAGACACTAAACGTGCAAGCCTCAGAATTCGGGGGCCCACACATCCACTCCACACGCGGTATGGGTTTGGGAGCCTGGGTCCCCAGGGCTTAGGGGGTTTTCTTTCGAAAGCCCTCCCCCCGAAAAGTACTTGAGAGCTGCTGACTTAACAAGTCTACTTGGGCTTAGGGTGCAGAGCCCTGCTTACTAAGTCACACGGGCTTCCAAGTAAGCCCCTGAGTTTGGGACCCTAAAGAAGTAGGTTCCTTGCTCCCATCCTCCAAGAAAAAGATGTTGATGTTAGGGAGGAGGGTCGAAAAGGGTTTGATGTTCTGACCAAAAGACGAAGTCGGACTACTCCTTGTGCGATTGAGTTGTGGTGATTCTGTAGATGCTCCTTACCGCTTGTACCCGGAACTGACAAACCCGAAAACCTAAACCTTAAACCCTAAACCAAAGAAGAACTAAACCTTAAACCGAAATTGCAGGCACGGCTCCAGCGACGCACACACGAACAGCCTCCGCCGAGGAATGAGATCGGGGTTTGGGTGGGCGGACGTGGGGGTTCGAGCCTTACCTAGACGAAGGGTTGGGGTGCAGGGGTCAAGGGTTTAGGGGAATCCCGAACCCGGTTTAGGGGTAGCCCCGAACCCTAAACCCTAAACCCTAAACTGCCAGCCGGGGAGCTCCACCAGTCGGAGGAGCACCTGCAGCATGTCGAGCTGCATGGGGCGCGTGACGGTGGGATGCGAGGCATCCCAGCCGCCCCAAATGTCGCACTCTTCCAGCTTCCTCGCTTTGAGCTTAGGGTTTAGGGTTTGGGGTTTGGGGTTTAGGGTTTAGGGTTTAGGGTTTAGGGGTTTAGGGGTTTAGGGGTTTAGGGTTTAGGGGTTTAGGGTTTAGGGTGAAAGGTTTGGGGTTTGGGGTTTGGGGCTTAAGGGCTTAGGGCTGAGGGCTTGGGGCTTTTGAGGGTTGAACCACTAGGCTTCCAAGCAGCGCTCCCTAATAGAACCCCAATAAAAACATGAACAGGAACCCTAGCTTAGGGTTTAGGGTTCAGGGCTTAGGGCTCAGGGCTTAGGGTTTGGGGTTCGGGTTTAGGGTTTAGGGTTTGCTTAGGGTGTGGGGAGTGTTGCGGGTAGTTTGTATGGTCGCTTAGAGTCAATCCTAGTCCCTACACCCTGCCTTTTAGGATTAAGGGATGCTTAGGCTTCAGGGTGTTGTTGTTCTTGCCCGTGCTCCCATTTTAGGGTTCAGGGTTTAGGGTTTAGGGTTTAGGGTTTAGGGTTCTTAGGCTTAAGGTTCTTTGGGGCTTAAACGCCCCCAAAAGAGCCCCCAAAAGCCAGAGACCTGCAGCTCAGAATCGAGGAGTAGGGGCCCCGAGGCAGCGGCAGCAGCTTGGTGAAGAGGTGCTGCTGGAGGCAAACAAGGAGGTAGGGCGCGTACTCGCACCGCTCCCGGCCTTTGATCCCATATGGGGGACTGTAGGGCCGGTTTAGGGTTTGGGGGTTTAGGGTTTAGGGTTTAGGGTTTAGGGTTTAGGGGTTTAGGGGTTTAGGGTTTAGGATTTAGGGGGGTTTAGGGTTCGGGGGTTAGGGTTGAATTACTGCGAGTAGCCCCCAAAAGGACGCTCAGTTGATATGCACCCAAAATTCTTATGAGGAAGCAGAATACATACACCCACCAAGCGCAGTCATGTTGACCACGCCTCATTTGGGGGACGACGGGATCTGGGAGTCTAGGGCTCCGGGCCGCTTTGGGCGAGGGCATGTAAGGGTTTGGGATGTTGGGTTTGGGGTTCCGGTGTTAGGGAAGTTTAGGGGAGGGTGGGAGGGGGGGATGCAAGGGTTTAGGGTTTAGGGATCAAGGCTTAGGGTTTAGGGTTTAGGGTTTAGGGTTTAGGGTTTAGGGTTTAGGGTTTAGGGTTTAGGGTTTGGGTAAACTCGGGCCGATAGGGTTAAGACTGAACAAGGGGCTGAAGGTCTCAGCTATATCTTCCGCTGTCGGATCCTTCGGACCCGTAGGGTATTTAGGGTTTAGGGTTTAGGGTTTAGGGTTTAGGGTTTAGGATTTAGGGTTTAGGGTTTAGGGTTTAGGGTTTAGGGCTTAGAGCTTAGGGTTTAGGGCTACGGCATCGTCAAGCTGCTGATGAAAGAGAGCTTCAGGCAGATCTCCTCCGCAATGCGCAAGGTACGGAAGAATTCGGTCATCGAGTTCACCTGAGCTTTGGGCTCTGGGACCAGGGTCCCCCCTGGGTGGCAAATCCCAGAAACTTGCAGGATCTCGGAGAGAACACAAAGCCGAAGATATCAAACGTGTTCACAAAGTCCGCGCACATCGTGCACCCGAACCAACGCAACCACCCCGCCCCCCAAACAAAACACAACCTCCCCCCTCCCCCAGCCTGCTCCAAGCTGGCCAGCCAACGCACAGTGCGTTGGGTTTCTGGGGTTTTGGGGGCTTTGTAGCTTAAACCCTAAACCCTAAACTTGGAGGTTCATGGTACTTTCCAACCAATTGCAACTGCTCATAACTCCCTTCTTAAGTGCCCTAATATGGTTATAATTGGATTACAAGTGGAGTTCGTATTGGGTTAGTATTGGGTTACCCTAAACCCTAAACCCGAAACCTTCATAAGAACCCTAAACCTCCCAGTAACTCCTGGGCGGGCCTTCTCCGGCAGGGCCAGCAGGTCAATGGGAAGCTGCTCAGCCACCCCTTTGGGCTTGCCGGGGAAGACCTTGGGGTTTAGGGTTTAGGGCTTAGGGTTTAGGGTTTAGGGTTTAGGGTTTAAGGTTTAGGGTTTAGGGTTTAAGGTTTAGGGTTTAGGGTTTAGGGTTTAGGGTTTAGGGTTTAGGGTTTAGGGTTTAGGGTTTAGGGTTTAGGGTTTAGGGTTTAGGGTTTAGGGTTTAGGGTTTCAAATGATTCATGGCCAAGGGCTGCCTCTCATTCTGATTGGTTCCTCTAGTTGGGGAGCTTTTGAGGCTTGGAGGGTTGCGAAGTAAGAGGGCCGGATGGCGAAACCCTCAACCCTAAACCCTAAACCTTAAACCCGAAACCCTAAACCCTAAACCCTAAACCCTAAACCCTAAACCCTTGACAAACAAGTGCCCTCAGAGGCCTCCTGGCGCAGAAGGCGGTCGAAGAAGGGGAAGATGGCGCTCTGGCTCACTTTGTCCTGCCCAACATGCGGCATGAATGCCACTAAACCACCCCTAAATTCCTGAACTCGGACTGACAGTAGTAGTGACGAAAGCAACTGGAACAATGATAGTAATTGTAATAAAGGTCACCCCCCCTGATCTAGGTTTTTCTTTGTTCCTTTGAATATCTTCGTAAATGCCAAAAAAACAGCCTAAATAAACAAGAAAAAGACCCTGTTCCCCAGACCCTGACACTTCCAAACGGCCGGTTGTCCTCGCCCGTGCCCAAGTCCAGGTACGAAGAGAACTCTCCGCTGCCATCTTGACCCTCGTAGGTACGCGGCTTCTGAGAACAGAGCACCTGGGCAGCACGGCATCCGAGCTTTCCCTCTACTGCACAGCTAGAAAGTGGGGATTTCGCTTTAAGGTCGGGCTGTTCAGGTTCCGCCGACTGGCCCGCTACATGCGTTAAGCCGCCTCAGGATGCGAAGCAGGGGTAGAAGCACCATGAGTCTGGGCATGAGGGTACCGAAACCTCAAGCTCCACACATCCCCCGCGCCACAGACGCGGTTGAGGGTTGAGGGTTTAGGGTTTAGGGTTTAGGGTTTAGGGTTTAGGGTTTAGGGTTTAGGGTTTAGGGTTTTGGGTTAGGGTTTAGGGTTTAGGGTTGCCGAACTTGCAGACCATCCGCGTCGATGGCATCGACCAGCTTCTTGCAAGCGAAGAGGGAGTGGTTGGCTGCGGGCAAACTCAGCGAGTCCTGGATGTGCGGGACACAGTAGCAGGACAATCCCACCCTCTACTTCTACTTCGCCCCCAATACAAAATTGTAACCTGCCCCCTCTCATGCGAAAATTAAGCACACTGTCGACGCTGCGACGACGAAAATTACGAAAACCGTAAAACCGAAATCAAAATTTGAAAACAAAAGACGAATCAAATCAAGGTCCTCGTCCGACCGGCAGTCCGTGGCACAGGTATGGTTCCGCACCGCCGCGAAGGACATGGTCCCGCAGCCAAGCTTGAGCAGCCGGATGTCCGTGGAATCAAGGCCTCATTGCCGACATAACCACGAAACCCTAAACCCTGACCTCGACATTTTACATCCTCGAATCTTGGCGCAAAGGCCTTCTTAGTAACTGAAGGGCTTTTTGACGGTGTTTTAAGGGTTTTGGAGGGGTGCCACTCTTCGGGCTAGTTTCAGGGTTCAGGGTTCAGGGTTCAGGGTTTAGGGTTTAGGGCCAGTTTAGGGTTTAGGGCTTAGGGGTTAGGGTCTAGGGCTTCGGGTTTTAAGGCTTTGGGTTACCATGGGTTGCCTTACAAACTTCCCTTGGAAGACACCCTGAGGTCCAGGCCTTTGGCAGCCCTCAGGTCGTGCACGCACATGTCCACCATGGTGGCCCGGAGCTCCCACTTCACCGCTTTCACCTCTTTTGGGGGCTTAGGGAGGACTCAGAGTGCTTTAGGGCCCCTGAACCCTGAACCCTGAACCCTAAACACTAGGCCCTAACCGCCTAACCCAAAAATGTGCTCTGAGGGTTTTGCTTTTTTTCCGGATTTTGGCCTGGGAGCCGTGGGGTTGCAGGGTTTCAGGTTGGGAGTCGGGGTCCTTCAAGCAGCTTGCGGTCCGCAGGTTTAGGGTTTACAGTAGGGTTTAGGGTGTAGGCCTTTGGCTTTAGGGTTTAGGCTTAGGGTTTAGGGGTTGGAAGTTCAGGGTTCAGGGTTCGGGGTTTACCCTCTCAACCCCTGGGAGTTTAGGGCTTAGGGCTTAGGGTTGAGTGCTCGGATGGGTTCAGGGTTCGGGGTCTACCCTCTCAACCCCGGGAGCGGAGATTGGAGGGTCCTCTGGGGGCCTTTACGGCTTTGTTTAGGAAATCCCCGAAATCCCAAGCCCCAAACTTTGAAACCCAACACCCCCAAGCCCTTTCCCTAAGCCTACAAACAACCCAAACCCCAAACCCCAAAAACCCCTAAACCCCCAAACCCCTGAAACCAGGCACCGAATCCGGAGCTGAGGCAAGCAGACACAACCCACTAGACCATACTCCCCTTAGAACCCGAATAACACGAATTGTCTGAATGTTCCCTTGGGGGTTTTATATCAATACACATATAAAATAATTCCTAAGGGGGCTAGAAAGCCAGGGCCTGCTGCTTCGTGAGCCCAGCTTTCGCCCTCAGCAGGTGCTTCCAGAGCAGCCTTGAGATTCAGACGCGGACGGGGGGGGGGGGGGAGGGGGGGGGGGGTTTTTCAAGCCCCTCCCCCCCTCCAAAACATGCCAAACCTTGCAAGGGGCTGATTCCCCCTGTATATACATTTATATGTATTTTAAAAAAAACATATATATGTATATGTATATGTATATGTATATGTATATGTATATGTATGTGTATGTGTATATGTATGTGTATGTGTATGTGTATGTGTATGTGTATGTCTATGTTGTGTGTGTGTGTGTGTGTGTATGTGTGTGTGTGTGTATGTGTATGTGTATGTGTCTGTGTCTGCGTCTGTGTCTGTGTCTGTGTCTGTGTCTGTGTCTGTGTCTGTGTCTGTGTCTGTGTCTGTGTCTGTGTCTGTGTCTGTGTCTCTGTCTGTGTCTGTGTCTGTGTCTGTGTCTCTGTCTCTGTCTCTGTCTCTGTCTCTGTCTCTGTCTCTGTCTCTGTCTCTGTCTCTGTCTCTGCCTCTGCCTCTGCCTCTGCCTCTGCCTCTGCCTCTGCCTCTGCCTCTGCCTCTGCCTCTGCCTCTGCCTCTGCCTCTGCCTCTGCCTCTGCCTCTGCCTCTGCCTCTGCCTCTGCCTCTGCCTCTGCCTCTGCCTCTGCCTCTGGGCCTCTGCCTCGCCTCGCCTCTGTCTCTGTCTCTGTCTCTGTCTCTGTCTCTGTCTCTGTCTCTGTCTCTGTCTCTGTCTCTGTCTCTGTCTCTGTCTCTGTCTCTGTCTCTGTCTCTGTCTCTGTCTCTGTCTCTGTCTCTGTCTCTGTGCCTGTGCCTGTCTCTGTCTCTGTCTCTGTCTCTGTGCCTGTGCCTGTGCCTGTCTCTGTCTCTGTCTCTGTGCCTGTGCCTGTGCCTGTGCCTGTGTCTGTCTCTGTCTCTGTGCCTGTGCCTGCGCCTGTGCCTGTGCCTGTGCCTGTGCCTCTGTGCCTCTGTGCCTCTGTGCCTCTGTGCCTCTGTGCCTCTGTGCCTCTGTGCCTCTGTGCCTCTGTGCCTCTGTGCCTGTGTGCCTGTGTGCCTGTGTGCCTGTGTGCCTGTGTGCCTGTGTGCCTGTGTGCCTGTGTGCCTGTGTGCCTGTGTGCCTGTGTGCCTGTGTGCCTGTGTGCCTGTGTGCCTGTGTGCCTGTGTGCCTGTGTGCCTGTGTGGCTGTGTGCCTGTGTGCCTGTGTGCCTGTGTGCCTGTGTGCCTGTGTGCCTGTGTGCCTGTGTGCCTGTGTGCCTGTGTGCCTGTGTGCCTGTGTGCCTGTGTGCGTGTGTGCCTGTGTGCCTGTGTGCCTGTGTGCCTGTGTGCCTGTGTGCCTGTGTGCCTGTGTGCCTGTGTGCCTGTGTGCCTGTGTGCCTGTGTGGCCTCTGTGCTCTGGCCTCTGTGCTCTGTGCCTCTGTGCCTCTGTGCATCTGTGCTCTGTGCCTCTTGGCCTCTGTGCCTCTGTGCCTCTGTGCCTCTGTGCTCTGTGCCTCTGTGCCTCTGTGCCTCTGTGCCTCTGGTGCCTCTGTGGCCTCGTGCCTCTGTGCCTCTGTGCCTCTGTGCCTGTCTGTGCCTCTGTGCCTTTTGCCTCGGTGACTCGTGCCTCTGTGCCTCCTGGACTCTGTGGCATCTGGCCTCTGTGCCTACT